ACGTGGAAATAAATGTTCTTTTTGAAATGGTTAGATTAAGGAATAGAGCATAACTTTTAATAAATCTTATATTTTATTAATAAACATATTTTAACATAGCAAACGCAAATGACAGACAAAACTAGAGAGATTGAATACAAGATATTGGCTTGCACAGAGTTCTTTCCAAATTTTTTTTTATAAATTTTACCTATTTACGACAGTTCTAAATACAACACATCTCGGCATATATTTATTTAATTACTTCTATGGGATATGTTCATTTAACATGGTAAAAAGTAGTCTTCGTCCTATATAGTATATGGAACGCCATATAGTACTTACCTGTATACCAAATTTCATATTAATCGATTAAGATGTTAGGACATCAAGAAGTAACAAACAAACAAACTCACTTTCACATTTTTTTTATTTATTTCTTTAAAGGAACACCAACAGCATATTGCATTATAACATATATAACAAAAAATAATGCGCATGCCTCTTAAAGGTATTCACAGCATTTACTTTAACATAATTATACAATATGAAAGGAATTAAACAATTTTAAAGAATTAAATAATACAAGACTACAAATATTTTAAAAGTTGCTATAGATATATATATATATATATATATATATATATATATATATATATATATATATATATCCTCAGGAATGGCAACGCATGGGGTGGGGGATATCACGGGCGAAACAGTATACTCTGTTATGTCCACGGTACTGCTCATGTCTATAGGCAACGGTTACCACTTTCCATCAGGTGGGCCGTCAGCTTGTTTGCCATTCTAAGTTGTATAAAAAAAGACACCAATCCTCGTACAATAATGTACAATCAATCAATTGGAACTATAATAAAAAAAAACAATAGATTGTTAATCACATCAACCGGAGCCCCATTTTGATCTAACACATCAGCGAACAATAGAGGACGTGTTAAAGAAAAGACTCGAATTAAAGGGAATAATGGGGTGTCCTTAATTATTAATTAATTATCGGAATACGTCGCAGACAGGCGGGCCACAATGGGCGGCCGCTCCTCGTTTTATTACCACTTCTCATTGTTCCAGCAAAAGATTCTGTTTGGTCATCTCATCCCTCTCCTTGTATTGTTGAGCTGGAACGAATAGGAACCTCTCTTCGTTTGAATTTTCTACAATGAATTTCTGAGTGCGGTAACATAGTACCTAATATTGCAGTTTCACCGAACATAAGTTCATTTATACTTTAAATTATAAATGGGAAAGATTTGATTGTTTGTTTATAATGGATAAAGCCAACGCCTACCAAAGTAAAGCGACCTAGAAGCTGGGAGAAGATTTTGATCGCGAGCTTTTACAATTTGACTGGCTACTTGGTGTCAATTCCTTTACGAAACCAAAGAAGCATTAACGCTGAATGGTATACTACCAAATGCTTGGCAGAAGTTTTCTCTGTTGTGAGCAACAAGCGACTAAACACAGGGCTCCGCGGGCTACTACTCCACCACGATAATATTGCCCACACCGCAAAAAATCAGCTCAAAGGGATACAATTTTCGTCACCAGATGATGCGCTCTCAGCGTTCGAGCAGGCTGTAAACGAGGTGTCTGCGGCGACCTGAAAAAAGTGTTTCGAAAACTGATTCAGACGCATGAAACTTTGTATAGAGGCTGGTGGAAAGTACTTTGAAAAGATGTAATAAAAATATATCTATAGAACATTTTTTTAGTGTCGCAAAACTGTGTGAGTGTCCCACGCATTACGCGCGTTGCCGACCCTGAAGAAACCTCTTTACCCCCCTTGAAAAACCCCATTTTGTAGTGTCATGTGGAAACCTCGGCAAGGAGCTCATTCCATGACCAGAGTGTTCGTGAGAGAAATCATCTCTGAAATCGCGCTGTACGCGACCATTTAGGCTGTAGGGTATGAGGGTGAACTCCCTGTCGACAGTGAGCTGTACATATTACATGCATAAATTATGATTCATCAGAATAGAAAGTCGAATAAAATTCATCAAAGAAGAGCAAATTTAATGTCACAGATATAAGTTTATTTGATAATATAAACAGCACTCAAGATAACATTATTCAGAGCTCAAGGAGTTTAATAAACTTAAGCGCTTATTGCTTTATTTCATTATAAACAATGTACTTTCACTGCACTTCATATTTTGTATTTTTTTTAAACAACTTAGAATGGCAAACAAGCTGACGGCCCACCTGATGGAAAGTAGTAACCGTCGCCTATAGACATGAGCAGTACCATGGACATAACAGAGTATACTGTTTCGCCCATGATACCCCCCATGCGTTGCCATTCCTGAGGACTCAGGTGTTATTCCTCCGTACCCAGTAAATTCACGCCATATCCCACCCTTCAAACCGAAACACAGCCATGCAAACACAACTGCTTCACGGTTGAAACACTAATGGGACAGAGGTACCCAAGCAATCGACTTTTGTACAAAGTGTCTCTCTGGAAGACTACAATAATTATTAAAACCATGTTTATTTTTAACGTATACTTTACTGCGTAAATAAAATATAGTAACAGTACTTATTAAATATCTGATAATTTATTCTTGTGATAAAATTTTCCTTGAAGTGGAAAGTTTATCTTAGTGTAAAGAGTTATTATGAAAGTGAAAGACAATGGCCTAAAGTACAAACCAAAAAATATACATAAAGGTACAAAAGACGGCCTTATCTCTAGCGATCTATCTTATCTCCTATAGACAATCTTTAATTAAAGGAGAACAGAATGTTATTTTTTTTTTTAATAGATGATAATGCAATGATAACCCCGCCTACGCTAACAGTATACGCTGCCAGGGCACCAGTCGGGGATGACATCTGCGAATGAAAGGGCAGGTCAGCTAGCCCATAATGAATTAACTAATGAATTAATTATTTAATTCAGCACGATCCAATCGTGAATTCCAAATGTATTCATCACGATGGGCTAACTGGCCTGCCTTTTTCATTCTCATCTACCATTACTCACTGGTGACTCGCCAGCGTGTACCGTTCACGCAGACGAAGCTATCATTTCATTATCATCCATTAAAAAAAATACTGTATTTACACCAAATTTTATGACAATTGGTTAAGCCATTAAGACATCAAGTGGTAACACAAAAACAAAGTCACTAATAAAAATTTTAAACTATTGCTAATATAGAATTTTTTTATGAGTGAAAATGGTATGGTGACCCCGCCTGCGCTAACGGGATACGCTGGCGGAGCACCAGTGAAGGGTGATAGATGAGAATAAAAACAGGTCAGTTAGGCCATCATGATGAATTCATCAAGAATTAATCATGATAGTTTCCAGATAGAACCTCGAGGAGGTCGACCTGGTTGGGTATATTGCTAGCAATGGCATTCTCAGTCTCCATTACTAACAATCCCTTTCCCCCGGCTAATATAGAATTTCACGTCACAACAAAAAAACTAGAAGCCCTAAATATACTTATAATTGAGTGGAGGCATGATCACACATGGCATTAGACTTGGGCGAAACATTTCACGGCCCAGTTAACTGCGTAATGCAAACCCGAAACTTATTGAATAGGAAAGCAGGGATCCAATAAAAAACCTGTCAAACCCAACCAAGGGACAGGTGGAGGTAGGTATCAGTCGCGCCTCTCGCGTAATCTTTGCGTCTCAATCCGTGAGACAGGCGATTTACATAAAACAAAGATTTCCCGCCATAAATAAGTATATTTATATTACGACACCTTATTTCACACATTTGCTCGAATTACAAAATAGCTAGTCGTTCTTTTTAAGTATCTTTTTTTTTATACAACTTAGAATGGCAAACAAGCTGACGGCCCACCTGATGGAAAGTGGTAACCGTCACCTATAGACATGAGCAGTACCATGGATATAATAGAGTATACTGTTTCGCCCATGATACCCCCCATGCGTTGCCATTCCTGAGGACTCAGGTGTTATTCCTCTGTACCCTGTAAATTCACGCCATATCCCACCCTTCAAACCGAAACACAGCCATGCAAACACAACTGCTTCACGATTGAAACACAAATGGGACAGAGGTACCCAAGCAATCTACTTTTGTACAAAATCTCCCTCTGGTAAAGTACCTATTAGCTTATCCTGTCCATTCTATTTACAAAATACTTGTCTTATTTATTAGTAATAGTAATATAAAAATTTAATTCAAATCTACCCAAACCTACCCAAAATTCCTAGGGGAAGGGATTGTTAATAATGAGGAGTTTAATCCCCATTGCTATCAATATACCCTATCAGGTCGACCTCCACGCGGTTCCCCCTGGAAACTATCGTGACCAATTTAACATTGAATTCGTCACGATGGGCTAACTGACCTGCCTTTTCATCCTCACCTATCACCGCTCACTAGTACCCCGCTAGTGTATACCGATAGCGCAGGCGGGGTAACCATGGCGTATTCACCAATAAAAAAAAAATACCGTAGAACGGGGCTATTTGGTTTATTTTTTTGCAAAATCATGTATTTAATAAAAGAGCAATGCATTAATTTACTCGACAGGGGGTTTTTTGACCAGTTCCTATAATACCTTTTTAATGACTACCACTACAATAAGTCTATCATGCGTAGTTTTGAAGATATATGTTTTTAAGTATGCTATTCCAAATATTGCTACTTTGGGGCTATTTGGTATCCTATGTAGAAGCTAAACAATTTTTGACATTTTATAAAACTGTGCTTAATAAAACCGTTAGAGAGACATTTGGAACTATTCTAGAATAGACTGCCTTGAAGTTTATCGCAATTTGATTCTTATCGGTTAAGAAAATAGTGAATTATATGAAGTTAGTCATGAAAACAAAATTATTATTTTAAATAAAATGGGGTTATTTGGAATTAGAAGTAAATGTAATAAGATGTGCCTATTATAAGTAAAGCAATATTTGGAATTCTTAAGGGGAGGCTGTTTTCAATTTTTACGTGATAGCTAATAGATATAATTAATTCTGTAATAGGTATAGGTATAAATAAAAATACTTAATATATTTTTAATCAAATTATTTTATAATCTTCATTATGAAAAGAAACATAATAGTAACTACTAGGTACATACCTAGTTAAAGCTACATAAATGCTATAAAATGTAACAAAAGATTATAAATTTTGCTTAACATAAAAACAAATTCTGGAAAAATAAAGTGGCTTAAAGTATCTCAAAAATACACCATATCGCTTTCTTCAGCGAGAAGAAACTCGTTTTTCTTCATAGGATTATTATTCATAATAATTTTTTTCACAATCCATATGTCATCAACTTCATCGCGATAAATTTTCTTGCTAATCCAAAACGCAAGCTGTGGCTTTTTAATAGTTTTGTAAAAATTAACACTGTAATTATATTTTTGTCCATCAAATTTAATATTTTCGATAAATCCAATGTAATATTTGTATATCCAATGTAACTTGTCATTGTATATTTTTATTTATGGTGCAATAAAGAGTTAAATAAATAAATAAATAAAATATTTACTGTTTTTATCATCACAGTAGAGTACCAAAACTCGTAAGTCAGTTGTATCCAAAGGAAATCCCCAAGGGCTCAGTAATTGTATATATTCTACAAAAGTCTTCTCTTCCTCTATTGAAAATAGAGTTGGGTGCCCAGCTTTTTCTTGCGTGCAATTTTTGTTTCTAGATTTCCTACTCAAAGTGCTCATTGGAATATTGTAATTTTTGGAAGCCTCTTTTAATTTCATTAAACCATTTTAAATGGCTTTTATTGCGTTTTCTAGACTTTCTTTAGAATAACTTAGATATGGTGGATGTGTTTTACCGCAACGTGAGTTGGTATATTTCCTTTGATATGTTCACACCATGATTTTTTCTTGATTTTCCCTGTGTGGAAAGAATAAAATTATTTTATATAATATAAATTATTTTAAATAATAAATTATATTAAAAAATATTTTATATACTATTTTATAAATTTTTTTAATATATTTTTAATAGGTAATTTGATTTTATTTTTTCATTTTATTATTATATTTTATTTTTTAATATTTTTTTATTATTTATTTTTTATATAAAGTCGTGAAAATAACGGCGCAACTTTAAATTATTCAATGTCGGCACTGACTTATATGCTAGCCTGCTCACACCTAAAGACATTATATAAATTCGCCTGGGAATATTAGTCCCATTTTTTAGATTAGGTATTTTGCCGAATTTAATTTGATGACTGGGAACTGACTTACCCTTAAATATCTTTTTTTGCACTTTTGGGGCTATTTGAAACCATCACTCAAACCCGTACTAATGCATAAAGAATCGTTAGATGGGGCTATTTGAAATAATATTCCAAATAACCCCAAAATTAATCTCAAAAAGCCCCAATCACAAAAAGTAGAAACAGTAGCTAGCTCGACAGAGATATAAAATAGCAACATACACCCCTGAAATCTACGGAAAATACACGTATACATAGTTTAACTTGCATGGTACATACCTTTCTACGTTTCATGCGTCAGACGAAAGTTAAATACTTACGAAAAAGAGCGAAAATTCTTTTTTTTTTTTAAACACTTGCTGCGTCGTGTAATGCTTAACTATAACCTCAAAAATTTTAAAAAAATTTACAATAGTCGTTGTGTTACCAGGTGACAACAAATATTCTACTCATTGCTAAATTAAAAAATATACGTAGATAATCAAATCTTTTATTTAAGAAATTCCATTTAACCCCACGACTTGCAAATAGCCCCTTTCTACGGTACTAAATTCCTAATTCATTATTTCCCATCCTGTTTTCTATCTGTTATTGGTAGCATATTGGACAAATTAACCCCTTGCTAATGTATAAAAAAAATGCGGTCAAGTGCGAGTCAGATTCGCGCAACTACGGTTCCGTACAAAATCATCACATTAATTTTTTTTTAAATTAATTCAAATTTACAGTTTATGTATTTTGTCCTTTACTTGCGCTATATGACACTACTTGTTGCCAAATTTAATGATTCTAGGTCAACGGGAACTATTCTATAGGTTTTGATTCTCATTGCGAATGTCAAAATATGTGATATAAATGGAACATATATCTCCATATTTTTTACTGTACACTAATTTTAAAACTCGCTATCGAATATTTAGCATTTTATGAGTTATTTATTAATCAGATATTTAGTCAAATAAAGTTGCCATTCATAAAATAAAAATAAATCTCCTCCATCTTATTTATCTTACAACAGTTATATAAGGGGATAACGGTTTGTTAATAATGGGGTTTAAGAGTCCCATCACTAGAAATATACCCATCACCAATAATTTCTTTCCTCCTCTAGCAGCTCTGCTGCTATACCCTATCAGGTTGACCTTCACGCAGTTTTACCTGGAAACTATCATAATTAACTAATATTGATGAATTCGTCATGATAGGTTAAATGACCTAATTTTATTTACATTTATCATTCCTCACTCCTTAGTGTATTTTGATGCTATCAAGCGGAGTTACCATTCCATTATCACTTCATAAAAAATAGGTAAATGGTGTCATGCTATTGATCGTTTACGACGACCATAACTAACATATCAGGTTGTCAACTAATGTCAAACTGTCTTGAAATGTCACGTGTTGTCAATATCTATTTGACATGAAGTTTGATTGCCTAATTCCAGACAAATTATCTTTTTGAAGACTAGGCAGCATGGTCTCCGACCTTAGCCTGTTCCAAACGGAACAAACGTACTAAAAAAAAAAAAAAATGATTGCCTAGTATTATGTGTTTTACATTTTATTAAATTGTTATTCAACAAAGAGGAAAAAATAAAACAAAAATTCCACAAAGTAATAAGAACTAAATAAAAAATTAATATATTTTTTTGTTTATTTACAATAGTACAAACGCAGTTAATGCCTTAATCTCTCATGGAACATATTCGGCAATTCGACTGGTAAGTACAATATTTTTTTTTTTTATTTTGTTTTCTGAAAGATTCCTTTGTTATAATAATTAATTTATCTAGATAAAAATATACCTAAGTATTTCTAAATTCATATTAATGTGTATATCTATACATTTTTAAATGTCAGTATTTAATATTTGAAAAAACATAATTGCTATTTAGAAGGTAGGATGATTTTATTTTTCGTTTTATGGATGTCATTGGAAATATTATTTGTTGTTTATTTATTTATTCCAATAATAATTAAACTTGTAACAACCCCTTAAATTATTTAGTTCTATAGTTAACAATCCATTACTGTATCCTAAGAATGAAAAAAATGTGTACACACACTGTATTCTTGTATTCTATCTATACATGATGATCATGGACGGCGGTTTTTTTTTAATGGGTGATAATGGTATGGTAACCCCGTCTGCGCTATTGGTATACACTGGTGAGGCACCAGTGAGGGATGACAGATGAAGATGAAAATAGGTTAGTTAGCCCATACTGACGAATTAAACTTTAACTAGAATTAGTCACGATGGTTTCCAGAGGGAACCACGTGGAGGTCGACCTGACAGGGTATATTGCTAGCAATAGGATTCTCAGTCTCCATTACTAACAATCCCTTTCCCCCCCATGGGCGGCAGTTGTCACTTACCATTAAGTGAGCCTCATGCTCTTTTGCCCACTGTGTTGTAAAAAAATGTATAATACCTAAAATAGGGAGGCCAAAGAGATTATTAATAATCTAATTAGTAAATTAGGGTCTGATTTTCCTATTGATAGCTGGACAACCTCTTTACTATCACTAGAAGGTTAATTTAAACTGGATTCATTTCAGTGGTCTAATAAATAGCACTTCATTCTCACCTATCATCTCTCACCAACATATCGCCAGTGTAAATTTTTTTTTTTTAATGGGTGTGAATGCAAATGTAACACCACCTGTGCTATAAATATATGCGGGCAGGACACAGTGAGGCATGATAGTTGATAATAAAAGCAGATCAGTTAGCTCATTGTAACATATTTCATGAGAATTAACCATGATAGGATTTCCAGAGTGAACGGCATGGAGGTCAGCCTGATAGGGTGTTAGACCCCAATATTAACAATCTTTTTCCCCTCAACCAATAATATTTGTGGGGCAGCAATTCCATCATCATCCATTAAAATATATATTTTATATCTGTTTATTTGCAACCCATAATGTTACAATGGATGTTAATTAATAGGTGACCAGAGGGAGACTTTGTACAAAATTCGTTTGTTTGGGTACCTCCCTCTCATTCGTGTTTTTACTGTGAAGCAGTTGTGTTTACATGGCTGTGTTTCGGCTTGAAGGGTGGGATATGACAGTGAATTTACAGGGTACAGAGGAATAACACCCGCGTCCTTAGGAATGGTAACATATGGGGGTATCATGGGCGAAACAGTATACTCTGTTATGTCATAGGTCATGTCTATAGGCGACGGTTACTACTTTCCATCAGGTGGCCTGTCAGCTCGTTTGCCATTCTAATGTGCATAAAAAAATATAAGGATCTTTTCATTTACTGTCTTGATTATGTAGGTGTTCATCACAACGGGACTTTCAATTCATAACAGAGGATGATGTGGACAACTGTGTGACGGAAAGAATACTGCGTAACAAATTCCGTGACCCACTGATTTCCAGCGACTCCGAGGATGAAGGCCAGTCGAGTATTCGGTTTGACTGGGATCAAATATTTAAAAGAAAAATTTTGTAAGTTTTGTTTCATTTTATAGACAATTAATTATAATATATGATAATAGAAAACCTAATTATGGTGAAATATGAGGACTTATACCTATTGTTAGCTTTTATATACTTACTATGTTTCTTGTAAATAAATAAATATAGTTGTATTGGGCTTTGCCTGTGTGAACTATGTGCTAAGTTTGAATATAATCTATCTGTATATCAAATTCAATTCAAATCTATTTTAACATAGAATTTGCCATTCTATGTACAAACTACATTTACTGGGGTACAGAGGAATAACACCTGAGTCCTCAGGAATGGCAGTGCATGAGGGGTATCAATGGCGAAACAGTATACTCTGTTATGTCCATGGTACTGCTCATGTCTATAGGCGACGGTTACCACTTTCCATCAGGTGGGTTGTCAGCTTGTTTGCCATTCTAAGTTGTATAAAAAAAAAAGACAGAAAAGTATATACTATTAATTCTTGATGTTTCTTTGTCAGGAGGAGCGCCAGTCGCGCTTGTACGTTCCAGGAATACGACCCATACCACCATACCCAAAATTGTCTGCACTCACAGCCCATCAGCACTACCAGTGCCTCAAAGTGTTATGTTCACAATACCCTCACGTATTGGACGAACAGTTCATACCGAGACCTACCAAACAAGATTACAAGGTTTGCCAAGTGAGTTTATTTATTTTCTTTTACGCAAATCTATTACACTTTTGTCACTTTCTTTCAAATTGGGAATTTAGTACAAAAGAAAGAGACAAAACAGTTTAAAAGCTAAAATAGATTAATGAGAGGTTTGACGTTTTATGAATAAGGGGATAAGAATTTAATGGTCCATAAACAAATAAAATTGTTTAAGTCAAATATATTACATATTCTTGCTTGTAGGTAAAAGATGGAACAATCTTAATAGGGGCAATAGTTCTTTGTCTAATTGAAGCTGCTTGAAGAACAAAATCTTAAATAATTCAATTTGTTATAAATTTAAAAAATTACTGCTTTATTCGTAATAATTAAAACCTCATATAAAACTATTGTGACTACTAGAATGTATTATTACTTTCGTCTATGAAAATAGGTCATAAAAAAAACACAATAGTTCAACAACTAAAGTGCATTTAGTGGTTGTTACCAACCAACCACCATTCTAAAATAAAATATTAAGAAAAAAAGAAATTGTTATTCAAGTAAACTTAAATTTATTTACAATAGTCATTTTATAAATCTACCACTTATTTGGAATGCAATTTTTACTAAGAAGAAAGGGTTCTTGCTCATTCTTCTTAGTGAAACTCAGCTGTTACTTTTTTCGAAAACTTGAATTTTATAAATTCGAGTGAATACAAACTACAATAGATAAATAGATAGATTATTTGCATTATTTACTTACAGCACACAAATTACAACATACATATACAAAAATAGCGAGATAACATAAATTATTAAAAAAAAAATACATAAAGCTAAATACAATTTTCGTTTGTGAGTGTGCCATAGCAATACAAAATGGCCACAACTCAGTTTATTGCTTCGCCCTCAAAAGAGCGAAGCACTGATATTCTGTTGCGGCCAAAGGGAATAGGGTAACAATAAAACAATACTACCAAATTATCCATACAATAAAAAGATAGATATATAGTAAACAGTATAATACAATAAAGTATTACAGCTCTCCATCCAAAGGTTGCCTGGAAAAGATCGCTCTTAGCGATAAGGTCGCCCATTGTTTTCTCATTGTGATTATTTCTTGTAATTATTTATATTTATAATAAGTTTACTATTGTAATCTTTTGGAGGAAACAATAAAGAGTATCTATCTATCTATCTATCTATTATTAATAAAATATTTAGGTTGCTGATAATACTAGTCCTACATAACACATATTACAGTCTTTTATATCTGTAAAACATTTAAAATTCAATCAAATTATCCCAAATGTTATGTTTAAAATTCACTCATTCATCCCCAGTGTGTCATGTAGGTCAAAATTATTTATTCACAGGAATTACAAGAGGCATATGCAAAAGAACAGAAAGAATATTTGGAATGGACCAAAACGCAATGGACCAACAACCACTGCTCGCGAGCATTACGCCCCAAACCGCCCATAGAAATGGTGTACGAAGCCGAATACAAATTGAAAGCTCACGAACTACAGTCCTTTCCGAAGGAATATGAGATGGTCGCTCAAATCCCTCTCGAAGCAAAGAACCATAAATGCAATATGATTTTTGATAAAGATTTAAAAAGTGTAAGTTTACTGTATCTTATAAAAAATAGATTTCGATTACTGATGAACATTATTATTAGCTACTAGCTGATCCCACGAATTTCGCACCGCCTAACGGTCGAATCTTCAATTTTTTTTGTTTTTTTTTTTAATACTTATTCTGCTATTCGGGACGCCGGGTCAGCTAGATTTATTCGATACTAACATCACTCAATTGTTTTACCTTCCCGGAACCTCTCCACTAACACTTGAACCTTATGGTATGGTATTAAAATTGACTTTTATGTATTATTACGAATCGTTTGTGTGGGAGTATAGGAAAGTGTTGTTTTTAGACTTTTCAAACTATTTATTAAATTTTTGTCGTAAAAACCATCCTCGTACTTCAAGGAATATTCTAAAAAAAGAATTAGTGAAATCGGTACAGCTGTTCTCAAGACTTGTACTTAGCAACACATTCAGCGATCCATTTTTATTATATAGATTACAGTGTGGTCTTAGCTTAAAATGGTTACCCCTTCTTTCCCATAAAGGTCCTTGGAGATGAGACTAAGGGAACTTAATGGTTGAAGGTTGGGCAGCAGTGTCCCTCTTGAACAACTCCAAAAGCCTAGCTGCAGTTGTCAACCTGCCTGCCAAATGTGAAAACTCTTGACAACCCAATCCCCCAACTCCTTAGGAGTGAGACCTACATTCAACAGTGGAAAGTTAACGGCTGATATGATTTAGTTCACATGGGTAAAACTGATAAATAATAACAGATAGATCCTGGATCAATTGGTGTGCCAAATTTCATTCAAATTAATTTAGTCTTTTATGTGAGATTTAGTAACAAATATAAGAATAATAATAAAATTATATATATAATAGAATCATTACACATTTTTAATTTTACCAGAATGATGCTCATTCTTTTTTTTACGTTGTCACAATTTAGAGTCGCCCCTCAATTTGTCAAAGTAAGAATAAAACATGTTTTGGTTTCTTGCAGGTGAACATTACAGAGCTGCCACTACTCGAGTATTCAAAATTGTTACACAAGAAAACTGTTGTATTGAAGCCGTGTCCAGTGCCGGAGCCTTGTAACAAGCATCCATGCAGATTTATACTGCCAAGTATGAACGCATTTTTATTGTCTGTATAGATAGATACATTGTTTCCTCCAAAAGATTACAATAGTAAACTTATTATAAATATAAATAATTAAAAGAAATAATCACAATGAGGAAACAATGGACGACCTTATCGCTAAGAGCGATCTCTTCCAGGCAACCTTTGGATGGAGAGGAGTAATTATAAACAATTTGGTGGGAGGCACGATGAAAAATTCTATTAATTCTAAATAATAAAATAAGTATGATGATCAGACCTATAACCAGAGGGAGACTTTGTACAAAAGTCGATTGCTTGGGTACCTCTGTCCCATTCGTGTTTTAACCGTGAAGCAGTTGTGTTTGCATGGCTGTGTTTCGGTTTGAAGGGTGGGATATGGCGTGAGTTTACTGAGTACAGAGGAATAACACCTGAGTCCTTAGGAATAGCAACGCATGGGGGGTATCATGGGCGAAACAGTATACTCTGATATGTCCATGATACTGCTCATGTCTATAGGTGACAGTTACAGCTTTAAAAGCGTTAAAACAAGAAGGTGGCAACTTGGTCAAATAAAAATCCTTAAGTTTTGTTTTAAAACTAGCCAGACATTTTATTCTGTATAGATCTTAATATTATAATAGAATTATAACTATTAATCTATATCTATACTTATAATAAATCTGTAGAGAGGTCAATTCTGTACATGAAATATATTCCCAAAATAACTATCAGGCGGTGATTAGTGATCGATACTGATGCCAACAATGCAATCAGTAAAATTTTTGTCTATCTGCCTGTATGTTCGTTATAGAAACAAAAACTACTCGACGGATTTTAATGAAACTTGATACAATTATTCTTCATACTCCTGGGCAGGTTATAGTATACTTTTCATCACGCTACGATCAATAGGAGCAGAGCAGTGAAGGGAAATGTTGAAAAATGGCCACCCGTGCGACGTTGGGACGGGCCGCTAGTTATAATAATATAGCTTGACGATGAATTAATTGATCCAGACAATGGAGTTTGACAGCCCCAATGCTAGCAATATGCCTTATTAGGTCGACCTCCACGTGGTTCCCCCTGGAAACCATCGTGAATAATTCTTGTTGAATTCATCACGATGGGCTAACTGACCTGCTTCATTATCACCTATTATCTCTCACTGGTGCCCCGCCGGTGTATACCGATAGCGAGGGTGGGGTTACCATTCTATTATCACCCTTAAAAAAAAATATATATATATATATATCGTAACCAATGAGGTTAATCCGAGGTGCGATTATTGCTAGTTGAAACATGTAATAGTAGCATTACTAACAAAATGTGTACTGTAAAGATATAAATGTTGACACGTATATCCTGTGTTGACTAGACGAGGACTCGCCAAGCATGCTGCCGCTGCGCGAGGTGCACACTTCCCTGGCACACTGGGCCGCCGCTGCGGGGGCGCCGCCGTGCTGGCCGGCGACGCGGCGCTGCGGGCCCTGCTGTCCCCGGCGCGCTGGCGGCTGCCGCTCTCCGTCTGCCCTACCATCGGACAAGGTCAGTTAAACAATGTATACGAGATGACCTTGGTATTTTTTTAAATTAATGATAATGCAATGGTAACCCCGTCCACGCTGTCAGTATACACTGTCATATTCGGGGCACCAGTGAGGGATAATAGGTGACAATGAAAAGGCAGGCCAGTTAGCCTGTCGGGATGGATTCACTTTAAATAGAACACGATAGTTTCCAGGGGGGACCGCGAGGAGGTCGACCTGATAACAATTTATGATCCCCCTGCCCTTGGTAGACTAGTTGCTTTACCATCCAATGGCCGCGGGTTCAATCCCCGTACAATATAAATATTTATATTCATGAGTTTATTTGTACTAGTTTGGGTTTTTTTTATATATAATAATAGCGGCCCGGTACATGCTTCGCTACATATAAAGTGAAATAATAAAAAAAAAATTCACATCTATATCGCTGACAATTTGCTTTTTTTCTATGCAATATAGAATGGCAAACAAGCTAATGACCCACCTGATGGAAAGTCGTAACCGTCGCCTATAGACATGAGCAGTACCATGGACATAACAGACATAACTGTTTCGCCCATGATACCCCCCATGCGTTGCCATTCCTGAGGACTCAGTTGTTATTTATGTAACTAAATACATATGTTTATGCAAATAAATTATTGATTTGACTCGTCTTGACTTGACAGTGACTTTTATTTATCATTATTACAACATATTTTTAATGTATTTTTTATGGGTTTTAATGGAATGATGACACTGGTACCCCGCCTGCGCTAACGGGATAGGCTGGCAGGATACCAGTGAGGAATGACAGGTGAAGATAAAACTGCAGGTCAGTTAGCCCATCGTGACAAATTCCACTGGAATTAACCACGACGGTTTCCAGGAAGAACCGCGTGGAGGTTTTTTTTTTTTTTTTTTATACAACTTAGATGGCAAACAAGCTGATGGCCCACCTGATGGAAAATGGTAACTATCGCCTATAGACATGAGCAGTACCATGTATATAACAGAGTATACTGTTTCGCCCATGATACCCCCATGCGTTGCCATTCCTGAGGACTCAGATGTTATTTCTCTGTACCCTGTAAATTCACGCCATAATTCACCAGGTCGACCTGATAGGGTGTATTGCTAGCAATGGATCAATTAGATCCCATTACTAACAATCCCTTTCCCCCATTTTTAATGTAGATGGCGAAGCTTGCAACGTCATAATATTGGACAACGAGTTCAGCATGGCGCGCGAGCCGGCGCAGACGCGTACCTACAAGGCCTTAAGATATTTATTGGAAAATGCACTGTTGCCGTAAGTATAGTCTTGTTTTCAACCGACTTCAAAAATAGTTGTTCTCTCTTTTACTTATTTTACCCTTTCGACACCCAGGGGAAAAGCAAAAAGTTTTTTTTTTAAAAGCAAGTTTGTTAGGTATAGTATAATTTTTTTTTTTTTAATTTCTGTCATAAGTAAAAATTGTGTCCATATTTATTTTTTGAACATTAAAAAAACAAATCGTAACATCTTATTATGTAACTATAACATAAAAATATTTTTATAACTATGTTCCTAGCAAATAAATTATTATTTTTAAGAGGTTTTCATTTGTCTTACAGTCCACATATCACATGGTATCTACGCTAATTCTAAATTTGATAATTATTTTTTACAAAAGACAGCATCGTTCTTGCATAGAATACAAGGAATTTAATATTTGCAGAGTGAAAAACAGCAGTCGGTCGGATCAAACGGGCGGTTCCAGTTGTAATGACAGCAGCAAGGAATCCAACAGTGCTACCACCTTACTGGACGTGGACATGAGCAGCGACGACGAAGACAATAACTTGTATATAGATGAACCAAGTATGTTCTCTCTTTGTTTAATCCTTAATTTGGTATTGTATGCTGTGCCATACAAACTTTAAAAAAAAAAAAAGTGTTAAAGAAATATTATTATTTCAATATAATTATTAATATTTATTTTCATAAACTAGTCACACTTTATGAAAACAAAAAATGTTTTTTTACTATTTTTCTGGGCCTATTTAGACTCTATACATTACTATTTCAGTATTTGTTTTCAATTCAAAATATATTTCTTTTGCCAAATAAAGGGTTAACCCCTACTATATCATCATCATATCGTCATAGTCGTAGAATACTGACGGATCTGACAAATATTACATATATAGATCCGTCGGTATTCTACGACTATGACGATATTAGCCTATCTACTCATCTACTGCCCAGTGCTGAACATAGGCCTCCCTAAAAGGGGAGTTTAGCTAGTAATTTCTATGCTTGGCAAGCTGATTGGCAATTGGAGTTAGGCTTTGGAGATGTTTTAAGAGGCTGCTGCTTGTCTCCCAATCATTAACTACCCTTAGTCTACTATAACCGACATCCATGGGAAAGGAAGTAAATCATCATCTTCCTACCCTTATCCCAATCATTTGGGGTCGGCGTAATATGATTTTATCCATATTATAAAATGATTTGGTTTTTAGTTTTACGACCGGCCCCCTGCCTGACGTCAACCCTCTTTGGGAGGGAAAGGAAGTAAATAATATTACTAAATATTATATACTACTGTATAATACTAGTCATATTATATATCGTCACAGTCGTAGAATACTGATGGATCTGACAAATATTACATATAAAGATCCGTCAGTATTCTACGACTGTGACGATATGTGCAAGTTTGTAGTTCTCCCTCTTGCATTCCTAGAGACTAAGGTGTTATGGTCATTGTATTGTACCTTAATTTTTTTTTTATACAACTTTGAATGGCAAACAAGCTGACGGCCCACCTGATGGAAAGTGGTAACCGTCGCCTGTAGACATGAGCAGTACCATGGACATAACACAGTATACTATTTCGCCCATGATACCCCATGCATTGCCATTTCTGAGGACTTGGGTGTTATTCCTCTGTACCCTATAAATTCACGCCATATCCTACCCTTCCAACTGAAACACAGCCATGCAAACACAACTGCTTTACGGTTCAAACACGAATGGGACAGAGGTACCCAAGCAAACGACATTTGTACAGACATATAACTTTTTATTTAATAATTACAACCATGAATATTACCATTTTTGTACTAATTACCCAGTGTGGCAACCCTACATTTTTTATGAATTTTTTTTCAGAAAACGAATCTCAATCCGACCGTTCAACATCAGATATAGAAATGGCAGATGAGCAAGAAAGGAGTGTTAAAAAAGATAAAATAAATAAACAAATGGACGAAAAACAGAACAATGACAGTACTGACAATATTGACAGTGTTGGTTTCTACAATTGCACATGTAAAGGTGAGATACTTTATTACTTATTTGCTAAATACAATTTTTGTCAAAAAAACACCAATAACGATCAAGTTGCAATAGGTTGTACTAATACATAATATCAAAATTAGTACCTCAATCGCTCTACAGAGGCAGCACCGGAGTTTATTGCTCGTTTCTATTAACTAATACAAAACTTATTTAAAAATTAAGATATCTCAAACAAAAAATAGCAATAAATGCTGACAGTATTTATTATATATTTTTTGCTGTTGTAATCTAATTGCTATATTCGTAATCGGGGACCGTGTTCAATCAACGTCGGATACATACATAATAACCCTTTAAAATTCAACTGCTGAGCGTGTCTCTCATAAGAAAAGAAGAGTACATTGGCCTTCTTTTGGCCCACCACTCTGCCAACACGGCTCAGTATAGTGTTGTATATTAAATTTTCCTTTACCACTGTTTCCCTCTCCCTATATCTCATTTCTCTGTCTCTCTCTCTCCCTCTCCGTCTCCTCTCTCTCGCTCTCTCTCTCTATATTCTCTCGCTCCTCTCTCTCTCTCTCGCTCTCCTCTCTCTCTCTCTCTCTCCCTCTCTCTCTCTCCCTCTCTCTCTCTCTCTCTCTCTCTCTCTCCCTCTCTCTCTCTCTCTCCCTCTCTCTCTCTCTCTCTCCCCTTCTCTCTCTCTCCCTCTCTCTCTTCTCTCTCTCTTCTCGCTCCCTCTCTCTTCTCTCTCCCTCACTCTCTTCTCTCTCTTCTCTCTCTCTTCTCTCTCTCTCTCTCTCTTCTCTCTCTCTCTTCTCTCTCTCTTCTCTCTCCCTCTCTCTGTCTCTCTCTTCTCTCTCACACACAATCTTTTCCTTTTTACGCCTCTTACGATATGATACGAAGAAGGGTGTGATGACTTTAATTTATTCCTTCTCAAGATATGTATGTATATTCACTGTTTTCAGACACAGATTTTGCTAGACCCTTACCAAGATCGTTTAGGAAATGGCAGATCAAAAATGAGACGACTAGAGATGCACTAGACATTATAATACATTGCACACATAAAGTCAGGGTAAGTTCTTAGTATTCATACTATTATATAAATATCTGACATCATTTATCCAATAAATCCTATACTGCTATTCATATGCAGAGCCATAGCTCTGCATATGAATAGAGAGCATTGTGTTCGGAGTTTTGCTGCGAAAAATCAAAATGGCACTGAACCGCCCATATAGCTTAAAGAACTGATAGACGACCAATGGAGAAGAGAGTACCTCAAACAAATGCAGCATATAATGATGCTACTTAAAATGACATATAAGCTAATAACTTACCATGGACTTCAAGTCATCGTCATTATTACTGTAAGCGACGCACCTCGCACCTCGTAAAATGTTATAATTGTAACCACTATCGCCATCTGTTAGTACTTTGATTGAATTAATGCCGGCGCGCATGTGCCGAACGATTGCCATGTGACACGTGTGTGCACGAGTTGTTAGTTGTTGTGTTTTGTGAATTGAATAAAAAAGAGTGTATTGCCAGTGTCCGTTTCATTTTGATAAATATCAACACATTTTCCAACAACGGTCTATTACAATTACATTTATGTCCATGGTAGTACATATGGTACTGCTCATGTCTATAGACGACGCTTACCACTTTCTATCAGGTGGGCCGTCAGCTTGTTTGTCATTCTAAGTTGCATAACAAAATCAGCCTTTAACTGTCCACTGCTGAACATAAGCTTCCCCTTGGGAGGTTTTGCCAGTATTTGCCACGTCTGACAGGCGGATAGGCAACCGCAGTCAGGCTTTAGAGATGATTTAAGAGGGGCGCTGCTACTCATCCCTCCCCCTTTCTTAGTCGGCTTTTACGACACCCACGGGAAAGGAAAGGGTGGCCTATTCTATGTCGGGACCACACTGCCATCACGGTCTTCATGTAATACATCGTAACGCCCATAAGACCCCTAATACGTTGTTTAATAACTAAATTGTTATGCCTCTGTACTCTGTAATTTCTTTGTCATAGACACAATTTTTTTATACCACTGAGGTAGCAATCAAGCATACGGCCCACCTGATGGTAAGTGGTTACCGTAGCCTATGAACACCTGCAATACCAGAGATATTACGCGTGCGTTGCCGACCCGGAAGGAACCTCTTTATCCCTCCTTTTGAAGAACCCCATGCTGTAGTCTCTTGGGGAAATCTCGGTAGGGAACTCCATAACCTGAGTGTTCGTGGGAGGAAACATCTCTAAAACCGCTCTGTACGCAATCATTTAGGCTGTAGGATATGAGGATGAACTCCCTGTTGATGGCGAGCCGTACGATGGTATACAATCATAGCTGTTTGGCAACTGTAATACGAGTAGATAGTACAAAGATCGGACAAAGGACTTTTATACTATGACTTTCTTTATTTTAGGGTGAAAGTGGCGAATTACTTCTAGAACCAATACCGGAATATCAAATAGAATTGGGCGGCAGTCGACAGTCGCAGGATCTGGTCAGAAGTTTAGCTTTGTCACTACTGCTACGAAGGAATGCTTCTTTGCTTAATGGTACAGTATTCATAATTTTAGCTAACAACATACTTATAATTGCTGTTCGAATCAGTCAAAAGGCACGCCTGATCTTGTGATATGAATGTTTAAAAATCCAAATACATATTTTTTTATGCAACTTAGCATGCCAAACAAGCTGACGACCCACCTGATGAAAAGTGGTAACCGTCGCCTATAAACCTGAACAGTACCATGGACATAACAGAGTATACTGTTTCGCCCATGATACTGTGTTATTCCTCTGTACCCTGTGAATTCACTGCCGTATCCCACCCTTCAAATTAAAACACAGCTTTGCAAACACAACTGCTTCACGGTAGAAACACAAATGAGATAGAGGTGCCCAAGCAAACGACTTTTGTACAAAGTCTTCCTCTGGTATTATTTATATATATGGTGTATTTAGCTTCATTCTTCCCCTCGCCATTAAGACATCCTAAGGATATAAAGGAGATGATACATTTGTATTCTTACTCGAATACAACATGTTATGTCCATGGTACTGCTCATGTCTATAGGCGACGGTTACCACTTTCCATCAGGTGGGCCGTCAGCTTGTTTGCCATTTTAAGTTGTATAAAAAAAAAAAAAAAAAACGGACAATAGAAAAAGAAAGTTATGATAATATATAACATATTTACAGTGAGAATAGACGCGTCCACAGGCGAGATCGTAACCATAGATAATGTAACTCTCGATGAGTTGACAAAGGACAACGATATGCTATCCGAGGCAGCCAATAGGATATACACAACTCTAAATCAGCTCCAGGGTCTGATGCCAGGACATTACATTCTTGAGCATGAGGTAAGGTTTTAGTTTTTGTAACAGTTCAAAATTTATAATAACGAATTTGTTTATAAATGCAGTTAGCGTTTTTTTTCTTTTGTTACATAATCGTAATAATATCAGTCAAATGTGGACAACAATAGGGAAGTGTCCTATGGTTGACTGAAAGAGAATGCTTTTAGTGCTAAATTCGCCATGTACACATATATGTATTAATTAATAAATAAGTAAGTAATCAACATTATAAAATGTTAATTAAAATGGATATGGATGGATGTTGTAAACATGTTATAAATGGTAACATGATAGATATTACATGGACACATAAAACTAATTTGTGTCTTGGTCACGGCACCAAATTGTTATGTTGTATATGAATTGATGGTGTTATTATTCGTTATGTTTACTTATTTGAATTTATAATTGTATAGTAGAAATAGGTTCTTTTATTATATGTTTTTATAACTATTAGCATTGTTTATTTAATTACTTTGTAATTATCAGGAGTTGATGAATAGTCATTTCATCATCGTTATCATCATATCAGTTTTTAATTGTTCATTGCTAGACATAAGCCTTCCCCTTGGGGGGTTTGCCAGTAATGACCACACTTGACAGGCAGGCCTCAGAGATGTTCTAAGAGAAACGCTACTGCCTATCCCTCGCCCTTTCTTAGGCGCCTCTTACAACACCCACGAGAAAGGAAGAGGTGGCTTTCTCTAATCCGGGACCACACGACCATAGTCTTTTACGGATATAGTCATTATTATTATGAATTTTGTCATTACTAATTGGGGATGTGTGAAATATCGGGTTGTACCGCCTATATGTGTTTAATTATTCTCATATATGTCAATATAACATAAGACCGATCGGTTGCAGCCCGGCCACGGTGCAAATGCATTGCTATACGCGAGCCGGTCGAGCGAATCGCAACGAGCGCAGTCGCTGCAGCTGCAGTTCGGCGGCGCGCTGCCCAGCGATGCCGACGAATCGGCTGCCGTCCGCGCCGCGCCACCGCTCGCACCACTGCTACTACCATACCACAAGTAATTACTAATTTTGTTCAATAAGTAACGAAAATTGTATAAGAGTTCGTATGCCAGACATAAAGTATACTTATTCATTCATTCAATCATAATTTCAAGTTACCAGAAGTTACAAGAGGGAGATTTTGTACAATAGTCGTTTGGGCACCTCTATCCCATTCGTGTTTGTACCGTGAAGTAGTTGTATTTGCATGGCTGTTTCGGTTTGAAGGGTGGAATATAGCAGTGAAACGGGAGTATCATGGGCAAAACAGTATACTCTGTTATGTCCACGGTACTGGTCCTGTCTATAGGCGATGGTTACCACTTTCCATCAGGTGGACCGTCTGCTTGTTTGCCATTCTAAGTTGCATAAAAAAAGTTCCTATTAGTATTATAAATGTGAAAATGAATTTATTTATTGTGTATGGCACACGGGTATGTGACCTCGGTCTCCCGAGTCGCTGCAGTGTCCCAGTACTTTCCGTGACTGCTGTCTCCCCCTCCCCCCTTCATTTCTCACACAAGTCCCTTATACCACTCATTTACCAATTTCCATTACACATTTCCAACGTTCCTTTCCTTTTTTTCCTCAATCCTTTCCACAATACCGTAGGTGACGGAAACCACCAGCAAATGCATTCCCAAAGAGGGTTGACGTCAGGCCGGTCGTAGAACTATAAGCCAAAACTTTTTGTAATATGGATAAAACCATATTACGCTAACCACAAATAATAGTTGGCATTTTTTTATACAACTTAGAATGGCAAACGAGCTGACGGCCCATCTGATAAAAAATGGTAACCGTCGCCTATAGACATGAGCAGTACCATGGACATAACAGATAAGGGTAGAAAGATGATCATTATAAGTAAAATCCCATGCATAGGTTCCGCCGCTTGCTGCCGTGCGCGTTCACGCCGCACGCCGACCAGCTGGCGCGCGACGCGAGGAGGCCGGCCGCGCGACAACGCACACCGCCGCAAGCGATCAAGGTCAGTGTGGAACATTCCATACTTTTATGTTTTTAAATTGTATACGCAAAGCGAGAAACGAGGTTCTCAGTTTGTTGGTATTATTTCGTATGTATAATGTACCACTTAGATTATATAGATACGCCCTAGAGTCTCAAAAACGGGTCAACTTTTTGTCAGCTAATGGTCAAATTAACTGACTGGTTTGTTTTTTTTTTTATCAGTGTTCTATATACTTACATAATGTATCTTGACGTATCTATGTATATTTAATTATTTTATGACTAAAATTAATTTTTACAATTTTTTTAAAAAGCGTTCACGCTCACTTTTTATCTTTATCTGACCAGTAAATGCTTTATATTATTCTCAAATTCGTGTAAAATATAGTATATGTCATATATGTGTAAGTATATTTGGTATTCATATATATTTATTCGTTTATATATGTAATTTTTGTATGTATGTATATCTATAATTACTAGTACCGCATTCGAGTATTCTGACACTTCCCTACGGTTTACTGGGAGAGAATGCTTTTAGCATTAAGCCCGCGCTGTACACATATTTGTACTAATGAATAAATAAATAATAAATAAAAAGATGTAAAAATTGTAAAATAAATAAATATAGTAGTTATAAAGGAGTCACTCGTAACTATTTATAATGCAAAATTGTATGAAAAAGTTGACCCGCTTTTCTCGTAGCATTTGTATGGAGACACTCTATCTATATAATCTAAGGATACGCGATATGTTTGTTTTGCAATCTACAAGTCTATCCTGTTTATTATCTCCTGTCATTTTGTCACAATTATTGTTGTTTTATTATGTAATAAAGCAACAATAATTGTAACTGGCAAGAAACAATTATAAATTGGCATAATATATTTTTTTAAACACATCGATTATTCCAAATTTAATTTTCTCTATTTATACTGGAATGATAATGATGGTATTATGAATGGAGCTCGACTATAAAACCCAAAAAAAAAGTTGACAAAATCCTAGGATTTTTAAACTTAGGATTTTGTTTTATGACAAACTTAGTTGTTTATTTTAATTCGTAATAAATTTACTTTACATTTTTTTTTCTAAAGCGTAGCAGTTGGAGGTGTATATTATAAATAAAAAAAAGTAAAATTTGAAAGCGATAATCATATTGGCATATTAATTCGCCCAACTTTATAAACCAGAGGGAGACTTTGTACAAAAGTCGATTGCTTGGGCACCTCTGTCGCATTCGTGTTTCAACCGAGAAGCAGTTATGTTTGCATGGCTGTGTTCCGGTTTGAAGGGTGGGATATGGCGTGAATTTACTGGGTACGGAGGAATAACACGTGAGTCCTCAGGAATGGCTACGCATGGGGGGTATCACGGGCGAAACAGTATACTCTGTTACGTCCATGGTACTGCTCATGTCTATAGGCGACGGTTACCACTTTCCATCAGGTGGGCTCTCAGCTTGTTTGCCATTCTAAGTTGTATAAAAAAACCTTCTGTTTATGAACGGGCATAAATTCGAATCCGGCCTTAATTAAAAAAAAAACTTCGATCTATAGGCAATATTTTTTTTGTAAACGAAACAAATGGCGTTGTGTCATTTGCTTCATGCATGCCAAAATTGATATCTATTACAATATAAATAAGATAATTATTCTGTTGTAATCTAGTGATACAAAATTTGTTGTATGTTTGTTTGTTCTTAGACAAAACGATACAATTAAACTTTCAAATTGAATCCCGCATGTCGGTGTTGTCATATTGATGTAATCACGAATCATATTTCGTGAGAAGACTGTGTGTTTGTTTGTTACTAGTTGGACGGACAGGAGCAGAGGTGCGCCGGTCGAAAGGTATCGCCGTCACTCTGCATTACTTAACTCTCGCACAGTCCATTGGAAGTGGGGATTTGTGTGTCGAGATACATTGGTAACACCTTTACATGTTTACTCGTGTCGATAGTCGGTTATAAAGGCGCCTTCATATTGGACGAATGCTGCGACGCGAACAGTTTTCTTGTACAAATTTTTCAGTGTGAACGCGCCAGACGTCCGCTTAAAACTTGTATGGAATATTCATGTCGTTGCCCAGCAATTCTCCAATATGATCTAAAGGAATTAATTTGCAAATGAAGCAGTGTATGTTTACGTATTATGTATTAAATTATAAAAATTATATGTATTTGACATTTTCGTGCAATATAGGTTTTGTATGATGCACGAAAAAAATATTAATTCACTCTTGCGCCACCTGCCCACTTCTATCTGTTCTCCTTTAAACAAAGGTTGTCTGTAAGAGATTGCCCTAGCGATAAGACCGCCTTTTGTACCTTTATGTGTATATTTCAATCTGTATTTATGTTACTGTATTTCAATTGAATTATTCACTTGTCATTGTATATTTTTGTTTCTGGTACAATTGAGAGTTAAATACATAAATAAATAAATAAATAATATAATTTACTTTCAAACCATTTTTACTCTCATCGGTCGCTTAAGGGGCACACTCTGTCTGAGAAATGGACAATAATAATGACAAGTGTTAGACAATCACGTCAACCGTTTGGTCCTCAAGCTAGGATATCCTAGATATTTTATGAAACCACGCAACGCCTGAAGGCATAGCCCAGAATAGCTAAACCAATTTAGGCAAGTTTCTTTAATAAATTAGCCCGACCCCATATGGAGTAACAATGTAAAGAAATTCACCAAAGGGAGACTTTGTACAAAAGTCGATTGCTTGAGTACCTCTGTCCTATTCGTGTTTCTACCGTGAAGCAGTTGTGTTTGCATGGCTGTGTTTCGGTTTGAAGGGTGGGATATGGCAGTGAATTTACAGGGTACAGAGGAATAACACCTGAGTCCTCAGGAATGGCAACGCATGGGAGGTATTATGGGCGAAACAGTATACTCTGTTATGTCCATGGTACTGCTCATGTCTATAGGCGACGGTTACCACTTTCCATCAGGTGGGCCGTCAGCTTGTTTGCCATTCTAAGTTGTATAAGAAAAAAAAATATACAAACTTTTTCATTGCTTGACCCCCTTAGTATGTTAAAATATTTTGCGACCCCCTACCCTCTGTGGTGTTCAAAGTTTATACGTTTTATTATATTACAAAATATCAAATCCGTACATTGTTATTTATTTTCATAGTTAGGTAACTATTAAATACAATAAAATAAATATGTAATGAAGTATCTAAAACACACTTCCATTATATTTTCTTAATACGTCATTTTGGAACGTTTATTAACGGTTTCTCAACCTTCCTCACTTTCCTCTTGTGTAGGCTTGGCGAACTCCTGCGGGGTCGCGACCCCACACTTTGAAAACACACACACACACACACACACATATATATATATATATATATATATATATATATATATATATATATATATATATATATATAAGAAAATATAATGGAAGGCGACTAAGGGAAGGCTAGGGATTGGCAGCAGCGTCTCTTAAAACATCACTAAAGTCTAAGTGCAATTATCAACTACTGTTGTCATCAGTGGACAGTTAACGGCTAATATGATGATGATGATGATGATGATATATATATATATATATATATATATATATATATATATATATATATATATATATATATATATATACACACAAAGCACCACTTTATTGTAGAGGGTCACAATGAAAAATGATATTCTAGAAAATAGTTTTTTTTAGTTCAATCAAAAATAGCTAACACTATAAGTGTGTTAGGATGTAATTATAATTGAAAGAGGAATGAAGCATTGCAGGCAATTAAAGTATACTTATTTAAGTTAATAAATTATTCAAAATAACAAATAAATATTAAATTACATTTCTTGATAGCTATAATACATCATATAGCTATAATAAATTGATACATCGATAATAGTTTTATATATATATTGCTACTAATAATTATGGCAATTAAAAAATAAACAAAGATTAATCTATAATGGAGTGTCCATTGTGCTGAGACAACAGTATTTTTGGTCAGTACGTTTTAGCCAATACAAACAATCTGGATGGTATCCCCACGCGAGAACACGCCACATGTAGTTGTCCTTGGAAAAGCATGGTATACCCAAATCTAAGCCACAGACAACGTTTGGTCTTGTGACTTATTGATCGTCATTACGAATACTAATCTAATTGGGAACTGAATGCGTTTGAATTCAATTGGCACATCTGTAGAAATCATAGGGATTTGTGGTAGCAATACATTTTCGCTTCTGAAAACAAAAAACATATAAAAAATAATTTCAATATATATATATATATATGTGGCTAGACTTAAATTTACATCATGGCCACAAAAATGTTTCAATATTTATACTGTCCAATCAATACAATATAGGTTGTACAATACAACACGTGTGGTAGATTAATCAAATCACATATATACCTACCACAAATAATTATTTAAGATAATAATAATAATCTTTATTCACTACTCACAAGGAAACTGTTTAGACTGTGACTGTGTGTGACTATTAAGTACTTTAAATTAAAATTGTTATCCTTGTGAGAGTCTGGAGTCTGAACTAGGTCGAAACCTGTACTACAGATCTCCAGGCTCTCTCCGGAGTTTTACAATATATTACTGAACATCTATTACTACCTTAATACAAGTGTGTGTACAAGATACTCTTAACAATATTTTAAAGCGTTAATAATCGACTATCGGCATGAAAATAGTATTTATGTATGTCTGAATGTCATTGTTACATTCATGATTTCATAAAATATATAAGTAGAGTTAGAGAGATCCTAATATTATATGAGACTAAGTAATATTGAAACATCAAAAGATCCACTCCAGTGTAAAATTTTCCTAAAATTTCTTTAAATTTAAATTGAGTTTTAATGACTATTGATATGACCTATGTTCACCACTGTACAGTATTGTTCAGCACTGTACAGTAATGTTCAGCACTGTACAGATGTTCAGCAGTGTACAGTAATTGGCTGAAATGATGATGATGATCCTAATAATGATGATAATGATGATGATTTGAACATATCAAATGTAACTGAATGGATCTCTCTATAAATCATGAATGTACCTCAAAAACAACTGAATACCGATTCATAATTTTCTCAAATATATTATTAAACAATACAATCAACTGAAAATTACCGGTTTGGTATTACAAAAAAAAAATGTATCGTCTAGATTAAAAAAAAATGGTAAAAAATAATTATGGTTTTTATAATAATAAATGATTGCCTATTCCGTTTAGAATGTCTGTCTGTACATAAAATGACGAGTACATTTCCTTGTTGATTGTATTTATATAATTAGTCCAATCAATAGGCTATAATACACTTTTGTGAATTAACCATTATCAATTATATAAACATGAATAAAATTCCCCTGCTGCAGCCAGTCAGAGTATGTTTTATTTTATGATTATTTTTAAATGTTTGTTTGTCTGTGGGTTTTTTTTTTTATTTTGGAACTCTATAAATAATTACCTCTGCGTTAAAAATCATTATTATCTATGATTAATATAATTATAAATTACCTCCAGATCGTTCTATTGATTGGTCTAATTTTCTATTTAATTTGACGATATGTACTTGTGAATATTATATTAATTAAATATTAGATAATTATTAGATAATTAATTACAGTTAATTAATTATTAATTAAATATCAGTTAATATATTATTAATTAAATAATTATTAGATAACACTGGTCTACAAATTTTGACTTTAAAAAAGTATTGTTCATGGAAAGTAGATTTTTTTATTGATTTCCACGTACTAAACACAAAAATAATTAATAAACATTAAAATTAGTTTCCCTTATTTAGAAAAAAAAAATAAGACGATTTTTGAAAAAATTTACAGAAATTATACAGTTTTTTTTAATCATAAGTGGAATTTCGACGTGGTCTCTTCGCTGCCCTCTTATATTCTGCTTCTGGAATATCTCGACAAACAGTCCAGCAATAATCCGCCAACATTGAAACGTTCCAATGGCCTTGATATCGCTTTTCCATGTTGGCAATATCCTGATGAAAGCGCTCCCCATGTTCATCGCTTAAAGCCCCACAATTATCCGGAAAGAAATCCAAATGCGAATGTAAAAAGTGGATTTTCAAGGACATGTTGCAACCCAGTTTTTGGAATGATGATAACATATTTTCTATAAGTTCAGCATATTGTCACTCCTTTTATTTCCTAAGAAGTTTTTTGCAACAAGGCGAAAATCATCCCAGGCTTTTTTCTTTACCTTCTAGAACCGAGTCGAAGTTATCATCTTTAAATAAATTTCTTATTTGAGGACCTACAATATTCCTTCCTTGACCTTAGCGTCACTTAATCTTGGAAATTTCTGGCGAAGATATTGAAAAGCAGCTCCATTTTTGTTCATTGCTTTTACGAAATTTTTCATCAGTCCTAGTTTAATATGCAATGGCGGAAGTAAAACATTTTGTGGGTTAACTAAAGGGTCATTTTTAACATTTTTTTGTCCAGGTTGAAGTTCTGACGATGGGGCCACAACTTTTTTTATAATGCTCTTTTCTATCACGACTATCCCATTCGCAAATGAAGCAACAAAATTTCGTGTAACCGAGCAGCAGAGCTACGACTTTCAAATCCCCGCAGATTTGCCATTGGTGTTTATCATACTTAATCCGCAACAGAAGGGTTTTCATGTTTTCATAAGACTCTTTCATATGGACCGCGTAACCAATAGGAATCGAAGGTAAAATATTTCGGTTATGTAACAAAACAGCTTTCAAGCTTAACTTCGAGCTATCTATGAAAAGTCGCCATTCATTCTGTTTATACGTAATTTTAAGAGCTTTCATCAAACCACTAACATCTATACAAAAAACTAAACTTTCAGCCATTTCAAAATATTGCGTTATTTTTTTTGTCTAGTACGGAAAGATGTAATATTCACACCACTTTCTAATAGGTTCCATTGTTGCAGTCTCGATTAAAAGTTCTGCTTTGTTCTTGGGCAAATCTAAGTCCCTTACAAGATCATTTAATTCGGCTTGTGTTATCCTGTGTGGCTGTGATGACGTACTATACTTCGGATTCTGACATTGAAGAAATTGATGGTGAAGTAAGTTTTTCTTCCTCAATATGAGGACGTTTCGGAATCGGGTGAAGATTGCTGTGCGGCAGAGGACGAGTAGCCGATGGTACATTCGGATACACTATGGTTTTTTCCTTTTTTTAGAAACACCCTTGCCTTTTCCAAATACATGGGTTGTCAGGCAGAAATAACAATCATTGCATTATATTCTCGCCAATTAACTATGGTTTTTTGCCATTCAGCCAATAAGCCTGTAGCACACGGATTGCAACAAAAATGTGGAACCCAGCTTTTATCCTGATGTTTTATGCTTTCGTTAAAATAGTAATAATAAGCTTTTTTTATTGCAGGTGATATTGAACACTTTTGCTTATTAAATATCACTTCACCACAAATGTAACAAAAATTGTCGGAATTGTTTACACATTTTCGAGACATTTTGCTATAAATTATACGTATTTTTTTTTATTTTTAATACTTTTATCACTTAGTAATACAGATCACTTTAACTAAACATAATATTTTTAACATTCGATGCCGACTAAGTAAATATAATCAGCATTATCAAGTTCAGTGAGGGTAGAATCATTAAATTCGGAAAATGTCAAGTATTGCAAAAACTCAAACTAATAAATCACTTTCACTTGTCAATTTGTATTCAGCATGGGTAGTTGAGTAGAAATTTGTTAAAATTATTTCGAATACTTTTCCGTTGTAGACCTGTGTAATTAATTAATTAATAATTATTTAATATAATTATTATAAATTGACGAAATAATCAGAGCTTCACATTATTGTTTTTATAGAATAATACGTAAGTTGTATGATATCTCTTTGATTCTTGTGTAGGCATTGTTTATAAATATGCTAGATCTTTTCTTTATTATGTTATTTATTAATTGTATTATTTTAAATGAAAATACCGTCTGTTGACGTAATTTTTTTTTTTTGTTATTTTGTCACTTCAATTTTCTTTTTATAAAAAACTACAATTATCGATTTTTTTGTAAAGGTTCATTTTGAACAGGCATAACCAATTTTGATCATTAATAATTCTTAATCAAGTGCCTACTTATTTGCTTAAAAAATAATCCGACATATATATAATAGGGTAAATCAATTTTAATTAAAGCAGACTACCTTTCTGTAGTATTTTATAACACATTATAAATTATTGTCATTTGCGTGTTATAAAAAAAATATACTTCCTTAAATACTTAGCTATTAAAAAAAAAACATCTTAATAACGAACGATAATGTAGGAAAATGGGCAAACAAATTGACTAATTTTAAACCTAAATGTGACACAATTAGGTGGACAACCGCTCAACAACTTTCCATTTTCGAACACATCCCTTCGAATATCAATCGTCTAAGGTTAAACCATGTAACAGTAACTATATTGCGCGTGTATTTATTTATTTATTTATACTTTATTGTACACAAAAATTGCATTTTTATAATTTATTTAAAAAATGTACAGGAGGCGAGTTTAACTCTGTAAGAGTTCTCTTTCAGCAAATTGTAAAATTATCTGTAAGAGATTGCCCTAGCGATAAGGTCGCCTTCTGTACCTTTATGTATATATTTTAATCTATAATTTACGTTACTGTATTTCACTTGAATTTTTCAATTGTCATTGTATTTTCTTTTTTTTTTTTTATATTTCTAGTACAATAAAGAGTTAAATAAATAATAAAAAAAAAATATTTCTTATCAATATTCAATGCGTAATATACATTTTAGTTTTTTTTTTTTACGCGCCAAATATTACAGTTATGTATCATACCGAAGCAATTAGATATTAAAGAATCAAGATTTTTTTTTTGTATTTTACATCAAGACGTCGCAATTCAAATGTTATGTCTTTTTTTTTTCAATACTTTTATTTTTAATCTTTCTAAATAGGTCGATTGAAACGACGTTAGTATTAATGTAATATTAAATTCTTTAAATTCTGTTTCAGTGGCCAAAGAAGAAGCGGTCGAGGAAAAGAAAGCTTAAACACAATTCTGTTTATAATAAATTACTATATTTATTTATGTAAATGTTTCATTTATACATTTGACTCTTAAATTAGCTATTATAATATTTATGAGAGGTGCAAGGAAAGATATTTTAAGTTATTTTATGCTAGAGCTTCTTTATTGGTATGTATAAGTGATAATCGACTATATTTAAAGACAGAAAGAACACGCCGTGTGTGGTCCCGGCATAGAATGGGCCACCCCTTCCTTTCCCGTGGGTGTCGTAAAAGGCTACTAAGGGAGGACGAGAATTGGAGAAAAAAATCTCTAAAAACCTAACTGCAGTTGCCAACCCGCCTGCCAAGCGTGGCAACTACTGGCAAAACTCCCCTTATAGGGAGGGCTTGTGTACAACAGTGGACAGTTAACGGCTGAAATAATCTATATCTATACTTATAATAAATCTGTAGAGAGGTCAATTCTGTACATGAAATATATTTCCAAAATAACTATCAGGCGGTGATTAGTGATCGATACTGATGCAAAAAATGCAATCAGTAAATTTTTTGTCTGTCTGTCTGTATGTTCGTCATAGAAACAAAATCTACTCAATGGATTTTAATAAAACTTGGTACAATTATTCTTCATACTCCTGGGCAGGTTATAGTATACTTTTCATCACGCTACGATCAATAGGAGCAGAGCAGTGAAGGGAAATGTGTCTGTTACATCAAAACCACTGAACCGTGAGGAAGGATATAGGCTACTTATTTTACGAAAAACGACGGAAACACGGACGAAGTCGCGGGGAACAGCTAGTAAATAATAAAAACAGAAAATAGTATGAAATAGATTGAGACCCAGACAGGTGTATACATAGCATGATTAAAACAGTTGCTAAACTATGTAAGTACATTAAATTTATTATTTATGTATATTTATATACAGAACTCCATCTAACCTTGCCCCTCTGATTTATGAGCTAAATATATTTAAACGGTTTTATTTAGCTCGACCTGTACGGTATTTATTTATTTGGGTCAAAATTAGAAATTGGAATTTAAGCACCTTCCCGTTGTCAGATTGATCTAAAATTTGGTACACACATTTAATTTAGATGACAATACAATATAATAAAATCAATAACATTATAAATCTAAGATGGCCGCCGATACAAAATGGCGGATTACATATTTTTCCTTAACCCCCGCAATATGGGTATCAAATGAAAGGGCTACACTAGTAAAACACGATGATTATGTCAAAATTTAAAATTCAAGATGGACGCCGTTCCAATATGGCGGACTAGGTACATATTTTTCCACAACCACCACAATATGGGTATCAAATAATAGGACTACACTGAGACACCCAGACACTAGACACTCGGACACTAGACACTCAGACGCTAGACCCTCAGACACTAGACACTCAGACACTCAGACCCTAGACACACAGACACTAGACACTCGGATACAAGACACTCGGACACTAGACACTCAGACACTAGACACTCGACACTCGACACTCGACACTCAGACACTAAACACCAAACACAAGACACTAAGACACTCGACACTCGACACTCAGACACTAAACACTAGACACTAGACACTCAGACACTCGACACTCAGACACTAGACACTCGACACTCGACACTCAGATACTAAACACTAGACACTAGACACTCAGACATCCAGACACTAGACACTCAGACACTGGACACTCGGATACAAGACACTCAGACACTAGACTCTCAGACACTTGACACTCAGACACCCAGACACTAGACACTCTGACACTCGACACTCGACACTCAGACACTAAACACCAGACACTCAGACACTCGACACTCGACGTCACTCGACACTCGACACCCGACACTCGACACTCGACACTCGACACCCGACACTCGACACTTGACACTTGACACTCGACACTCAGACACTAAACACTAGACACTAGACACTAGACACTCAGACACTCGACACTCAGACACTCGACACTCGACACTCGACACTCGACACTCAAATACTAAACACTAGACACTAGACACTCCGACACTCTGATATAAGACACTCAGACACTAGACTCTCAGACACTTGACACTCAGACACCCAGACACTAGACACTCAGACACTAGACACTCGAAACTCGACACTCGACACTTGACACTCGACACTCGACACTAGACACTCAGACGCTAGACCCTCAGACACTAGACACTCAGACACTCAGACCCTAGACACACAGACACTAGACACTCGGATACAAGACACTCGACACTCGACACTCAGATACTAAACACTAGACACTCAGACATCCAGACACTAGACACTCAGACACTGGACACTCGGATACAAGACACTCAGACACTAGACTCTCAGACACCCAGACACTAGACACTCTGACACTCGACACTCGACACTCAGACACTAAACACCAGACACTAGACACTCAGACACTCGACACTCGACGTCACTCGACACTCGACACTCGATACTCGACACTCGACACTCGACACTCGACACTCGACACCCGACACTCTGACACTCGACACTCGACACTCAGACACTAAACACCAGACACTCAGACACTCGACGTCACTCGACACTCGACACCCGACACACGACACTCGACACTCGACACCCGACACTCGACACTTGACACCCGACACTCGACACTTGACACTCGATACTCAGACACTAAACACTAGACACTAGACACTCAGACACTCGACACTCAGACACTAGACACTCGACACTCAAATACTAAACACTAGACACTAGACACTCCGACACTCGGATATAAGACACTCAGACACTAGACTCCCAGACACTTGACACTCAGACACCCAGACACTAGACACTCAGACACTAGACACTCGAAACTCGACACTCGAAACTCGACACTCGACACTTGACACTCGACACTCGACACTAGACACTCAGACGCTAGACCCTCAGACACTAGACACTCAGACACTCAGACCCTAGACACACAGACACTAGACACTCGGATACAAGACACTCAGACACTCGACACTCAGATACTAAACACTAGACACTAGACACTCAGACATCCAGACACTAGACACTCAGACATTGGACACTCGGATACAAGACACTCAGACACTAGACTCTCAGACACCCAGACACTAGATACTCTGACACTCGACACTCGACACTCAGACACTAAACACCAGACAAAAACGACGCCGTTTGTCGTATCTCCTCACTTTCAGGGCACTTCCCTTGATAAAAAGTCAAGTCTAGGAATTCTGGGCGTTGATATATCTTGCGACGTCCAGTTTTGCGGTCATCTGGAGGAGAAGGCTAAGATAGCTTCCAAAAAGTTAGGAGTGCTCAATAGGGTGAGACGATATTTCATGCCAGAACACCGCCTGAAATTATATAAAGCCCAAGTCAGGCCGCATATGGAATACTGTTCTCACCTGTGGGCAGGAGCGCCACAGTACCAACTCCTTCCGTTAGACCGCATTCAAAGTCGGGCGGCTCGAATTATCGATAGTCAACGCCTTACTGTCCGACTTGACCCATTGAAACTGCGCAGAGATGTTGCGTCTCTGTGCATCTTCTACCGAATTTATCATGGGGAGTGTTCTGAGGAATTGTTCGGATTGATACCTGCTGCTGATTTTCACCACCGTACAACCCGCCACAAACTAAAGTTTCATCCCAATCATCTGGACGAGTGGCGGTCTTCCACCGTGCGTTTTTCAAGGCACTTTCTTCCACGCACAACCATTCTTTGGAATCAACTTCCAGCAGCAGTATTTCCGAACCGATACGACAACATAACCTTCAAGAAAAGAGTATATTCCTTTTTAAAAGGCCGGCAGCATACCTGCAATGCCGCTGGTGTTGTGGGTGATCATGGGCGGCGGTAGTCACTTACCATCAGGTGAGCCGCATGCTCGTTTGCCCCCTGTGTTGTAAAAAAAAAAAAAAAAAAAAAGACACTTGACACTCAGACACCCAGACACTAGACACTCAGACACTAGACACTCGAAACTCGACACTCGACACTTGACACTCGACACTTGACACTCGACACTCGACACTCGACACTCGACACTCGACACTTAGACACAAGACACTCAGACACTCGACACTCAGACACTAGACTCTCAGACACTTGACACTCGAAACTCGACACTCAACACTTGACACTCGACACTCGACACTCGACACTCAGACACTAAACACTAGACACTAGACACTAGACACTCAGACATCCAGACACTAGACACTCAGACACTGGACACTCGGATACAAGACACTCAGACACTAGACTTTCCGAACACTTGACACTCAGACACCCAGACGTTAGACACTCAGACACTAGACACTCGACACTTGACACTCGACACTCGACACTCGACACTTAGACACTAGACACTCAGACACCCAGACACTAGACACTCAGACACTAGACCCTCGGATACAAGACACTCAGACACTAGACTCTCAGACACTTGACACTCAGACACCCAGACACTAGACACTCTGACACTAGACACTCGACACTCGATACTCGACACTCGACACTCGACACTCGACACTACACTAGACACTAGACACTCAGACACTAGACACTCAGACACTAGACACTAAGACACTAGACACTCGACACTCGACACTCGACACTCAGACACTAAACACTAGACACTAGACACTCAGACACTCGACACTCGACACTTAGACACTAGACACTCAGACACCCAGACACTAGACACTCAGACACTAGACACTCGGATACAAGACACTCAGACACTAGACTCTCAGACACTTGACACTCAGACACCCAGACGTTAGACACTCAGACACAAGACACTCGACACTCATCACTCGACACTTGACACTCGACACTCGACACTCGACACTTAGACACTAGACACTCAGACACCCAGACACTAGACACTCAGACACTAGACCCTCGGATACAAGACACTCAGACACTAGACTCTCAGACACTAGACTCTCAGACACTTGACACTCAGACACCCAGACACTCTGACACTAGACACTCGACACTCGATACTCGACACTCGACACTCGACACTCGACACTTGACACTCGACACTTGACACTCGACACTCGACACTCGACACTCGACACTTGACACTCAGACACTCAGACACTATACACTCGACACTAGACACTCAGACACTCAGACATTAGACACTCAGACACTAGACACTAAGACACTAGACACTCGACACTCGACACTCGACACTCGACACTCGACACTCGACACTCAGACACTAAACACTAGACACTAGACACTCAGACACTCGACACTCAGACACTAGACACTCGACACTCGACACTCAGATACTAAACACTAGACACTAGACACTCAGACACTGGACACTCGGATACAAGACACTCAGACACTTGACAGTCAGACACCTTTTTGGCCTCAGTTCCGTCGAACCCAAATGTACGAAACAGATATATCATCAGTTTTAATTGACTTTGGCACAGACGGCATGCACGTTATTTACCCTAAAGCCATACACTTTCCAGCAAAATTCAATTATGATACGGCTGAAAAAAGGATGTTGCCCTTAGTTTTGTCATGAGCATTCACCGTCCATAAAATGCAGGGCAGCACCGTCGACCATGCAGTAGTATATTTGGGCTCAAAATGGTTTGAGGAAGGACAAGCATACGTGGCTCTAAGTCGAGTCAAGTCTCTGGAAGGGCTATGTATTGAGGAATTAGATTGTACTAAATTATCAGGTAAGAAACCATGTAATAATGATGCACTGAATGAATTAAATAAAATGAGGAATATTCAGTAAACAATTTCACTAAATACTAAAAACAAGAAAATAAAAATCGGTAAAAAAACTTTTAAGTTAAACGGTTTTATTTTATGTGCACTGAAAACTACAAAATAAATAAATAGTTACTTACCTATCAACCTACGTAGGTGATCTCGGTCATTAATATCTCTGATGGTAGTGGTTGTCATAACATGAACCATGTCAGCGGCCGAAAGGCAGTTCATGAGAGAACACTAACACCAGGGTTTGCTTGGTAGGTAAACTAAGCAGCCCGCACTATAACAAGTAGGTATTTTGACCTTCTAGTTCAGAAATATTTTAGTACTAGGCAGAATAGCTTTTAGGCATATTAGACTAAAATAAAAACGTGGGGCCCCTCTGAAATCATACCTATAGCAGAGTATATCTTATACTTTGGTAGATCATGAGCTCGGCGTTCGCTGGTGAAGCCATAACGGCTGGTTATTGATGGTCAAAACCTCCAGTTACGATTATAGTAAGTCGATTCAGCGGACCCTGGACTCCGGAGCTATGAGGTTTCGGATGCGACCGGGATAAACCGCTAGGATGATGATGATGACGATTATAATAAGTCGATGCAATCCACACTTAGTATAGTAGAAAGTAATACAGAAATAGTTAATGGGCCCCACGTTTTTATTTTAGTCTAATATGCCTAAAAGCTATTCTGCCTAGTACTAAAATATTTCTGAACTAGAAGGTCAAAATACCTACTTGTTATAGTGCGGGCTGCTTAGTTTACCTACCAAGCAAACCCTGGTGTTAGTGTTCTCTCATGAACTGCCTTTCGGCCGCTGACATGGTTCATGTTATGACAACCACTACCATCAGAGATATTAATGACCGAGATCACCTACGTAGGTTGATAGGTAAGTAACTATTTATTTATTTTGTAGTTTTCAGTGCACATAAAATAAAACCGTTTAACTTAAAAGTTTTTTTACCGATTTTTATTTTATATGCAATTTGGAATGTCAAACAAGCTGACGGCCCACCTGATGGAAAGTGGTAACCGTCGCCTATAGACATGAGCAGTACCATAGACATAACAGAGAACGCCCATGGTACCCCTCATGCTTTTATAATATTTTAGTAATAGTTATATGCAGGCTTTTTTTTTTAATTATTGGAGTTTCCCGATGACGAAAATGGATGCTCTAATGAGATATGCTCGCAGTTATCGAGTTACATAGGATATGAGTAGGATGTATAGGTTGGGGAACAAATGGTGGATTAGTTCATCGTTGGGGGTAGGATAGGAGATTATTTTTATGCAACTTAAAATGGCAAATAAGCTGACGACCCACCTGATGGAAAGTGGTAACCTTCGCTTATAGACATGAACAGTACTATGTACCAGAGTATACTGTTTCGCCCATAATATCCCCTATATGCTAATATATATAAATTACCGATATAAGATGTAATGGAAAAGTGTAACAATGTGAAACCGCGCGATAAACCACTTATAAACAAGAGGGATATGATTTTTTTTCTGTACCGGTTACACGAACAAAGTCGCGCGTAAAAACTAGTTTTTTCAGTAACTACCTACCAAATAAAACTGGTAAGACCACTGGCTCCAAGGGGGGAAGGGATTGGTAGTAATGCGAATTATCAGTCGCATTGCTAAAAATATACCATAACAGGTCGACCTCCCCGTGGTCCCCACTGGAAACCATCGTGCTAAATTCCAAGTGTACTCATCACGATGGGCTAACTGACTTGCCTTTTGCGTAAGCGCAGGCGGGATTACCATTCCACTATCATTAAAAAAAAACCAGTGGCTCCAAAGAGTACAAGATGCAGTTTCAACTCGTTTCCACTTCCCATAGCAATCACTCAAACATTCTATAGTTTTCTTTCAGCTTGTTGAAGTTTGACTCTAAGAGATCCCCTCTATGGGATAAGTGCGCCACTGTCTGTTAAATCTTCTAAATGTCCAATGTAAAGTATGTACAATAAAAAAATTACAATAAACAATTATTATAAGTAATTTTAAATATTTTTACAAGAGTTATTCTGCACTTTTTAATAAAACAGAGTCTGCACTTTATTTGCCCATCAACTACCAACCCAACTTGTCCATTGGCGAACTCAACTGATCTTTAGAGTTGCAAAATAGGATTTGGGATTCCATTTATCGTGTATTGACCAGTTGATAAATGACTTGACGATGACGACTGCTGATCTATAATGATGTATAATAATATATCAACTACTAGGCAGCTTCGTCGAAGTACCCGTCCAGCTGCGTGGCGATCTGGAATGTAAGACAAATGCATAAATCATTCCGTATGGTTCCAGCATAGAATGGGCCACCGTTTCCTTTCCCGTGGCTGTCGTAAGAGAATTAATGAATATTGATTTGCAAGAAAATGTTAATGGTATGGCAAACAAGCTGACGGCCCACCTGATGGAAAGTAGAAACCGTCGCCTATAGACATGAGCAGTACCATGGACATAACAGAGTATACTGTTTCGCCCATGATACCCCCCATGCGTTGCCATTCCTGAGGACTCAGGCGTTATTCCTCTGTACCCAGTAAATTCACGCCATATCCCACCCTTCAAACCGAAACACAGCCATTCAAACACAACTGCTTCACGGTTGAAACACGAATGGGACAGAGGTGCCCAAGCAATCGACTTTTGTACAAAGTCTCCCTCTGGTGATGGTATCGGACATTTTTTGTATTGTGGTCAATAAAGAATAGATAAATAAACATGTACCTGCACGGGGCTGTACTTGAGGTACTTGTCGGGGTTCTTGGAGAAGGGCAGCGGTGCGCAGGCGTCCCAGAAGGCGGTGTAGGGCGGCAGCAGCGCCTGCTTGTTGTCGCGCTTCAACGCCTCGCGTAGTTCCGCGTCCGGCACGCTGTAGCCGCGCTGCGAGCGGCACGCCTCCTCCCACTCGCGGTTGAATGCCTACCACGCGTATTCAACGAACAAATAAATATCTTTGCTCGCAAATTATAAAGGTATTATAGTTAGTAATTATAATGGGGTACGTACCGCGAACTTGTCCTTCAGCATCTGACGATCCTTGTCCCTCAGTTTCGCCGGCAGCGGCTCGTCCAATACTGTGTGCTGAAGCAGTTTATTCCAACTGGAAAATATATAATTAATTACACTATTATCCTTGATAATATTACAAATGGGGGAAAGAGATTGTCAGTAATGAGGGTCTAAGGGGGGCAATCAAGTAAATTTACAACGGCGGAAGGTAAAATCGGCGAACACATAGCGTGACATATATTTTTTTTTTTGATTAAATAAAATACTAGTGAATTAAAATCTCCGAATTTGGCAACCCTTTTATTTTTGTTTTATGGGGAATCCTAACAGGACTTTAGTTTATGGCGGGTTGTACGATGGTAAAATTTAGCAGCTGGTATCAAATCAAACAATTCTTCAGAGCACTTCCCACGATACTTTCAATAAAAGATGTAATGTTTCTACGCAGTTAAATAATGTAGAAAAATGTTCAGTTTGAAGCTATAGAATATGACCTATATACATGTAACTATATCAAAAACACCACCTCTGCAAGTAAGCGTTCTTGTACTCCTGTATCATGTCGCGGTAGTTGGCCTCGCACTCGGGCTCCGCCAGCATGAGCACGTCCAACAGGCCGTCACGTTGGAGACCCTGAAATCATTCTTTTTTTTTACCACTAAGGTGGCAAACAAGCATACGGCCCACCTGATGGTAAGCGGTTACCGTAGCCTATGAACGCCTGCAATACCAGAGGTATTACGCGCGCGTTGCCGACCCTGAAGAAACCTCTTTACCCCCTTTTGAAGAACCCCAAGCTGTAGTCTTTTGGGAAAACCTTGGCAGGAAGCTCATTCCATAACCTGAGTGTTCGTGGTTATTTATTATTTACTTATTTATATAAAAATAATAAATACTATTTGTTGGTAAGGGTCTGTTCACAAAATGTCATGGGTACTTAGCAATATAATTTTACGATATTTACAGCTGCAGTGTGCAGATGTCATCTCTAACCTCCCTCTACACACCTCATATAACCACAGAAAAGATCAGAAAGTTAAAATAACTAAATTAATTTAAAAAATATTTTGTGACAATAATAATAATAAAAAAATAAAAATAAATACCTGCAATAAATACAGTGTGTTGTTCAACAGGAATATGGCTTTCAAAGCATCTGGATACTGCTCGCTCTTGTTGCGCAGCGCTAGATTTAGCTGAGCCAGGACTTTACCTAAAAAAAAACATAAGTTTCACAAACTATTCATTCATATTACAATATGTGATTTCATTTAAGATAAAAAAGCAAGAAGAAGAAAGAAAGAAATAACCGAAAAAGCATGCGGCCCACACAGTAGCGCACAAGACAAGAACAAAAGAAATCAAAAACAAAACAAACAAAAGAAAATAATAATTGTATACAAATAGAAAGCAATTAAAGTATAATAATAATCAACAAACAAACAAACAAACAGTAGGATAACTCTTGAATCCAACATCGATATCAAAAAACATTATTTTTATTGCTAACATCATACATAAGTATTGTCATGTGAAAATACACAGGCATAATATAACACTATACTAGTAATAACTGTCCATAACCGAAAAAAATAAAAATGGCGGAATCCATTTTGACTACCGCCATTATTTTACAAGTCTAAAAATATTCAAAATTCGTTACAGGTTAACTCGCCAAAATTAAACCGAAACAATCTAAACTTTCTCCTCTGTCTATAATAATGAGCGCTATTGAGAAAAAGAATCGTTTTGAAATCCGCCATTTTTTGAGAAAATAAAAATGATCCCAAATTTTTCAACTAGCCAATGCAAATTATTTGAGATAAAATTTATTCATATTCGGGAAGTAAAAAATAAATAAATAAAAAGAATTATTAAGAAAATTAGAAATTCAATCGCCATTTTCATCAAGCAATTAAATAAAGCATTAAAAAGGATTGTGCTGTTATACAGGCATCAAATTATAATTATTACAAAAAACATATCTCGCTCGAGTTACTCATTACATTTTTCTAGTGATGAAAATTAGAATGGTAGTTAGATAGTTAGGTAGTTAGGATGGCAGTACTCACGCATGTAGAGCGCGAGCATTGCGGCGTGTGGATCCCGCGCCTGCAGCGCCCCCCCGCGGTTGTATGCCGGGTCCGTCGCCAGCGCCGGGCCTGCGAACCAATGGCAAAGTTGCTCACAATGTGGTGATAGTAACATACAATATTGTCTTTTTTTATAAAATACAAATTGATTCAATATTTAAACTAATGGAAAATAATTTAATATACGACTTACACTATTCAGTTTTTTTATGAAACAGGCAAAGAAATTGAAAGTCCACCTAATGGAAAGTAGTAACGGTCGCTTATAGAAATTAATAATACCATGGATATCACAGAATACACAGTAACGTTCATGGCACATTGGTGTGTTTTTTATGGGTGATAATGGAATAGTGACCCCACCCGTGCTATCGGTATAAACCAGCGGGGCATCAGTGAAGGATGATAGATGAGAAAGAACAGGTCAGTTAGCCCATCGTAACGAATCTTACAAGAATTCTTTACGATGGTTTCCAGGGGGAACTACGTGGTGGTTGAGCTTATAGGGCATATTGCTAGGGCTGTCAAACTGTATTGCTTGGACACAGTAGTAGTAGAGAGCAGTGGTGTGTGTTGTACCTATGGTGTGCTTGTGCGCCGCGAGCGCGTGCAGGTGCGCGAGCGCGGCGGCGGCGAGCTGGTGCACGGTGCCGTCCACCGCGCCCGCCGCGCCGCACGCCCGCACGCCCTCCACCCACTCCTCCAGCGACCGCAGGCACTGCGGGCGCACGTATGCCTCACTACACTACTACCCTCTTATATTACATACATAGTGGTTGTAAAATATGCTGGTTCTTATTGTTTTATATTATTATTTATTAATTATATTAATTGCAAGTAGAAATGTCGTCTGTTGACATTATTGATTTGATGTAATATATATTTTATTACAAATTCATTTTTTTTATTTTATTTTTTATAAAAAACAAATAGTACATTACTGCAGCGGCCGGCAAGAGAGGCATTGATGGACGAACGTCTGAATGTGGACCGAGGGGAACCCGAGGCACACATACGTGAGTCCATCAATGCCTAGTTGCGGCCAAGGCTTGTATAGTACTTTTCTCAAATAATGCGCGGAAATTATTCAAATTCACGTTATGTATCATTAAAATTGTGCATTTTAGCATTGAATAGATGACCCAAAGCGTTGTAGGCTTCACTTTCTTGGCGAGTTCGCCGAAATAAGCCAAAAAAACATTTTCGGATAAGGATTTCGATTTTCTTTCATTCTTCCATTGAACAAAATTTTCATAGATTTTCAAATATTTTTCTTTAGATTTTGGCAGCAACAAGTTTTCTACTACGGCTCTTGCTGCCTCTTGAATTTCAGGTGGCGTTAAAATAATTTCATTACACTCATTGTCTTCACTTGAACTCATTTTGTTAAATACAAAAGTATTTAAAACCAATGACGAAGTTGACGAACAACTAATAACAATAAATTTTTACGCGCCAAAATTTTTTTTTTTCACTAAACAGCTTTCTATGTGCAAGGCAGTTCGAAATTTAAATTAAACCTTTGATAAGTTACCTCTTTGATCGCCATGTTGCGGAGTAGAAGATCGTTCCATTTTTAAATTACATGACAAATATGATTTTACATAGTAATTTATCTGGCCGCTAAACACGACAGATATGGATTTTCATACAACTATTGCCGGCCGCTGCTCGACCAGTACCGCAAGTTCGATTTATCTCGAAGAAGGTTGTCAAAATAATGCTCACATTTCCAAGCATGTTTGAGAAAAAAATATTAATGTATATATAAAAAGACTCATTTTGAACAGATAGAGGAACAAGACTCAAAAACGGACCAACTTTTTAACAGCTAATTGTCAAATTAACTGACTCGTTCTTTTTATCAGTGTTCTATATACTTACGCATTCAATGTATCTTGACGTATCATTTGATAAATAAAATGAGCATTTACGCACTGAAAAGATTTAAAATTTATAAGATAAAATAAATATAGACGTTACAAAAGATTCACTCGTGACTATTTATCATGCAAAATTGTATGAAAAAGTTGGGCCGTTTTTGTGGAAGCGTTTGTACGGAGGCAGTGTACTGCACCTGCGCCTGGCAGGAGGCGAGCAGCGCGGCGTAGGGCGCGGGCGAGGCGGGCGCGAGCGCGCGCTCGAGGTCGGGCTGCAGGCGCCGCAGCCGCGCCAGCAGCGCCCAGCCCGCGCCGCCGCCGCCGCCGCCGCCGCCGCGAGCCGCGCCGCGCCGCACGCGGCCCAGCGCACGCTGCACACCCACACCACAACGCCACGCTCTACTCGCTTGCCGAACATATGCTCACAAGGGGAAAGAAGGAGGGCAGTCCCCATTGCTATCAATATACTTTATCAGGTTGAACTCCACGCGGTTCCCCCCGATAACCATCATGACAAATTTATCGTGGAATTCGTCACGATGGGCTAACTGACCTGCTTTTTCATCCTCACCAATTATCCCTCACTGGTGCCCCGCCAGCGTATACCGATAGCACAGGCAGGGCTACAATTTCATCTTCACTCATTAAAAAAAAAAACTCTCTTTACCTATAATATTTACCACACGAATACGCTATAAACTTGGTCCAATGAAATTTCATTTCATTTCATTTCCAAAATATGCCTAGGAGATGCTAAGCAATTATCGACGCCAATAGTGACTAAATGTGTTACTAATATTATTGCATCTTCGCTTGGATCAGAACAATGACTCTATATATTTTTTATTTTATTTTATATAAACTTTTTTACAAATTAAGCCGACTACGCTCTTACATGACAGGCTGTATATTTTACTTAAAAAAATCATTCTGTAAATCGATAACTGATAAACAAATCACATTTTATTAGTAGCATCATTTAACTGCATTTTTAGGAAATTAACCTATGTGTTGAAGCCGTGAGATAACCCTTACAAATACATACGTCGACATCGTTGGCGAGAATCTGGAAGCAGTCCTTGAGGACCTGCGAGAGCAGCGCGGGCAGGCGCTGCAGCGGCACGAGCCCCAGCAGCTGGCGCTGTTCGTGGCGAGCCAGCCGCACCAGCGCCGCCGCCACCGTGCCCGCCACCTCCGCCTCGTACTCGTCCAGCGTCTCGTTACTCTCCTCCGTGTCTGCACAATAATAATATCATATACATGTACACACGTTCATAACAGCAAGCGACAATTTCAATTTTCGATCGGGTCATATTTGGGAACAACTCATTTACCAACTGATTTTGCAAATGTTGCAATGTGACCCACTTAGTCTATTTTTTCTTATCGGAATAAAATCTAGTACATCTCTTAAACTCAAACTAACAATACATACTTACAAAATGTTATTAAAATTCTTTGAACTATTTTGAATTGAATTTAAATTAAAAATAAGTGATTTTTTATATAATAAAATTTGAAATAATAACTGGAAATATGAAATACTCCAATGGAAGGTTGTGGACACAAAATACTTACAAGAATCGTTCATAGAGCGCCTCGAGCCAATCGCCAGTCCAGTGGACTGCTCCAGCGTCTGGGATGCCTTCATCATTATCTTGTTGGCGCGCTTCTCCAGACTGGATATAACGATTTGTCTTTTTTAGATATGTTTATTGTATTTTCTATAATGTTGTAAGAGACGATTTACTTACACTTTCTGAATTTTGCTCGTTTTCTTTGTGGCGCTGTCTGAGCGATGAAGCATGTTCTTAGCTCTCTGTTAATAATACCGGATAATATTTATATATTTGTAAATTCGAAGGTTACATAAACAATAAATAAACAAGTTAGGAAAGAAAAATAATAATTCAATAAACGTCATATCGCGATACCAAAATATTTTGATATCCGCCATTTTGGTACAAGTGCCCGGCACTATCACTGTATAGTGTGAATAAGATTGCGCCTTTGCAAGCGTTCGTATAGAGGATAAATATTGAAAGATTACCATGAGCGGCGAGGCGGCCATGGAGCGCGAGCGCAGGTAGTCCTTGAAGGCCTGCAGCGAGGCGCGGGCGGCGGGCGCGCGCAGGCGCAGCAGCGCGGCGGCGGGCGGCCGGCCGGCGGCGCCGAGCCAGCTCGCGGCCGCCGCCAGCCACTCGCGCGCCGCCTCCGCGCCCACGCCGCTGCCGCTCGCGCCCACGCTCACGCTGTCCGCGCTCGAGTCTGCACCACCACCATGCGTTAAACGTAAAGTACGATCAAAATAGACATGTACACAGTCTCCACCTATCGACCGTCACTTAAAATTATTTTCTTTAGTTTACAAAAAATCGTTTCTTCACTAAAAATTACTAATATTTTTAACAGAAATGACATCGGTTTGCATAGTAGAAAGTCAATTCCATTTTTACATTCATTGCATAGTATCATATGATAATATGGACTTTATTAATATACAAACTTTCTAAAAGTAAAGCTCCTGTTACCTTATCTTTTTGTTTAAATATCAAATCTCATAATGGGGATAGCTGTCTAAACAAATACTTAAAAAAAGAAGCAAATTTGATCCGCAATTTTAAAATAACCCTAAGATACGTTTTGAACTCGACATTCTCAAACAGTAGTCATGTTTACACAAAAGTAACAATTTTTAACTCGCTATTACAAATAATTCGGCACCGTAAAAACCATTTTGCCTTCCGCCATTTTACACAAAATGAAAAAATGCATTGTTCTTAAATTGAACATCCTAATTTATTACAAATAACATAGTATCAAAATAATATAAAATTTAGATACTGCTGTTTTTTACAAAATCCAAAAATATCCATATAAAATTTTGAAATCCATAATTTTTTCCTAAACAAAAAAAATCTAATTAAAAATTATATTTTTTTTTAATCGGACAAATCTAATTAATCAGAAAAGACACGACATGTAGAATAGTATAAGATTTTTATTTCCGCCATTTTTTACATACAATATTGTCGACAACCAAATTAAAATGATACAAAAAAGCATAATCTTATTCTTTTAATCGAAAATACCACATATCGTCACAGTCGTAGAATACTGACGGATCTATATATGTAATATTTGTCAGATCCGTCAGTATTCTACGACTGTGACGATATTTCTGTATATATTTTATAAACGCAGATAAACACGTACCTTCCTCCAGAGCTATCATGTCCATCAGCGTTGTCGGCGCCAGAGGTCTCGTGTGACGACTGAGGAGCTCCTCGAAAGCATTCTCTAACTTGGTAACTCCAATGTTATATAATTGATTCTGAAATTGAAACTTCATATTGTTGAAATGACTATAAAATAGCAACAAAGTTGATATCAGTAACAAAGAAATATCGTCACAGTCGTAGAATACTGACGGATCTAACAAATATTACATATAAAGATCCGTCAGTATTCTACGACTATGACGATATTTCGACAATAATGGATTCAATTATGACAAATTTACCATCAGACAGGCTCCTCATGTATGCTTGATTGCCACCACTGTGGTATAAATAAATAAAGAATCAACATGGAAATAAACATTTTTTTTTTTTGCTGCAGACAACAGCCAATTACAAAAAGCAGTAATCCTCAGATGCAACAATTTTTTTTTTATTGGTAGAAAATGGAATGGTAACCCCGCCTGCGCTAACGGGATACGCTGGCGGAGCACCAGTGAAGGGTGATAGATGAGAATGAAAACAGGCCAGTTAGCCCATGAATTCCTGATGAATTCATCATGATAGTTTCCAGGGAGGACTGCGAGGAGGTCTACCTGGTTGGGTATATTGCTAGCGATGGGATTCTCAATCTCCATTACTAACAATCCCTTTCCCCCCCAGATGCAACAGTTACTTACAATATTTTCAAGCTCCACACTCTGAGGATTGTTTTTGTTGAAGTAATTTTGTGCCTCTGCCAATTTATCCAAAGCCTAAAACAATTAATAAATACTTGAATTCATTTAAATTGTATAATAAATTAAACATTAATTGTATAATTATACAACATAAACTAAATTATTTTTTGCACAGCAGTCTATTTTAAAATTTAATTTAAAATTAGGGAGAGTTTGTACAAAAGTCGATTGCTTGGGTACCTATGTCCCATTCGTGTTTCAACCGTGAAGCAGTTGTGTTTGCATGGCTGTGTTTCGGTTTGAAAGGTGGGATATGGTGTGAATTTACTGGGTACAGAGGAATAACACCTGAGTCCTCAGGAATGGCAACGCATGGGGGTATCATGGGCGAAACAGTATACTCTGTTATGTCTATGGTCTATAGGCGACGGTTAACACTTTCCATCAGGTCGTCAGCTTGTTTGCCATTCTAAGTTGTATAAAAAAAATAAAAAATAGTTCATAAATGTAATTAATTTCATTTCAATTTTGACATTACATTAATTTACTGTTATTCTATTAATTAAGTCTCTACAATAAATAAAAATCACTTTTGAATACCTAATCCAAAACAATAAAATAAATTGTAATAAATATAATGGCTACAAAATGAGTACATACTTCCAAATAAATGTTCAATGCTTCAATACTAGTTGTGTGGGGTCCACCTTGTATGAGGTCAGCTAACTCCCTTGACACCATATAGTAGCTGATTACATGGTCCAAGGCCTTTGCTGTTCGTTCCATATCTATGCATACAAAATGATATTTAACCCTTAAATACCTTAAGTTTCAAATTTGATACCGGAGTTTGCATTGTTTCATTGTTAAATAAATTTAAATATTTTGATTACCGTAGTGCCTAAAGTATCAAAAATAATACCAAAATTTTTTTTCAAAATAAATATATAAAAATATTGTTAAGATTTTTTTTACTATTTTTCCCCATTAGTAAACACAGTACACAGTGTACCCTACATTTATATTTTGTTTAATTTGATTTAAAAAATCAGGCTTTTAAGGGTTAAAGGAAAAAACATGACATATCATTATAATTTCAAATGGATCTGTGTCAAATATTTTAGTTAACTAAAGACAGCAACTCATACTTTAAGTAGACATAAAAAATATATACTTTGTTGGATATCTTTAAATAAATAAACATGAAAATAGGAGGTATGTATATGTATGTTGCATCTTTAGCAACTAATTTCAACGATACTTTTCTTAACTGAATTACTTATTGTACAAAATTAAAACCTACTTTGATGTATATGCTGCAACCTTGCTGTATCCCCGTACAGAGGTAGCACAGCGGTCTCCAGCTGTTGCAGCCTTTGCTCGCAGGCACCCAACACGTTACACACATCATTTGCCAGTGACGAACTACGGCTGGCAGCTGCTTTTAGCTCCTGGATATTACTCATCTCCTGCAGAATATGACTAATAAGTAAGTGCTAAAAATTTATGCTAAAATTTATCTACAATAAGTATATACACATACATGACAATTAATATATGTCATATAATTAAGTCTTGGCATAGAATAGGCCACCCCTTTCTTTCCCATGGGTGTTGTAAGAGGTGACTAAGGGAAGGTGAGGATTGGGCAGCAGTATTCACTCTTAAAATATTTCCTAAGCCTAACTGCTATTGCCAATCCACTTGCCAAGCTTGGCAACTAGTAGCAAAACCCTCCCAAGGAGGCTTATGTTTAGCAGTGGACAGTTAAAGGTCGATATGATGATGATGATAGTGAGTGAGATCAAGAATATAGTCTACACAAAGCTATTTGGAGTAAAATACCAAAATTAATTGCTCCGCAAGAGTCATTTATAAAAACAAAAATCTAATAAAAATATATAATTCTAGTGTTTAGTCTCTATCAAATTGAAAATTTACTTCAATACTTAAATATGTCTATTATACAATTTTTTTTAATGGATGATAATGGAATGGTAGCCCTACCTGCGCTGTTGGTATACGCTAGCGGGGCACCAGTGAGGGATGATAGATGAGGGTGAAGCAGGTTAGTTAGCCCATCGTGACAGATTCAACAATAAACCACGATGGTTTCCAGGGGGAACCGCGAGGAGGTTGACCTGATAGGGTTTATTGCTAGCAATGGGGTTGCTAATCCCCATTACCAACAATCCCTTCCCCCTCTATTATACGATTGAAGTATTCATTAATATGATTATGAAAATTTAATTAATTAACACCATTTAAAACTTAGTGGTAGAAGGGTTAAAATTACATAAAACAATTGCTTCAAACAATAGACATAATATAAGCACAACTTTCTCTGTCTATAAGAAAAAAATGTTACCTTTTTTAATTTCATCTCTATTTCGAATTTCTTTTCAATAGCAATCATGTTTCTGGATCTATTACAAATTATATCACTCCTGTGATGACAGGGTTTTAAGTTAAACGAGATATTGTCCCGAAAATATAAAAAAGTATACAACTAATCCACGGCTTGAAAAATATAAAATATTTTTTTTTATAAAAAATAACTAATTTCCATTTATTTTATTTTTGTTTATCCAGTTTGGATCCACCTACTTACTACAGTACTTGACATTGACATAATCATTTTGATATATGACAAGTTGACGTTGACAGTAGACTACTGACTGCACTTTTTTTACAAAACGCTTTCAGAAACAGTCTTTAAATGAAGAACAAACTTGTTAATCCCTTTCGGTCTTATGCTCGATAACCAATTTCAAATGATACAAAAACCGAATGTTGTGTCGTTTCTCTATTACCTTTCATTCACAAACGATGAAATCTAAAATTGTAATATATCCTCAGATATATAGAATAGAGAATAACTACTTTATTTTCTTTTTCTTATATTTAAATGATTGATCAATTGATCGTGTACGAAGAAAATTAGTAGTCTATGTTGTGTGTGTATCCGAACATAAAATAGTAACTGTGATGACGTGCCGTGAACTTCCGAAACGTGGCTGACGTTTCTTGTTTTGTCATTTCATTTGTGCAATACATTAACTCTTACTGTTATTCGTGTGCCTCTTTTTGAATAATTTCTTTCATTTATAATAAACCAATACCTATGTAAGTACATTTAATACCAGTAAATTTATATAAACTAACAAATAATATAAATCACAGTGGAATATTGTGTTAATTTCAGAAAATGGATCAAATTGCTAAATTTATCGAACCAGGCAAGCAGTTCGCTAAAGACTCCATAAGACTGGTCAGGAGATGCACTAAGCCAGACAGAAAAGGTATGCTTTTATCATTCTTTTAACATTACTCTTGTGCTTAACATCACAAAATTGTCAATTGCAAGCAAATGAAGACACCTAATAGAGTACCTGTCCTTAATTAATAATCATTTCCTATTCTGAGCAAATGAAGAATAAAGAAGGAATTCGGTTGTCTAAACAGATTTGGATGTAAACAGATTTTGAATTCATTCTTTCCCACCTTTTTTTTTTCATACTACTGAGGTGGCAAACAAGCATACGGCCCACCTGATGGTAAGCGGTTACCGTAGCCTATGAACACCTGCAATACCAGAGGCATTACGCGCGCGTTCCCGACCCTGAAGAAGCCTCTTTACCCCCCTTTTGAAGAACCCCATACTGTAGTCTCTTGGGAAAACCTCGGCAGGGAGCTCATTTCATAACCTGAGTGTTCATGGGAGAAAACATCTCTGGAACCGCATTGTACGCTACCATTTAGGCTGTAAGTCAGGACATCTGATAGTACATCCTCACAGATTGGTCTCATAGAAATTTTATTAAAATCGATTCAGTAATTTTTAAGTTGAAATAATTGGTTTTATCACAGTTAAATTCAGTTTTTTGTATAACACAATTTTATCTGATAAGTAGTTGTTAGGTATATGCAAGGCTAAAAGATTACTTCCAAACATAAGTTTTTATAGTATTGGAAACATGTCTAGGAATCTAATAATTAATTTAATTATTATTTAATCCTTGATTCTGTAATTAAATCACTATTTATTTTTTATTAACTTGATTAGTATATCATTAGATCTAGATTGACTTTCATTTTTAACAAATTGAAATATTTTATCAATGAGATTTAATCAAAGTATAAACTTATTTTCATGATTCTTTTTTATCAATAAAGTTTGCTTATATATAAAAAGTATTGTCACAGTTTTTATTGTTTTACTACAATTAACTACTATAAATATTCTATAAATGTTTACCAATTGAATTACATACTTATTACAATTAATAAAATTTGAACTTCTTTTATTTCAGAGTTTCAAAAAATCGCCATCGCCACAGCAATCGGTTTCTGCATCATGGGATTCATTGGCTTCTTTGTAAAACTGATACATATCCCGATCAACAACATCATCGTAGGATCATAGGCTCCGTGTAGTTGTAGTTTAGCAATAACATTTAATATAAGGCCCCACACTCTAAGTTAAATATTCTCTTATACATTGTTTTATTTCTCTAATAAAATAAATTATTTTTCATTTCAAGAAATTTTTTTTTTTTTCTTTATATTACAGTTCATCTCAATAATTGGCAGCTGTCTTATAATAGTATGTTTCAATAGTACTTAAAGAAAATGTAAAAATATATTTGAATCAATAATATGACAGTCTGCTGACTTCCAATATTTTTTTATTCATACTACAAATCAAAAATTTATAATTGATTAAATTCTTATTTATTTATTTCATCAACTGAGTGACCTTTACAGTCTTCCAATATACTCGCCCAAGAAAGCATTAATACAGTAACATGTGTGTATAATTTAATGGACTAATATTAATTACTAAAATCATAACAACAATTGAAATAACGTCTATATCTTAATTCTCTGAACCACATATTTTGTGGTCATCCAAAGAAACTCCAGCAAGTTGGAGGCAAACATGTCTAATTACCAATACTGACTCAAAACATTGAGTAGTATCAATGCAAGAGAGAGGTGATCGAATCCTTATTTACATCCATGAGCATAGGTACGTTTTAATTTAGGTTTCAATAAATAAATACACCCTTGCACTGTAACAGATGAGATTTATTATTATTATTTTCAGTATATTCCTGAGCTTATATACACAGGTTAGAAGTCTTAATATCGGAAGGGGGAAAGGGACTATTAGTAATGGAGACTAAAAATCCCATTATTAGCATATAACTAACCAGGTCGACCTCCACGCGGTTCCCCCTGGAAACTATCATGATTAATTCTTCATGATGAATTCATAATGATAGGCTAACTGGCCTGTTTTCATTCTCATCGATCACCCTTCACTGGTGCTCCGCCAGCGTATCCCGTTAGCGCAGGCGGCGTTACCATACCATTTTTATCCAACAAAAAAATCTTAATATCGCATTGTAACACACACATACTAAAATAACTCCATCTAGTGGTCAATCTGAGGAGTAATTCTGTTGTTTCCATAGTTACGGACACACCTATTATACAAGAGACGAGCCAATTATTATCTATTTATTCTATTATTTCATTTAGAGAATGTTTCTAATATTTGTACAAAAGTCGGTTGCTGGAGTACCTTTGTCCCATTCGTGTTTCAACCGTGAAGCAGTTGTTTGCAAGGCTGTGTTTCGGTTTGAAGGGTGGGATATGGCGTGAATTTACAGGGTACAGAAGAATAACACCTGAGTCCTCAGGAATGGCAACGCATGGGGGGTATCATGGGCGAAACAGTATACTCTGTTATGTCCATGTTACTGCTGATGTCTATAGGCGACGGTAACCACTTTCCATCAGGTGGGCCGTCAGCTTGCCATTCTAAGTAGTATAAAAAAAAATATATCGCAAACATTGCTAGTTTAAGTAGATTTATTTAAAAGTTACTTTTCAATTATTTTTTTGTACTATCGTGCTGGATTTGATGTGCTATGCATAAAAAATAACACAAATGAACAGTTTCAACTTTTTTTTTATTAATAATTTAAAATAAAAAAAAGACAGTAGAAGTAAATAAATACCTATTATAATTGTCAACTTTAATATAATTCTAAATTAGTAAAAGTATAATTTAGTTATATAGACTACATACTATCTTTTTCCATCACGTGTATATAAAATCCTGGTACTGAAACCTGGTCTATAGGTTTGAAATCGGCGAAGATCTGATGCTTGGCGCGATAGTCGAACGCTTCGTCCAACATTCTGGTGAATGTATCCAGTTTGTGCGGGTAGTAGCAAAGACGGAAGTCGCTGGAAGAAATTATAAAGCAGTACTGTAGTTAATCGCACGGAATTAAATTATAAAAGGAAATTGAAAATGGTGATCATACACTGTACGCGTGTCTTTTTTTTTTTATATATATGTAAGTAATACCCAAGTAAATATTTTTTTTTAAGATTTCTATATCTCTCGACAGATGTACATGAGTTCTTTCAAGACGGCTTATTTTTTTCTTTTGGAAAATTATATATTTAAATATATCCGATTTCTAACTGTTATTATAGCCAATGTAAAAAAAAAAATCCTGTATTAGTCTAAACAGCCAGCGTAAAATAGCTGAAGAGATATATGCGTACAGATCACTCCACTTCACGGGCAAAGATGTGTGTGGGTTATTCGAAGAAAATAATTCTAAATAAAGCCCTTTCAAGTTTTGAGAGCGTGGACTGTAATAGGTAAAGTAACAACACTAGGATTAAAAAAAATATGTATTTATATATATTTAATAAAATCACTATAAAGTGCACCAAGCGACTGTCTCGTTTGGAGTACGGACATCACCACAACAACACTTCTACCATCAGACACTAGATGGCGCTACTTGTTAAATTAAAACTCACATTTTTTAAAATAGATTTTGTTGCTAGCTGCAATTTTTACACTGCGACCGCATTAAGACAAAGAAAGAAAAATAAAGGAGGAAATTAATATGTCCTTAACCAGTACCTAAATTGAGGGTCGAGGTCCAAGAGTTGTAGGATTACCAAAGAGGGCGCCACAGAAACCACTTATCATATTCCAAATTTTTTTAATGGGTAATAATGGAATGGTAACCCCGCCTGCGCTATCGGGATACGCTGGCGGGGCACCAGTGAGGGATGACAGGTGAGGATGAAAACACAGGTCCCTTAGCCCATCGCGACGAATTCCACTAGAATTAACCACGACAGTTTCCAAGGGGAACCGCGTGAAGGTCGACCTGATAGGGTGTATTGCTAGCAACGGGTCAATTAGACCCCATTACTAACAATCCCTTTTCCCCTTCATATTCCACGTTAGTCGATTGAATAGCAATGAAGAACTAAGCAACCTGATGAGTCACCGGGTTCGTTGCATCGTCAAAAATTTGCCTAGCTAAGGCCGGGGCTGTACCTAACTAGACAGATACCGAATCGTAATAATTTAATTACCTCCTTTCATTGTCGTCGTCATTAGCGCCATCTATACAGTAGTCTAGTGCAACTAACTCTGGTTTCCCGCGCACCACCAGTACTGATGTTTTGATGTCCACCGGATATTTACACTGAAAGAAAACGGAATTTAAGTATTTCATTTATATAAATCTCTGTATATATGAGGGGCGCCTACTTATAAGAGTATCATGCAATATTGATAAGTATAGAGTTTTTTTTTTTTTTTGATGGGTGAAAATGAAATGATTACCCCGATGAAATGAAATGGTAACCTCGCCTACGCTAACGGGATACGCTGGCGGAGCACCAGTGAAGGGTGATAGATGAGAATGAAAACAGGCCAGATATTTCATGATGAATTCATCAGGAATTAATCATGATAGTTTCCAGGGGGAACCGCGAGGAGGTCGACCTGGTTGGGTATATTGCTAGCAATGGGATTCTCAGTCTCCATTACTAACAATCCCTTTCCCCCTGGTAAGTATAGAGTTATATTCGCTTTTTTACGAAACTTATAAAAACAAACTAACGGCCAATGCGATGGAGAGTGGTAACCGTCACGTTAAGACGTCACAGGATATTCTGTGACGCTCATAGTGCTATTATTGCTACGCTCGTGCGATACCATTTGGTGACAGGAGCACGAGTGAATAGAGGTAAGTACCCTTGCAGCTTGCATGCGATTTGTACAGTCTCCCTCAGATAATGAAATTTAAATATTATGTACAGAAAAGATTTTTTTATGCAACTTAGAATGGCAAACAAGCTGACGGCCCACCTAATGGAAAGTGGTAATCGTCGCCTATAGACATGAACAGTACTATGGACATAACAGAGTCATATCCCACCCTTCAAACTGAAACACGAATGGGATAGAGGTGACCAAGCAAAACACTTTTGTACAATCTCCTTCAGGTAAATTACTATATATATATATATATATATATATATATATATATATATATATATATATATAAAATTATTATAAAAAAAAACTAATTTAAAATCTGCCTCTATCCGTGCTATATGATTTAAATATGGACTAATTAGTTTCAGGTATTTATTAAATGTTATTTCGTTCACGTACTATGTTATTTATATATTTATATATATATATATATATATATATATATATATTAAATAAAGATGTACAAAAGGCGAGTTTAACTCTGTAAGAGTTCTCTTCCAGCAAACCCTGAGTTGAAAGGAGCATTAATTACCAGCGGGCAGTGTGCGTACAATAATAGGAGGAAACAGTATAGTCTCCTATTAGGGTTTGTAATAAATATATTGACATATATATATATATATATATATATATATATATATATATATATATATATATATATATATATATATATATATATATATATACAATTATCTTACCTAGTTTTATAATAATATTATTACAAGTAATAACTGACAATTTGGAGCGATAAACCGGATAGTAACGTAAACAGGGATAATGAAACGCTGATAAAAGATGTTTTTGCATAGTAACAGTAAGAAAGATCTCCGTTTTATGGATTTATTTGATGGACAATGGACATAACAGAGTATACTGTTTCGCCCATGATACCCCCCATGCGTTGTCATTCCTGAGGACTCAGGTGTCATTCCTCTGTACCCTGTAAATTCACTGTCATATCTCACCTTTCAAACTGAAACACAGCCATGAAAATACAACTGCTTCACGGTAGAAACACTAATGGGACAGAGGTGCCCAAGCAAACGACTTTTTTTCAAAAAAAATCAAAATTCAAAAATCATTTATACATGTAGGACATTTTAGCCGCTTATGAACGTCAAATTTTTACATTATAATTTTATATTTTCCCTACCGTCCAGTTCGGTATATAGATCCAATTGAGAAGAACTGGCAAGAAACTCAATTGAATTACTTTTTTTTTTAAAGCCAGTTTATTTACAATGTATATTTATATAGGTGTCTATGTCTAACATTAAATGAAAATTCAGTGCATGAGCAACTATTGCCATGCACACTCGTCATTCAAGTAATCGTTTAGTGAGTAATAGGCTTTGCTCAGTAAATATGATTTAACAGATGTTTTGAATTTATTTAAGGGTAATTCCACACACTGTATTTGTACAAAGTAAGCAGTAAGATTATATATGTACTTTAATAATAACTACTTACATTATAATAAATGGAGTGTCCAGGCGTAGCTCCGTGCTCTATCATCGCGTCGTAGTTCCTATGGTCAATGAACAGAAGACCACCAGGTTTCAAGCACTCGGCGAAGTTCCTGAGGCACATCTTCTGCATCCTCTGGTCGCCGTATTCGTCTAGTAGATGGGCGAATGAGTTCCCCAAGCAGATTACCGCGTCAAATTGCGAATCTGGCAGAAACGACTGTATGTCCCGAGGCAACGTCTCCCAGTTTGCTTCTTCTATTACTGAAAATGACAAAAACTATATATATAATTTTTAATCATTAATTAATTAATTAATTATCATAAAGAATTTTAAATTTTATTTGAAATCAGAATGTTTTTTTTTTTTTGTTTAACTAAAATTGCCAATAATTGTCGGACTTCTGTACTTGCCTTACTAAAAAACGTATTGTAAAGAATAATTAATAAAATTAATAATAATAATTTATTTACTTAAATATGAGTGTTGCAGTCGACAACAGATATTTAATTTAATAAGTTTTCCATATTGTATTATATGCAGGCGAGCAAATACTTAGTATTTAAAAACTCATTTCATTTTTTTTTAATTGAATAGTTTCTTCTTGTCGAGGCAACTAATTCATGTTCATGTCAACCAGAGGGAGACTTTGTACAAAAGTCGATTGCTTGAGTACCTCTGTCCCATTCGTGTTTCAACCGTGAAGCAGCTGTGTTTGCATGGCTGTGTTTCGGTTTGAAGGGTGGGATATGGCGTGAATTTACTGGGTACAGAGGAATAACACCTGAGTCCTCAGGAATGGCAACGCATGGGGGATATTATGGGCGAAACAGTATAATACTCTGTTATGTCCATGGTACTGCTCACGTCTATAGGCGACGGTTACCACTTTCCATCAGGTGGACCGTCAGCTTGTTTGCCATTCTAAGTTGTATAAAAAAAAAAGTACTCTCTTTCAGCCAGCTCTATCCCATATCTTTAACCTCCCTATACGACATGATACCCAGTATTTCCTTTATCCGTCCCATGACGTTATTTCTCGGTCTTCCCCTTCTTCTTTTGCCCTCTATTTTTCCTTAATAAATTAAACAGGTCTACTTTTATATGTATTATAATTAATTGTTAGGTACCTACTCCACTCGTCATATTTATGGTTTTTCCTCTTCTCCCACCTGGCTTTGAGTGCGTGCTTTAACATCTTGTCGGAGGCGTCTATGGACACCATTTTGAATCCCTCTTCGACCAACATCATAGAATCTATTCTGGAAGGATAAAATCAGAATAATGGAAAATTTCTATGTATTTGTTATATATATATATATATATATATATATATATATATATATATATATATATATATATATATATATATATATATATATATATATTTATGTGTGTAAGTTTTTTTATTTATTTATGTAGGTATATATAGCTGTTTTTATTGTATTATATATTCAATTTTTTACTGGGTATTATTTAGTTTATCTTTAATTGTACGGTTATTACCCTTATACATTCTATAGTTTTCTTTCAGCTTCTCAAAGGTTGACTGTAAGATATCCCTTTATGGGATAAGTCCGCCATTGTATATTAAATCATTTAATGTATTCAATATGAATTATGTACAATAAAGATTTTACAATACAATAAATATTTTGTCTTAAAAATACTATATTTTAATACGGCCATTGATTTATTTAAGATTGTTTAAAATACATATTGACCATGTGGTCTCGGTATAGAATTGGCTACCCCTTTCTTTCTCATAAGTGTCGTAAGAGAATAAGGAAACTTAATGATAGGGGGATGGGCAGCAACATTCCTCTTTAAATATCCCCAAAGCCTAACTGCGGTTGTCAGGGGGGAAGGGATTGTTTAATAATGGGATCTAACAGCCCCATTACTAACAATATACCCTATCAGGTCGACCTCCACGTGGTTCCCACTGGAAACCATTGTGGTTAATTCTTGTGAAATTCGTCACGATGGGATAACTGACCTGCTTTCATCCTCACCTGTCATTTATCACTGGTGCCCCGCCAGCGTATACCGATAGTGCAGGCGGGGTTACCATACCATTATCATCCATAAAAAAAACTGCGATTTCAACCCAACCCGTTTGCCGGAGTCGTAACTCCCCCTTATGTGGAATGCCTATGTTCAACAGTGGGCAGTTGATGACTGAAATGATGATGATGATGATGATGAAAGTATAGAGTATTTTATGTTTAGATATGTAATACTAACTAATACTAATAATAATACAATATAATTAATTTTTTTATACAACTTAGAATGGCAAACAAGCTGACGGGCCACCTGATGGATAGTGGTAACCGTCGCCTGTAGACATGAGCAGTACCATGGACATAACAGAGTATACTGTTTCGCCCATGATACTCCTCGTGCGTTACCATCGGTGAGGGCTTAGGTGTTATTCCTCTGTACCCTGTGAATTCACTGCCATATCCCACCCTTCAAACCGAAACACAGCCATGCAAACACAACTGCTTCACGGTAGAAACACGAATGGGACAGAGGTACCCAAGCAATCGACTTTTGTACAAAGTCTCCTCTCTGTATATCCTAATAGTTGACTAATAGAGAATGCCTATAGCATTACGTCCGTCCTTAGTACTACATGTTATTGGTCAACAAAGTTGAAATAAATAATTGAGCTTTGCATAAATTAGGTGTTGGGTTCGATTCTTGGTTGGATCAATTTGATAATTCCACTCTAATTGGGCCCCCATTGTAAGGTATCGCATAACGCTGGGTATCCTAGTTCGAAGACCAGGTGCGACCGTGTCACGTTCATTTGTTTATCTCTTATCTTTGAGTTATTAAAACCAAATGAGGTCGTACGGTCGTGAATAATTTGACATTACAATTAACACAGCGTGAAGATAGGCAGCCACCTACCTACACTTCGTTTGTAATTACCTAATTAAAAATTCGTTGTTCTGACTCTGAGATAACATGGAGTGATGAAATTAGCTAGGAGTTTAATAGGCTATTTAAGACATTACAAAATAGGCCATAGAATAGGCCACCTCTGGGGGGAAAGGGATTGTTAGTAATGGAGACTAAGAATCCCCTTGCTAGAAATATACCCAACCAGGTCGACCTCCTCACGGTTCTCCCTGGAAACTATCATGGTTAATTCCTGACGAATTCATCATGATGGGCTAACTGGCCTGTTTTCATTCTCATCTATCACCCTTCACTGGTGCTCCGCCAGCGTATCCCGTTAGCGCAAGCGGGGTTACAATTCCATTTTCACTCATCAAAAAAAAAAAAAAATAGGCCACCCCTTCCTTTCCCGTAAGAGTCGTAAAAGACGACTAAGGGAGGGCGAGAGATGAGCAGTGTCCCTCTTAAAACATCTCCAAAGCCTAACTGCGGTTGCCAATCCACCTGCCAGGCGTTGCGACCACTGGCATACTCCCCCCAAAAGGGGGAGGCCTATGTTCAGCTGCTTACAGTTAGCGGCTGATATGATGAAAGGTTATTTATCAAATTTTCTTAATGTAAATATTAAATATCGCTACTGTTGATAAATCTTATATGTTTTCTAATACAATATTATGAATAACATGTAACGTAAGGTCACGCTTATCAATGTAGGTGTATCGCTCACTGTCATAATTGTTGCCAATAAATGTGAAAAATAAAATAAAGCTGTGAAAATAATACCAGGTAATAGATAACATATTTTTTTCTCAAACATGCTTGGAAATGTGGGCATTATTTTGACAATCTTCTTCGAGATAAATCAAAGTTGCCGTACTGGTCAGATACATGCGGGCAGCGGCTGGTAAAAGTTGTATGAAAATCCATATCTATTGTTTTTTTCGGTCAGATAAATTACTATGTAAACTCATATCTGTCCTGTAATTTAAAAATGGAATGACCTTTTACTTGGAAATATGGCTGCCAAGGAGGTAACTAATAAAAGGTTTTATTTAAATTTCGAACTGGCTTGCAAAGAGAAAGCTGTTTATTGAAAAAAAAAAAACAAAGGAACATTATGGCGCGTGAAAAACTATTATTGTTCGTTATTCGTGCCGCTGCAGTAATGAACTATTTTTTTTAATAGAATGGAAATAGAATATTAATCCCGCCTGCGCTATCGATATACTCTGTTGAAGCACTAATGAATGACGAAGTCAGGCTAGTCGGTCCATTGTGATGGATTCATCAAGAAGAATGAAGAATCAAGAATTCATAAATATGACGATTTTTAGGAGCGACGCGCGGAGGTCGGACTGATGACAAGGTATATTGCATTTATGAATTTCAGGGCGTGTAAGGGGTCGGTTAGAGAATGACATGATCTTTTCTCACTTTACCAGTCCCCCGCCCCCCTCATTTTAACAGCCTTTTTACGTTTTTAATATTATATAATTAAATAGAAAATAGTGGATTCACTTACCCGGTACCGCAAGCAGTGTCCAAAACTCTCTCGCAGCCGTGTCTCCGCAAACGTCCTATCAGGAAATCTTTATAATTCTGCGTGCGCTGGTGGCTGTCTCCGATGAATTTGTTCCACGCCCTCGCTGCCTTACCGTCTGCGTACTGATCCTTCACACCTTCGGAAGGTATACCTTCGGACCTCGAGTGGAAAACCTTATCTGCCGACATTGTTGCTCACTGAAAAAGAAGTAATACCTCAGATAAATTACAAGTACTTATCCAATATCTAATATAAGACGGAAGTAACCAAATATGGAATAGGTACCATTTTGTATACGCGACATAAAAAAAAATTAACGCATTTACTCGTAGTTACAATCAGTCATACATTTTCGCTTTCCATAATAACAGTCTTGTGTTAAATATATTAATTTAAAGTATAAAATTTTCTCAAAAACAAAATTTACTTAATTATTGATTTTGATTGATCCTACAAAAAAAAAATAACTTCAACTATGGCAACACTAGTCATTTTGATGTAAAAATTAAACTACTAATAAAATTTCTATGGAGCCAATCTATAGGTAATATAATAATCTTTCAAATAAAAAAGAATTTTTCAAATCGGTTTAAAACTGACGAAGTTATGAATTAAGAAACAAAAAAATTACAACTTAATTAAGTATTTCCTTCCTTATTAAACGGATTGAAATAAAGATGTCTAATTATAAAAAAAAGGTACCCAAATAGGCAACATTGCAAAAAACAATTCTGATGATTCTTTTTTAGTAGACATAGGTTTTGGGGAGACTTTGTACAAAAGTCGTTTGCTTGGGCACCTCTGTCTCATTCGTGTTTCTACCGTGAAGCATTTGTGTTTGCATGGCTGTGTTTCGGTTTGAAGGGTGGGATATGGCGTGAATTTACAAGGTACAGAGGAATAACATCTGAGTCCTTAGGAATGGCAACGTATGGGGGGTATCATGGGCGAAACAGAATACTCTGTTATGTCCATGGTACTGCTCATGTCTATAGGCGACGGTTACCACTTTCCATCAGGTGGGCCGTCAGCTTGTTTGCCATTCTAAGTTGTATAAAAAAAAAATGCTAAGTCGATGATTTTTATACTGGTTAGCATGACAATAAAAAAATATATATACCTAGTCAATTACTATAAAATGTTTACTAGTCGAGCGATATCAATAATAACTAGTAGAAAGATAAAGAATAATGCTGGTCATCAAAATGATCTTATAATTAATAGGCAAATGATATCACGAATGTGATGATGAAATTCAAGCACGCAACGTGTTCATTCTCGTATTTATATTTTGCGGATTTTTGTCTACCTGTAGCGTAAATTAACAAACACTCAGGTTATAGAATGAGCTCCCTGCCGATGTTTTCCCAAGAGACTACAGCATGGGGTTTTTCAAATGGGGGGTAAAGAGGTTTCTTCAGGGTCGGCAACGCGCGCGTAATATCTCTGGTATTGCAGGTGTTTATAGGTTGCGGTAACCACTTACCATCAGATGGGCTGTATGCTTGTTTGCCACCTCAGTGGTATAAAAATAAAATTAGAAACATTTTTAACAACTTCGAAAGGGAGAAGGTACTCATTACTTTCGCAGTTTTTAAACTAATGTCTTTGTCAATTTAATGGTTTTTTTTTTTTCAATTATTATTACATGATAATAAATAATTCTTATTTTTTAAAGAGGGCATAAGTGTCAGAATTTAATCCTACCAATATTGCCCTATGTTAAAATCGCTATTTTAAATTAAATGTATGGTCAATACCTTATTAACAATATATAAAACTTGGTTGGGGGGAAAGGGATTGTTAGTAATGGAGACTGAGAATCTTATTGCTAGCAATATACCCAACCAGGTGAACTTCCTCGTGGTTCCCCCTGGAAACTATCATGGTTAATTCCTGATGAATTCATCATGATGGGCTAACTGGCCTGTTTTCATTCTCATCTATCACCCTTCACTGGTGCTCCGCCAGCATATCCCGTTAGCGTAGGCGGGGTTACCATACCATTTTCACCCAGCAAAAAAACATATATGTAAAACTACATATTTATATTTCAAAATATATAATAATGACTGTTAATAAATAAGTTTGAGGTATTTATTTTCCTTTACACTGTTACCGTCACCTGTGCCGTTGAGGTAAACGTAATACGTACGTCGCGCACATTTATCGTAGGCGAATTTACCACTGTCGTTTGGATGAATTACAATAATAAATTAATGGTTAAAATAATAATCGTCGATTGACTTAGATACAGAAAGGTTTAAAATTGCTCTGTTTTTATCCTTATGTATATAAGAATGTTTAAAGAGTAAACTTTATCGCTTCTCATTTTACTTACATTTTGTATAGTACATAAAGAATTTTTTTTATGCAATTTAGAATGGCAAACAAGCTGACGGCCCACCTGATGGAAAGTGGTAACCGTCTCCTATAGACATGAGCAGTAACATGGACATAACAGAGTATACTGTTTCGCCCATGATAACCCCCATGCGTTGCCATTCCTGAGGATTCAGGTGAAATTCCTCTGTACCCAGTAAATTCACGCCATATCCCACCTTTCAAACCGAAATTTAGCCATGCAAACACAACTGTTTCACGGTAGAAACACGAAGGTAGGCCGTCAGCTTGTTTATCATTCTAAGTTGCATATAAATAAATAAATAACCACCGCGGTGTGCATATTCAATGTAAATTATGTATAAGTATAATTATGTATAAGTATAACCGCGTAAATATTTAATTTCTTTTCCTATGAATGTTAAGTTTGCACGAAAGCTTTGTTTCTATGACAACTCTATTCTGCGGAATGCAGACGGATACGCGTGTATTCTACGGCTACCGCATACGTTGTGCTCGCAATTCAACATTTCTTTTTTCAAAATGATTCGTCCCCTATCGTATAAATTTTGCATTATTATTGTTGAATTATGGCAATACAATAATAGTAAAATAGTGTGGAAAAATATTTAATTATATTGCGAGAAAATATTTAACCCTTATTTGCATAATGGTGGAAATTTCCATCATAACATTGAATGCCCAAAAATTGTATAAAAGAACAATTTAACTTTAAGTTGATCGTGTCTGGATACCTTTTTAATATCCATTGCAGAATATAAACATAGCTGTCAAATTTATTTTTATAACAATTTTTTTTTTAATTATGAACATGAATTATATCATGTTGATTTATTTCACCAATAAAAAAATCATGTAAAGAAGGATTGATATAACAAAAGACTATCATCAGCATATTTTTATAATAATTTCAAATCGAGTAAAAAATGTTACGACTATTTGTCATTACTGCAAAATCGAGATTCAGTTTCAAACTTCTTCGCCTTAAATAGTTTTAAATTTTTTGTAAAGTATTTGTTATGAGAACGCATAGAAGCATTAATACAAATGTATATAATAATAAGTAGCAACTAAGAAAACTATAAAAAAAAAACTCAATTTACATAAAAGAAACACTCAGCTAAAACTTAACTCACAAGTACATAGTTGAAAAATTTAAAAAGCTTTACAAAATGGGGTCAAAGGCTACGTAGAATATTAACTCGCGTAACTATATTTCGGAATAATAATTAAAAAACACACATTTTGCAAATAAATATTTTTAAAAAATTATCATTGGCTGTTTTTATAATTTTGGCATTGAAATAAAATATTATAATAAATAATTTATTTAATTAAAAATAGTGGTAAACATAAACTATTAATTAAATTTCTAAATACTTACAAATTTCTTTTCGCTAATACGACTTATCACTGACCACGTTCTACTTCCTAGATTATTGTTTATAAAATATTTAAAACACAATGTTTCCTCTTTATATGAAGGTATGCACCGTATCAGAATCGGACGTATCGCGAAATAGGCTTCTTATAAGTAAAACTTAGTACGTATGGTGTATGATGCAATAGTGAGCGTTTTAAACGAAGCGACACCGGCCGGCTCGGAGACTGCGCGCGCACACTGAATCTCTGATATGTGTACCAACATCCAATATTTTACATATTATAGAATTACTGCTACATTTTCAACCAATACGTATTTACGTGTAATATTAGAACTGTTAGGGTAATATTTGTCGTTATATACGTATTTTTACAATGTGTGTTATTGACACATTTTCACATAACAATATGACTGTTTTATATTTTTCTGATGACTGAGTTACGCCATTCGTCATCGTTACCGTCGTCATCATCAGTAAATGGGTAATTTCTAAATTTTATTATGTGCGCAACAAAATTTTCAGTTAGTTTTTTTTTTTATTAAAATTCCACTTTATTATTAAAAAAATGATTACAAATGCAAATGAATCATTCAAAATATTTTTTTTTGATGGGTGAAAATCCGAATGGTGCGCTGACGGGATACGCTGGCGGAGCACCAGTGAAGGGTGAAAGATGAGAATGAAAACAGGCCAGTTAGCCCACCATGATGAATTCATCAGAATTAACCATGATAGTTTCCAGGGGGAACTGCGAGGAGGTCGACTTGTTTGGGTGCATTGCTAGCAATAGGATTCTCAGTCTCCATTACTAACAATCCCTTTCTCCCATTCAAAATATTAGCCATGCCTAGCGACAACTTTTTCCCATCTTTCTAGCAGAGCTCGAATACCGTCACGGTAGAAGCTTCTTTTGAGGCTACCCACGGATCAAACCATTTTGAGATATCTTCATATGAGCGGAACTGCTTATTATATATTTTATAAATACTCTATATTTTTAGAAATAATAGGATTTCATCGTACCTCCGATGAAATTGTTTATAATTACTCCTCTCCATCCAAAGGTTGCCTGGAAGAGATCGCTTTTAACGATAAGGTCGCTCATTGTTTTCTCATTGTGATTATTTCTTGTAATTGTTTGTATCTATAATAAGTTTACTACTGTAATCTTTTGGAGGAAACAACAAAGAGTATCTATTTATTTATCTGGGGAATATGGCGGGTGGTGTAGGACTTCCCATTTGAGCGTTTCTAAGTACGTTTTAACGGGTTTGAAAACGTGGCTCGTATTGTAGCCGCTTTTCACGCAGTGCTCGGCTAAATCGCATCAATTGAGTTCCATATCCGTGCCCAGTAATGGTTTCGTTCGGTTTCAACATTTCGTAAATAAATAACAATCTTGATTACATTAATCTCAACTAATATTGATATATTTTCCTGTTTTTAACGAGAAATATCAAATCAGTGTAAATAGGTGCATTGATATTGATTCGTCTCCGGGGAATTACAGGAAAAATAGCATGTAAAAATTACATCTGCCTAGCGTATCGTGGTTGCTTTTTATTTTTATCAGGCGCTAGGAATACAATTTGTTTCTCTGTCAGTTGGAAAGAGGAAAAATTTGATTATTTGTTTGTTTGTAAGGGATAAAATTTGAAATTATTTTACATATAAAAAAAAACTACACAATCTAATGATAGATAAAGATAATGGATAGCCACATATATATAATATTTCATGAAATTTTATGACTATCTGAGAAAAATTTATATAATAAAGAGATTTGTTATTAAACGACTACGTCAGAAGAGAAAAATTGCGAGTCTTAGTACTAAAAGTTAACAAAATAATATATTCGCGATTATAATCTGAGATGAGATAGTCTATACCCAAATGTGTATATTGTATACCAGAGGGAGACTGTACAAAGGTCGTTTGCTTGGGTACCTCTGTCCCATATACCCTGTCAGATCGACCTTTACGCAGTTCCCCCTGAAAACCATCATGATTAATTATCGTCAAATTCCACGATGGGCTAACTAATTAATTATCATCAAATTCACTGTGCCCGTCAGTGTATACCGGGCACCAGTGAATAGGTGAAATGAAAGAACAGGTCAGTTAGCCCACCATGATGAATACACCTGGAATTCAGCACGATGGTTTCCAGGAGGGACCACGTGGAGGTCGACCTAATAGGGTATATTGGTAGCAATGGGACTGATAATCCGCATTACTAACAACCCCTCTCTCCCTACCATGTCTCTATTATCCATTATAAAAAAAGATCCCAACAGTAATCAAACTTGTGAGATGTTATCTGCGATTTTGCAGTAACAGCTGCCTATAACGGGGTCTGCGGGTCACACATAAACACGGGGACTTATCTACGCTGAAGGAGCAGTAGGTATGAACATTAAAACTGTTCGATAAGGAAAATAACTGGTTAAAACCAGTTATAATTTCCAAGTGACAAAGTTATCCGGTTTATTCCAGTTATTAACTTGATTCATCATTTCAACCGTTAACTGTCCACTGCTGAACATAAGCCTCCCCCATAATGGGGGTCTTGCCAGTAATTGTCACACTTGGCAAGCGGGTTGGCAACCGTAGTTAAGCTTTTGGTGATGTTTTAAAAGGGACATTGCTGCCCATCTTTTGACTATTAAGTCGCCTCTTATGATAACCACGAGAAAGGAAGGAATGGTCCATTCTATGCCGGGACCACACGGTAATTACTCCCATATGTAAGGTTAATTTTCGTTTTTTTTTTTCTTCACGAAATTTCTATATTTTTTTTTTACAACTTAGAATGGCAAACAAGCTGACGGCCCACCTGATGGAAAGTGGTAACCGTCGCCTGTAGACATGAGCAGTACCATGGACATAAGAGAGTGTACTGTTTCGCCCATGATACCCCCCATGCGTTGCCATTCCTGAGGACTCAGATGTTATTTCTCTATACCTTGTAAATTCACGCCATATCCCACCCTTCAAACCAAAACACAGCCATGCAAATACAACTGCTTCGCTGTAGAAACACGAATGGGACAGAGGTCACCAAGCAAACGACTTTTGTAGTTTCCCTCTGATGATCTTTAAAATAAAAAAAAAACGCAAGTAGTACGTATTAATAATATTTATTAAAACAAAAAAGAATATACTAGTTATTTATATTGAATTAAACAAAATAAAATTGGGCACTTATTTAATCGTATTGATATAAAAATACATTGCTATGAAATGTCTCAGTGATAGAAACCATTGAAGGAAATATAAAGAAATATACATGTAGGTATAAACACATGTACATGTAAGGGGGGAAAGGGATTGTTAGTAATGGAGACTGAGAACCCCATTGCTAGCAATATACCCAATCAGGTCGACCTCCTCGCGTTTCCCCCTGGAAACTATCATGATTAATTCCTAATGAATTCATCATGATGGGCTAACTGGCCTGTTTTCATTCTCATCTATCACCCTTCACTGGTGCCCCGCCAGCGTATCCCGTTAGCGTAGGCGGGGTTATCATTCCATTTTCATCCAATAAAAAAAATGTACATGTAATGTAAATGTAGGTATAAACAGGAAATAATAACTTATTTTAGCTTTGGCTCTTAGTGATTAATTCACATACCGATTGTCAATGGAATAAAAATGCAGATCTAGTTTGCTGTATCACCTTAAACTGTCCACTGCTGAACTAAGCCTCCCCCAAAAGGAGGGGGAGGGGGGTTGCTAGTAGTTGCCATCTTTAGCAGACGGGTAGGCAACTGCAGTTAGGCCTTTAGAAATGTTTTAAGAGGCACGCTGCTGCCCATCCCTCGCCCTCACTTAGTCGCCTCTTACGACACCCGTAGGAAAGGAAGGGTGATCTATTCTATGTTAGGACCATGGCTAAGATCTAGTTTAGTTTTAGTATATAAAAAGTATCACTTCAGCCGTACATTTTTCATGACTAATTGTTTTTGTCTTTATTGTTTTATACAATTTAGAATGGCAAACAAACTGACGGTACACTTGATGGAAAGTGGTAACCGTCGCCTATAGACATAAGCGGTACCATGGACATAACAGAGTATACTGTTTCGCCTATGATACCCCCCATGCATTGCCATTCCTGAGGACTCAGGTGTTATTCCTCTGTACCCTGTAAATTCACTGCCATATCCCTTCAAACCGAAACACAGTCATGCAAACACAACTTTTTCGATATATATAAGAATATGTTTTCCAATTATTTACTATTAAAGAAAATTACATAAAAATATCGATTAAATTTCAAAATAAAAAGTACATAATTATGATTAGTCGACCAGAGGTGTAATATATTATAGTTTTTTTTATATGATTCTAACGATTATCACAATTCTACACATATTGCTTACATTGTAAAATGTTTTATAGAAAAAGGTCACTTTCAATACACACACACAGCATGATATCACACTATTTTACCGATTTTTTGAACACAAATCAAATTTTACTCTCCTGTTATATAGTGGTAGGAGAGTAAAACTCAATTTGTCAACTCTTTTGGCCCGAAAACTTCGAATCCAGACACTTATTCAGACAAAACTATGTAAAAGTTTTGATTATTTCATGCATTTTGCATTATAAACGAATTGGGATTCAATTACGATTACAAGCATGTAATTTATCTTGTTAGATCTCCCTCTATGCATTGCCACTAGAAACCACATGATTAAATCTTGGTGAATACCTCACGATGGGACAATCACGTAACCCCTTGGTACTGGGGGGAAAGGGATTGTTAGCAATGGATTTTGACAGCCCCATTGTTAGCAATTTGCCATATTAGGTCGACCTCCGCGTGGTTCCCCCTGGAAACCATCGTGAACAATTCTTGTTGAATTCGTCACGATGGACTAACTGACCTACTTCACCCTCACCTATCCTCTGTCACTGGTGACCCGCCGGTGTATACCGTTAGCGCGGATGGGGTTACCATTCCATTATCACCCATTAAAAAAAAATCCCCTTGGTACACCGTCAACTTAAAACAATAGTCAAAAATCCTATTTCCAAAACAATAAAATATAAAACATGAAAGAATTAGATATGCTTTATATATCAACCAGAATACGTTTAATCCATAATTTCATCATTTCAACCTATCCACTCTGAAGTTCAAATGTGTAGTTCATAAAACTTGGCCCTTCTAGCCTCACAATTTCTTGTCCATGCACGAACCAGTCTTCCTTCTTTACAACTAACAACTTAATGTCCAAAACTCAGCACTAATTTTACATTCCAGCTCCTACGTCAGACGCGTCTATACCTAACATTGCTAAATCGTCCATTTCTTCTTTCTTCTTCGCAATATCACCATTCTCCTCATTCTCTCTCTTCATCATTGTCTCTGTCTTTGGCGCACTGTTAGTTTGTTGTTTATTATTTGCCGCTTTATTTCCCTGTTTTGTATTCTTGTAATTTTTATTAGGTCTCTGTTTTTGCTGAGCAGGTACTAGTGGTACATGGGTATCGTACAACTGAGGCCTTGGAGGGAAGATGGGGGCGTTGAGATCGAATCCGAACATTGGAGGCATGGGCGCTTGACCCAAAATGCCCAGGCCCGGGAAAGGAGGCATTCCCAGGGGGAATCCGAGCCCGGACATCGCGAATAGATCCGGCTGGTTCAAGTCGGGCTTCACTTCCGTCGGGAATATGATGTCGAGGGCGTCTTGGAAGTCTTTGGGAAGGCTCGGTTGCAAATTAGATCTGAAAGTCAAAGAAAATTATTAATTTTTTTTTATAAACGTCTTCTCTTATAATTCACTAAGATTGCAGTATAAAATATATCATTTTTTTATCGAATGACTACTGTGTATAGGTACAAAGTGTCGTCAGCACACAGAAATTTGGCAAGATTTGCCGTATTTAATGTATTGTTTTAGTTCACTATCGTTTTACTGTAGGGAGACTCTAATAATAATAATAATAAACAGATTTATTTCTCTTCACAATTCATTACAGTGAAATACAATGCTTATATTAAACAAATTATAAATATAATTGAGAGACTGAGATACCTGTATTACAGGTCAACGCAGGGTTACACTAAGCACTTGTAATAAAATACTTTGTATAAAAGCTGTCCGAATACCTCTAACTCACAATTTTTTTTTAATGGATTTTAATGGAATGGTAACCCCACCCGCGCTATCGGTATACACCGGCGGGGCACCAGTGAAGGATGACAGGTGAGGATGAAGCAGGTCAGTTAGCCCATCGTAACGAATTCAACAAGAATTGTTCACGATGGTTTCCAGGGGGAACCACGTGGACCACCTAATAGGGCATATTGCTAGCAATGGGGCTGTCAAACTCCATTGCTAACAATCCCTTCCCCCCCTCACATATATTTGTGTATATTATCATTAGCATTTATTTGCCGTATATCGACCAAATAGGCGACGTGCTGAAGAAGGGCCAAATTAAAAGTACCCGTAACCGACGAGCGTGTATGACAAGATTGATGAATGTGGAAGAAGCGAAAGAGGTTTGTTTGATTCCATTGTTTCTGCCTACCCTAATGGGAGACAGTTATGTATGTATGTATGTATGTATGTATTTATTTGCCCACCGTTGAACATAGGTCTCCCCCATAGACTGCCATAGAATAGAATACTTTATTTGCTTTGCAATAGGTAATGACAAAGCTTTTATATAATACATAAACAGTTTCCATATTCAGCAAATATTAAGCATGCAAATTATAGTTTAAGTCTTTTTTCCAATACGATTATTAATAATTAAGTTACAATTTATAATACAATAATGTGGACAATATAAGGAACGCTTTTTTTATATACAATTTAGAATGGCAAACAAGCTGACGGTCCACCTGATGGAAAGTGGTAACCGTCGCCTAGACATGAGCAGTACCATGGATATAACACTGTTTTGCCCATGATACCTCCCATGCGTTGCCATTTCTGAGGAATCAGGTGTTATTCCTCTGCACCTGGTAAATTCACGCCATACCCCACCCTTCAAACCGAAACACAGCCATGCAAACACAACTGCTTCACACGAATGTTGAAACACGAATGACAGACCTGACAGAGTATACTGCTAGCAATGGGACTGGTAGTCTGCATTACTGACAATCTCTTCCCCGCCTGACAGAAGGGTGGTGGCTTTTATGACGATAGTGGATCGTGGATGAGCCCCTCCTTCGTGGTATCATGACGGTGGTGTACTAACGCGGGCGCGGCGGCGTGTGTTGGTGCCGGTGCTGCCGGTGCTGCCGGTGCTGGTGCCGCCGCTGCTGGTGCCGGTGCCGGTGCCGCGTAGGACGGCAGCAGCGCGCCGAGCTGCGCGGGCAGCGCGAGGGCGGGCGGCGGCAGCTCGGCGCGCTGCTGCTCGCGCTCCAGCTGCGCCTTCGCTATCTTCTCCTTGAACTCCGCCACCTGCCAGAACCACACATTATACTAACTACCACCTCGCCACTATACAATCTTCCTCACCTATCAAAACTCACTTGAATCTCGCCATTGAATCATTTTTATAACACATTCTTTCACCAGAGGGAGACTTTGTACAAAGTCGTTTGCTTGGGTACCTCTGTTCCATTCGTGTTTCAACTGTAAAGCAGTTGTGTTTTGGTTTGAAGGGTGGGATATGGTGTGAATTTACAGAGTACAGAGGAATAACACCTGAGTATATCTCATCCAGTCTCAGGAATGGCAACGCATGGGGGGTATCATTGGCGAAACAGTATACTCTGTTATGTTCATGGTACTGCTCATGTCTATAGGCGACGGTTACCACTTTCCATCAGGTGGGCCGTCAGCTTGTTTGCCATTCTTAGTGGTGTAAAAAAAATTATGCACACAAACGAGCATGCGACTCACTCAATACTAAGTGACCACCACCACCCATAAGCATACGCAACAAATCAAAGACGGTCTAGTAATTTCCTTTTTGCGTTAATTTTTTTTTTTATGGAACACAATCTCAATTAACTTGCATATAATTTTGTCGAGAATGCTCAACTTGTATTGAAACCAGGACCAATAATCATGGGTGTTCTTTTTACAATAAAAATAAACTTTAGATTTTATCACTGTACTTTCAACGACCCACTAACATTTACCAGCTCACTATTAATTTTTATACATTTGCAAAATTTACAAAAACAAAATACTGAATTAAAAAATAAATAAAGACTAATTTAATTATTGAATTTACTACTGACCTTCTTCTGTATTTCAGCGTCCATCTCCTCACGACGCTTCTTATCAACTCCCTCTTCTTCTTTCTTCTTCTGTTCCCCTTTTTTGTGGTCCTCCAACTTTGTGTTCTTGCCTAAGTGCTTATATACTGGCATTTTACCTGAAATAACATTCGAAAATAGTATTTGCAATTTGATTTTTTAAACTAATTTACCATTTTATTTATTTATTTTATTTACCCTTTATTGACCACATTAAAAAAAAAAAATGTCTGGTACATTGCTGAGATTTTGCTAGCCTTAATTTGTGTCTTAGTGAATTTGGATTTATTTTTCATCTGTCGGTTAAATTAAAAACAGCACCAGTAGCAAAAGTAAAACAAATTTTAAGAATGCTTATGCAAATTACAAATAACTAAAGTGGAAATGAGCTGGACGTATGATACGAGAAAAAAAAAATTAAAAAGAAATAGAATGGTACCCTATGACAGTAAAAGAAAGAGGTAGACAAGAGACGGGAAGATGATATTAGGAAAACAGCCGGTCCAATATGGACTCGCAAAGCACAAGACAAGACAAATAAATAAATAATAAATTTATTGCCATTCTTTACAGACATACAGAAATTATAATGTACATATATTAATTAATAAATATATTGTGCAGTATCCGTATAATAGGTACAAATGCCTGGCAATAGGTACAAACTCAGATTTTGCTGGACTGATGTTAGTTCAGCGCTGATTTTCAGTTTGCACCTACACGGGGCACCGTTTCATTATCAAATATTTATATATATCGATGTAGACAAGATTGGGGCAAGACAGATTGGAAACCTTTAGAGGATGCCTCTGTCGGAAGATAAGTTGCATCCTTAGATTATATATATAGATAGAGTGTCTGCATACAAATGCTACGAGAAAAACGGGTCAACTTTTTCATACAATTTTGCGTGATAAATAGTTACGAGCGATTCCTTTAAACTTCTATTGTATATTTATTTTGTCATATAATTTCTGCATATTTTTAATGCGTAAACACTCATTTTATTTATTAAATAACACGTCAAGATATATTGGTATGCATAAGTATATAGAGCGTTGATAAAAAAAGTCAGTTAATTTGACAATTAGCTGACAAAAAGTTGACCCGTTTCTGAGGCTCGATGCTCTATCTATATAATCTAAGGTTGTTTGGGGGGAAAGGGATTGTTAGTGATGGAGACTGAGAATCCTATTGCTAGCAATATACCCAACCAGGTCGACCTCCTCGCGGTTCCCCCTGGAAACTATCATGGTTAATTCCTGATGAATTCATCATGATGGACTAACTGGCCTGTTTTCATTCTCATCTATCATCCTTCACTGGTGCTCCGCCAGCGTATCCCGTTAGCGCAGGCGGGGTTACCATACCATTTTCACCCAGTAAAAAAAAAATCTAAGGTTGTATCAAATTAAAGACCGTTTATCGACATTTAATTTCAACATAAATTTACATTTGTTTTAGTCACATTTTCATGTATTCTCTTTAGTTATGTAAAATTAAGTACAGCCTTTAATGGCTTATTATTTATTTACAATTGATTGTGAATTTAGATTTTGAAGTAATAATAATAATAAAGATTTATTGCACTTGAAAATATACAGTCATGGGCTTACAGTAATTTTAAAGCGAAATATATAAGTATAAAATGTAGCATTACGCCCAGCACTATAGTGTATAAACTAGGCCTAGCCTGTACCTTAGACACCAATGCCTTCAATTAGATACATATTTTCGTGCAGTCACGCTATATTACAATAGTATAAAATTTAATAAAAAAAAATATGTTTTATGCTACTAAAATAGGGTATCTTTTAATTAAATTACATTTATATATATAAAAAAAATATGCTATTATTAGCAAAATCGATGTCATGCTCTGCATTGTTCAGCTGGTCATTAGTGCGATAAAAAAAATGAGACTGGTGAGACTATATACTCTATGAACATCGGCAATTATGAGGTGATTTTTTTTTTAAATTAATTTTGAAGTACAAACCAATGAAGGGCATCTTCTTAACCTCTGGCTTCTTGGTGTCCCGCGGCGGTGTGTTGCGGCTGTGCGACTCCGATCTCCTCTCGTCTCTCCTGTCATCTCTCCTTTCGTCTCTCCTATCATCTCTCCTCTCCTCTCTCCTGTCGTCGCGGCGGTCGTCCCGTCGCCGCAACTCGTCGCGGACGCGGGTTTCGCGTCTTTCAGATTCCCTGTTTTTAATCGAATATTTTTTTTTATGCAACTTAGAATGGCGAACAAGCTGACGGCCCACCTGATGGAAAGTGGTAATCGTCGCCTATAGACATGAGCAGTGCCATGGACATAACAGAGCATTCTGTTTCGCCCAGGATACAAAGTGTATAAAAAAAAAACAAGTTAAAAATGTAGTACTTACCTAGTCTTCCTTTGTATTTCAGCGATGTATCGCTCCTTCTCTTGCCGACTCGGCGAACGGCGTTTGTCGTCACGCTTGTCGGATTTCATTCTGTAATAATTGTTCGGATGTTAGAACACAAGCTGTTTTTTTGGGAAAGTCCTTGTCAGCCCATTGTCAAACTTGTAATACCATCGATGTGCATCATATTCTATTAGAGTGCTGTATTAACACGAAGGAAAGAGAAGAATTCATGCGCCACTTTAACTTTAATAAATTTAATGTTGGTCTTATTTTTTTTTTATGCAACTTAGAATGGCATCAAAGTCATCATCATACCATCATATCAGAGTATACTATTATGACTGTCCATTCCTGAGACTCAGTTATTCTTAGTGTTATTCCTCTGTACCCTGTAAATACACGCCATATCCCATCCTTCAAACTGAAACACAGCTAAGCAAACACAACTGCTTCACGGTAGAAACACGAATGGGACAGAGGTAGTCAAGCAATCGACTTTTGTACGGTCTCCCTCAGAAGCAGTATTCAATGTACTCGTATGTTAGCTGAACTTAAACCAGAAATTTTTCTTCTCTTTCCGCGTCTAGGGAAACTAGATAAAGTTTTGAGACGGCGTTAGGACTGTATATACGTCAAAAGCTAATAATAAAAAAAATAATAATAAAGAACATACAATATTAATGTTTGTTTTATTCCTAGTTCCTAAACTAGTAGCGACGTGATAGTCGTTGATAATGTAGTTCAGCGATGATTATCCGAACACGAGCTGTTTTGATTGGGAAATTTTGCTTGTTTATTTTCCATTGTCAATACTCCCCATTGTCAAAACTCTGTCACATTCGTGTTTCAACCGTCGAACTGCTTTTGCATGACTGTGTTTCTTTGAAGGGTTATATGGCGTGAATTTACGTATTAACACGAAGGAAAGGCAAGAATTCATGCAGTATACCTGACATGTCCATTAACTTAAATAAACTTAATGTTGGTGGACTTCATTTTTTTTTCTATTTTTATTTATAAATAGAACTTATAGTCACAGTACCTAACATCATCATATCAGCTTTTTACTGTTCACGGTCCACCTGATGGAAAGTGGTAAACGCATTTTACGACCTATAGTAAATATAAAATTATCTCGTATCTACATATTAATTTGAAGAAAAAAAAGAACTGTTGAATTTCATGGATATAACAGAGTATACTATTTCGAAGGAGGCCATGATCAACCCCCATGATATCTCATCATTTCAGCCACTATCCGCCCATCACATGAACCGTGGTGTTTGCATGGTGTGTTTCAAACCATGGATGTTTACAGGGTACAGAGGAATAACATGAGTTCAAGAATGGCAACGCATGGAGGGTATCATGGGCGAAGCAGCATACTCTGTTATTTCCATGGTACTGCTCATGTCTATAGGCAACGGTTACCACTTTCCATAAGGTGAGCCGTCAGCTTGTTTGCCTTTCTAAGTTGTATAAAATAAAAAACCTCTCCTATAGACTGCCATAAAGAACGGTCCTGAGCCACCTGCATCCACTGACTCCCTGCAATGTATTTAAAGTCGTCACCCCACCTAGTAACGAGTAAGGTAAGGGTAGGACGACCGAGGGGTCGTCCTACACTGCGTTTACCTGTACGCAGTCGCCACTCAACAACCTTTATTCCCCATTGGTTGTCGGTTCTTCGATTCGAACAGCTGATAAGACGAGAATTATATAAATTGCACGTACTTGCTCTTGAGCGTCTGCAGGAGTTCTCTATCGCTATCATTCAACATCTCCATCTGTATGGAGGACATCCACTCGGTCAGTCTCTTGTCGTCCGGTTCCGATATTTTCTCCTTTTTTGCTGAACAAGTTCAAAATTTTTAATTATAACTTGGGTTCTTAGATTATATAGACACGAGTATCAAGCCTCAAGAACGGGTCAACTTTTTGTCAGCTAATTGTCAAATTAATTGACTCTTTTTTTTTTTAATTCTATATACTTACGCACAAAATGTATCTTAACGTATTATTTAATAAATAAAACGAGTGTTTACGCATTAAAAAGATGCAGAAATTGTAAGACAAAATAAATATAGAAGTTATAAAGGAATCGCTCATAACTATTTATCACGCAAAATTGTATGTAAAAAGTTGACCAGTTTTTCCTCGAATCATTTCTATGGATACACTCTCTCTCTCTCTCTCTCTATATATATATATATATATATATATATATATATATATATATATATATATATATATATATATATATATATATATATATATATATATATATATATATATATATATATATATATATATATATATATATATATATATATATATATATATATAAACTCTGGTTTGTTTGTTTGTTATTAATGGTATAGTAATAAAATTGTTATGTAAATAGGTACTAGACGTAGGGTCTTTATTGTATTCCATCTGTGAAGTCTATGCTCAGCAGTGGGCAATTAACAAATAAATAAGATAAAACTTAAATAATTCATAATTTATTTATGCATTTAATAAGTCACATATAACAATATTAGAAATGATGTGTAGAAACACTAATTGTAAAAAATTTTCGTATCAAATAAAGGTTATTTTAATATTTTACTGTGTGTAAACTGAATAACAGTTATAAACTAGTAAATCTTAACCCTTAATTCAGGTTAGATTATAGTGATTACTGTACCAATTATAATATTTAGTTGTCAAGACTGTCCATCCAATACATGGACAGTTGTTGGTAATCTCACACAGAGACAAAAGCAATGGGCCGTTATATATATATATATATATATATATATATATATATATATATATATATATATATATATATATATATAGCATTGAAAAATACATACAACTATATATAAATTTAATTGTTTTTATATTTCGCAATTAAAACAAATATATATATATATATATATATATATATATATATATATATATATATATATATATATATAATATATATAATAAAACGTTGCCTTTGTCATTCGGAATTCCGGGATTGTATTCTCTACTTGTATATAATGTTGTAATGTGTTTCCGAACGTAATGTTTTACTCTGCTCTGTGTTAATTAATCTATGATGTATCTAGAATAAAAAGTGTGCAGTAAGAATTAAAAAGTATTATTAATAAAACTATGAGTCCTATATTAATAAAGCATCTATCTACATATAACATATAAGACCAAAGACATAATTATAATAGTAAATAATAACACTGGAACAATTTAAGACCAAACAAAAATTGTACAAATGGCTTTTGGACAAAAGTCATTATTCAATTTGAAGACTTGATAGACTAAAAACAACGTTCTAAAGGTGAGGTGATAAGGTAACATAAGGTCAGGTATAACATAAGGTGATACTTTTACATTAGAATTTGAAAACATTACTGTATTTTTATTTTTTAGCATTTTTGCTAATTTTAATTAAAAATTTTAACATTTATATATATATATATATATATATATATATATATATATATATATATATATATATATATATATATATATATATATATATATATATATATATATATATATATATATATATATATATATATATATATATATATATATATATATATATCGTGTTTTTGTGCAAATTACTATTATTAATTTTATTTTTACGTTTTCAAAATATATACTTTTTTTTTCTATAAAAAATAATCTATACATTAATTAATTCACAACTCACATTTCTTCTTCTTTCTGACGGGCTCGCTGTCTGAACTGCTGCTGTTACTCGACGAGCTACTGCTGCTGCTCTTCTTCTTCTTACTCTTTTTCTTCTTGTCCTTCTTCTTCTTTTTCTCCTCCGATGGAGGCGTGGGACTATCTTTGCGTTTCGTGTGGAAGCCGTCTTTGCTGAATGTGATCGTGTGAGCGGTGTACTGGGGCTTGTCTTCGGCCTTTACTTTCGAGGCTCTGGATTTTTCGAAGGCCTTCTGCCGGTCCGACATCCAGTCGGTTTCCCAATGTGGATTTTGCTCTACAAAATTCTAGAAAAAGACGAATAGATGTATTAAATTGTTATCAATAATAAAAAGTTTATTAATAATATAATATACAACAAAAAAGAAACCCTACATTATATTCACACAATATTTAAAAAAAAAAAAGAATTATATGTAGAACTATATTCACAAAATATTTGTAAGTATTTACAGGGTACAGAGGAATAACACCTGAGTCCTCAGGAATGGCAACGCATGGGGGTATCATGGGCGAAACAGTATACTCTGTTATGTCCATGGTACTGCTCATGTCTATAGGCGACGGTTACCACTTTCCATCAGGTGGACCGTCAGCTTGTTTGCCATTCTAAGTTGTATAAAAAAAAAAAAATTATTCTTTTTGAATTATTATAGATTTAGGGTACTTACGATATAATTTTTGGAATGCACTATAGACTTGAGGTGAGCGGAGGCGCAGTGGAGGTCCCCGATGAATTGATCGCACAGTTTGCAGTACCACGCCGTGGATGGAACGAAGAATTGTAAACCTGTTGGTGCAATGGATAAATTGTAGTATTTTTAACTTTACTCCAACCTCGATAACTCAGCTGTTTCTGGTCCGATCGACTTAAAATTTCTACACGTTTCAAGCAAAGGTTAGTATTGTAGAAAGACCTGGTTACTGGTTCACTACGAGCGCCATCTTTAGGTTAGTCTCGGGACTTATTGATCCATGTGTTAAAATACACAATTTTGACGAATTCAATATGGGGTCAACGTAGTTAAGAACGTTACCAATCGAAAAACAAAATTAGAAAAATTCATTCAGATTTGGAGAAGATATAAGGTAATGTACACACAAACAAAAAAAAATATAATAATTGAATGCTATATAGCGTGAAGTCGGCCTTTTGTACTTGATATTTTTTTTATACTACGATCAATAAAGAATGTATAAATAATCTCTCTCCTCTTTCTGGAATTTGCTTAAAAATTACTGTAAATTTCGTAATATCGAAATTCGTATTTAAATCTATTCGTATTTTTTTTAAATTTCTTATTTCGTAATGTGAAAGTGAGTTCATTCATTTATTTCCTCTTGGAGCTTTGACACTTCGACCAATTTTCATGAAACTTGATGTACACTTATTACTTCTATCCCTTTCAATATTTTTTTTAATGGGTGGGAATAAACTAGTTAATTAGTTATTATTACATTTGACCCATCGTGACGAATTCAACCAAAATAACTATTATTGGTTTCCCTCGGGAGCCGCGGGTTTTTTTTTAATGGATGATAATGCTATCGTGGTTAATTCCTGATGAATTCATCATGATGGGCTAACTGGTCTGTTTTCATTCTCATCTATCACCCTTCACTGGTGCTCCGCCAGCGTATCCCGTTAGCGCAGGCGGGGTTGCCATACCATTTTCACCCATCAAAAAAAAACCAGTCTCCCGCACGTACCTCTGATGGGCGTACGCTTGGTGGGCGCGGCCGGGTAGCTGGGGAAGCCCTCGTTGACGCCAGTCACGGTGTGCCACGGCGCCTCCATGTGTGCTGCCGCCATCCTGCACAAACACACAATTATAGATAGATACTCTTTATTGTTTCCTCCAAAAGATTACAATAGTAAACCTATTATAGATATGAACAATTACAAGAAGGCATATAGAGAGGTTATAAACATGTGGTGGGAGGCACGACGAAAAATTCTATTAGTTCTAAATATGGAGATGTGATACATGTAATAATATAAATATATATCCCTACTCATTATATATATATATATATATATATTATTTTTTTAATATGACATTTTAATATTATTATTTCAGCCATTAACTGTGTTATTCCTCTGTACCCAGTAAATTCACGCCATATCCCACCCTTCAAACCGAAACACAGCCATGCAAACACAACTGCTTCACGGTAGAAACACGAATGGGACAGAGGGGTATCTCTGTTCCATTCGTGTTTCTTGAAGTAAAGTTACTGTAAATAAAGCAAACGACTTTTGTACAAAGTCTCCCTCTGGTAAAAAAATATGAATATATATATATATATATATACATATATATATATATATGTAATAAATTGCAACCACGAGATTGAACACTAATTTCTAGTACTCACTTATGATGCGACGGTGAATGCAGATGGTTCAGGTAATCCTTAGCGGTGGGCGGGAACTCGTTGCACACACGGCACCAGTGCATCTCCGGGTCATAGTACACGTAGTTGAACTTCGGGTTGGAAGGGGACCTGGCCGATACATTATTATAATAAGTAAAAAAAAAGTATTTCAAATAATTAGAATCTGTTGTAAAATTGAGGTGTTAATTTGCATAAGTTTATATCGCTTAAGTGATTGTTAATGCGGATTATCAGTCCCAACTAACAATATATTCTAACAGGTCGACCTCCCCATGGTCCCTCCTGAAAACCATCGTACCGAATACCAAGTATATTCTTCACGATGGACTAGCGCAGGCGGGGTTACCATTCGATTAGCATTCATTAAAAAAAAATATGTCGCTGGTTAGTCGATTAGAACTCTTTTAATTCCTCTATCATTAGTAAAGTCACTGACTTATTTATTTATTTTACCTTTATTGCAAAAAGCATTTTTTTTTATGCTTGCGCTAACGGGATACGCTGGCAGAGCACCAGTGAAGGGTGAGAGATGAGAATGAAAACAGGCCAGTTAGCCCATCATGATGAATTTATCAGGAATTAACCATGATAGTTTTCAGAGGGAACCACGAGGAGGTCTACCTGGTTTGGTATATTGCTAGCAATAGGATTCTCAGTCTCCATTACTAACAATCCCTTTCCCCCCTTATTGCACCAAGTATAAAATAATAATTACAGTAAATATTAAGCCTCCTGCTAGGAGTCGATCAATATTTGAATGACTACTATAATTATCAGAAAAACTTTTACGACCATCCATATTAGTCATCAATCTCTGACCGTTATCCAGTCCACGCACATTTTGCGACACGTGTTTCACCTCTACACGAGGCATCTTCAGGCAAATTATTAAGATGCTACGTAAATAATAATAATAGTGGAATTAAACCAAATAATTTTGTATTGCTATGGCACATTCACAAACGAAACAATTTTCGTTATTTACCTTTGTGTATTTTTTTTATCATTTATGTTATCTCGCTTTTTTTTTTTTGTATATGTATGTTGTAATTTGTGTGCTGTAAGTAAGTAATGCAAATAAATTATCTATCTATCTAATTTTAATCGACTAACCACTATGTAGTCTTGTTTTCGTATAATTAGTAGGTATGCAATCTCGACATGTTTCTTTACCGACATTAGAGTAAGTACACACAATAAATAAATACTCGAATTATGTTTTCATATTTATTTTTAAATATAAAACAAAACCGCTACCCGTGTCTGTCCGTTTCCTTTCTTACATCTTCTTAACTACGAAACAGATTTCATTGTCATACAATTTATTACAGAAAGTGTGTATGTACAATTTGAATTTGTATGATTTTTTTTTAAATAACTAAATTTGATAAAAATGCATGCTAAGATCGTTTACTGTGTCAAATATAGAACTCTTTCTATATTTGACACAGTCAGTAAACGATCTTAGCATGCATTTTTAATCTCTATTAAAGAAAATTTTGTTTTAGTCTAGCAAATAAAAAATGAAAACAAATGGTCACTTTTAACCGACTTCAAAAATGAGGTTTTCAATTTTAACATAGATAATTGTTTATATATTCAATTTGAACAGATTATGATATTTTATTTTTACAACGAAACTTTTAGTACTGCTCTATACTATTTTTGTCAAAATTGAAGTTGGTTTATTTACGAAAAACAAAAAAAAAAAAAAATTAAATGGCGAGTTAAAATAATAGAACCAACCGACCACTATAATGTACATATAAAATTGATTAAAAATATATCGCGGCCTATTCTTTTTCAACATAACTCTAAGAATTGTGAACATAAACTATTTTTTTTTTGGCTGTATATACCATTTATTCTACGCCCACTTTAGCAATAAAGTGCTATGATTAATACTAAAAAAAAAAAAACACGTCACGCAACTTGTTGAAAAAGAAAAATTATAGAATTTGTTTTATAATATTCATTATTTAACTGGTTCACGCAAGCTATATAATTTTTCCAAATGCAAAACATGCAGTGCAAAAGCTTGACCATCAAAGTTATCTTCGAATCACACTCGAAACCCTAAATCTCTTAAAAAATCCTCGTTGTTCAATAACAACTGGGAAATACAAAAAACAAATTTTCTGCTTTAAATTTTTTTTTTTTTGCAACTATTAAATAAAATAATACAATAGAGACTTAACTAGTCCATGCAGGAAAAACCAAGCAGATAAGCTTTTCTGGTAAACGTTATAAAAAAAAAACTGCATTTATATACACGATAAAAATATACATAGCGATAGAAATAAAAAAAAAAAAAAAAACGCATATAATGCTAATAAATATTCAATGTTCTTTTTTTAAATTTGCAGAAGTTGTACTACCAACCTTTTTTTTAATTAACAATTTTTTTAACAAAACGTTTGGAAACACATTTCCCTTATTCGCAAAACTTCTATCACTCACCCAAATGTAAGTAACGTGTTAAAGACGAGAACGCAAAAAGCTGTATATTGTATATAAAACAGGTAATAAAAGACAAAGAACTTTAACTAGTTTAATAATTCGAAGACTGGAAAGATATTTTACAATATCAATTTTAGGTATCAAAGTCAAATCATGATAAAAAAGTAGGACAACTGTAAAAAAATAATTGTAAAATATGTGTACATAAACTGGTTGAAAGGATGTCTTTCCTTAGCACACTCTCAACAATAAAATAAAAAAAAAACAGTGATTTTATGTACTGCTAGCGTACAATGAATTGACTTCGACTTACATATTTTCATTAAACTAAATCCAACATGAATTATTAACAAATGGTACATGGAATTCATTTCATACGTGAAGCAAGATTTGAAAGCTTACAATATCATGGCATTTGGGTGTAGCAGGTGGATTGTTCGTAGCACACAAGCTGATGATCTTCATCACTCCTTTGGTCTCGATACCACTGTCATATTGTGAAAAGCAAAGCTCTTCTCTTCGCGCTAAAGCCACTTGCGCATTCCTGCTTATTGGGACTGAATGTAAAGTAATATACTCATTTCATATGTACATACTTACCTATATAATATAATATAGTATTAAATACAATTTTATCTTGTTAAACTAAATGATGCCTGCGGAAATTAATTCAGCAATTATTATACTAAGTATCTATACGCGTTTTAGTTTAACAAAACAATGGAATTTCACAAAGAGAAATGTTTAGAACACACCTGGACTTTCGTTTGGATGGGCGTTCAGTGTCATCGGTTTCCGGTATGTCGCGGGCTTCCTCGCCGATAATACCGTTCAGCATGTCCACCACATTGTTGATAGTCTTCAGCTTATTCTGGATCTCCAACTACACAGACAACGGCCCTCAAAGTAACGGTATGCAACAAACAGTACGGTACAACACCCTATTGTACGCAAAGCTTTAAATAATGTAAGCAACCATATCATGTGTACAACACTATGTGATTCAATAAATATCATGACATATGCATTTCATTAATCAAACCTGCAACTTCGTGTTCTCCTTAAGGAACCTCTTGGTGTCCGGGCTGGGAGAACGTTTAGAGTCACCGTGCAATTCGTTGCGTTGCTCCTTCAATGTTTCTAGTTCCTTTTTCAGTATCGACGTCTTCTTTATGTAGTCTTCGCGTTGCTTAGACAGGGCGGCTTTTTGATGGCGCATTTCCGACTCTATTGCGGCTGTGGGGACAACGTGGACAGTCAAATAATAATATATATCAGAAACGGAGTGTAATGTCACATAGCCAAAGTATACATGCAATAGAAAATATAAGAAACTAGTGTGATATTACACTCGTATGTACAGCAAATATATTTGTATGTAATGGAGCATTAAAGGCTTAAGGTGTATAAGGATGCAGGAGTTATACAGTCTCCAGTCAGGATGAGCTGAAGACCTTGTTCCCAAATATGGCGACGAATCGACGCTGTTAAATATTGAAATACTTGACAATACTCTTTTTATTATATATATATATATATATATATATATATATATATATATATATATATATATATATATATATATATATATGTAATTGTTGAATGTACATAATACAAACCTGGAAAAGAAATTAGTTGTGGATTTTGGTGCAAAAAATGTACAATAATTATGTATAAATAAATATATAATTCATTAGCTATACATACTTTATGCATCTATTTAAATAATAGATTGTCTGAAATATTATAAAACACAGGACAAGAAGGGGTTTGAAAATGTTAAGCTGAGCTCGATCCGAGCAAACATACTACTAAATATAGAATAATATGTAAATGTATCAAACCCTTTAAAATTTGCCATAGTAGACTTACGATCTCTCAGAACAATTTCATAACAAACATGCTTGAAGGTGTCTTCAATTTTTTTTTAAACACAAATAAGAAGTAATGCTAAAATCCCTCCCTATCTTATCACGTTTTTTAAATACTAAAAAGCATATTCGAAATCATCCAAAATATGATTTCGTTCGTGTCCTTAGTCAATCAATTTGTCATTCCAGATTGTCATAGCAATTTAACATGACTTTTGGCAACGCTCAATACCACAAATTTTATATCTTATAGAAACAGTAACAGAAGTCCGTTTATTTGTGAAATTTGATCAGTATTGCCATATTAAAGTGGGTTTAGACTTAAAAGCAAAGAACAGCAGCTAAATTAAAACAAAAATGTATGAATAACATAAAATTGTCGATAAATACAGTCAAGCAATAAAAAAAAAATACTCTTAGCACATACACTTTGTACAAAAACGGGCAAAATCCATCTTCAGACAGTGACTTCTGGGCAATACATATTACACAATGGAAAAATACAGTCCTACAATTACGCATTACAGGAATGAATTGTGATTGTAAATTTTATTATTATTATTTCAGCCTTAAGGCCTGTCCACTGCTGAACATAAGCCTTCCACATAAGACGAGTTTTGCCAGTAGTTGCCACGCTTGGCAAGCGGGTTGGCAACCGCAGTTAGGCTTTTATATATATTTTAAAAGAGACGCTGCTGCCCATAAGCTCATTAGTCTACCAGAGGGAGACTTTGTACAAAAGTCGATTGCTTGGGTACCTCTGTCCCATTCGTGTTTCAATACGTGTTTTCAATTCAATTCGTGTTGAAATACGAATGGGACAGAGGTGAATTTATATGTCTATTAAATATTTAATCCTGTCAATTCCTGTTTGAATATAGTCTATTGGTAAATAAACCTATATGAATATATTTTAACAGCGATCTCAATAATCTTAACCCTTCTTTGCATACTGGTGGAAATTTCCATCATAACACTGAATGCCCAAAAATTATATAAAAGAACAAGTTCACTTTAAGATGATCGTGTCTGGATACCTTTTTAATGTCCATTGCAGAAAAAAACATAGCTGTCAAATTTATTTTTTTACCATTTTTCCTTTAATTTTGAACATGAATTATATCACATTCATTTATTTCACCAATAAAAAAATTATGCAAACAAGGGTTAATACTAAATACAAATTGAAAACATACTGTTCTGAAGTATTGTTTAAAAAAAGTTAACAGGTCTTTTATGGGAATGGGCGTTAAATGATATTTTAGAAAACTTAAAACTGTTACCAAACACTAAACGATTACTCGAATGACATATATGCATTGTGTTACTCGATCATGCACGGGTTTTTAACGACCATGTAATTTTAGACATAATATATTTAAATAAATACACATAATGTTAACAGAGATTTTAAAGGGTCACAGTTAAATTTCTTTTGGGCTCTTCTCAACAGATAACAACTCCGGAACTCTGCAGTAGAGTCATAAAAAATGAGGATTTAAAAGTACTTGTAAATAAACTTATTTTTAATAAATAATGATTTAAATTTAATAATTACTAAAAATCACTTTTAGATTTGACATAAAAATAATTAGATAGGTGTAACCATAAAAATAATATCATAATTGGCTTATAACTAAAAAATACCTTCTTTTTTAATCTGATCCTCAACATTGAACTGAACGATGGGCGGTTGCATTGGCGTCTGTGGGGGAGGTGGCAAAGACATCTGATTCCACGCTGCCATGTCCGGTAGATGAGCTGACTGTGGCACCGACGCTACTGGTGGGAAGTCGTCGTAGATCCCCGAATACGGTGGTTGATAGTTCGACCCGTATGGAGGGTTTGGAACACCCTTTGAAAATTGAATAATATTAGTCTATTTATTATTATTTCATTACACATATGAAATACCACCTTTTGGTCTTATTGCTAAAACAATTTCTTTCAAACAACCTTTGGGTAGAGGAAAAAAAAAGGAAGATACTATATAAAACAGAAAAGGATGTAGGATACTTTTATTCCGGTCACTAAAGATATCACAGTCACACAGACATAGTCAGGGTTAAAAGTTAGTTCAAAAATATAATTACTAAAAAGGTAACATAAACAATAACATATTTATGATCTGTTAACCTGTTTACTTTGCAATATGCCCTATTAGGTTGACCTCCACGTGGTTCCCCCTGGAAACCATCGTGAACAATTCTTGTTGAATTCGTCACGATGGGCCAACTGACCTGCTTCATCCTCACCTATCATTCTTCACTGGTGCTCCGCCAGCGTATCCCGATAGCGCAGGCGGGGTTACCATTACATTATCACCCATTAAAAAAAAAAACCTGTTTACTTTAACTATGTGTTTATTTTATGCACGGTTATTCCAGTCCATAGCAAGATTGATACTAATTATGCCAGGTAATTATTAATTTACAATTAACAGGTTATTAATTTACAAAAAAAAAACCAGTTTGCCAAGACAATTTTAAATACATTTATAAATCTAGACTTTTACTTCTCCATAGTACTACAAGCATAATGATGCTCAATCACCCATCCATTTATCCAAAAGTAAATATACAATTTATACTAAGTCTATTTATATACATATATGAATTTAACTATATATTATATATTATAGATATACAGATTATAAGACAAACATGTTCTATCAGGATGCTTTATATCATTGGGGATAATGCAAATTCACTACACACAAACTAACACTGGATAATTCTGCATATCTGACAAATGTAGTCAATGTAACATTTCACGGGCAATGCACTCTAGATCCTTATTTTTTTTTATGGATGAAAATGGTATGGTAACCCCGCCTGCGCTAACGGGATACGCTGGCAGAGCACCAGTGAAGAGTGATAGATGAGAATGAAAACAGGCCAGTTAGCCCATCATGATGAATTCATCAGGAATTAACCATGATAGTTTCCAGGGAGAACCACGAGGAGGTTGACCTGGTTGGGCATATTACTAGCAATGGGATTCTCAGTTTCCATTACTAACAATCCCTTTTCCCCTTCTCTAGATCCTTATTAGCTGTCACCTTTTTGAAGTGAGTTTTGTTTGACATTTAAAAAGTAATTGTTCAATAACAATACTGTGTATCTATGGCCGGCAAGTGTTGATACCTCAAATATGATTGACATCAGGAGCCTTACCATCATCATCATATAAGCCGTTATCTGACCACTACTGACAAAGGCTTCTCTCAAACTTGGTACTTATTTAAAATAAATAACAAAATAATCAGGTGGTCTACCATGAAATGAAATTCCGAAATATCGGGCTTAGTTTCGTGTTTTTGTTCGTAGCAAAATCGACCCAGTAAATGGAGCTTAACATTTCATTCATCATAAATCCTATTCTAATAGTCCAAGGGAACGATATTTTAACCTTTTTAATAATTTAAAACAGCATGTATTATGTAATTTTAACATCAAATTTCTGTTACGTTCGTCCCCGAAATTTCGAAAAATACTTCATGGTAGGCCCTCAGAGTATATATAAAGACATTTTTAGAAAGGCATTAAGGAGTGGACTGTGAGATACTGGCTAGGAGAGAAACTAATAATGATACCACAATAAACTGGAGAGTAGATACTGAGTTACCTGCATTGAAAATATTTGTATTATATAAAGGCACCCATTGGTTTCTTAGTGTTATATTGTATTTGTACCAGAGGGAGACTTTGTACAAAAGTCGATTGCTTGGGTACCTCTGTCCCATTTGTTTCTACCGTGAAGCAGTTGTGTTTGCATGGCTGTGTTTCGATTTGAAGGGTGGGATATAGCATGAATTTAAAGGGTACAGTGGAATAACATTTGAATCCTCAGGAATGGCAACGGATGGGGGGTATCATGGGTGAAACAATATACTCTGTTATGTCCATGGTACTGCTCATGTCTATAGATGATGGTTACCACTTTTCATCAGGTGGGCCGTCAGCTTGTTTGCCATTCTAAGTTGAATAAAAAAAAAATGTTTGTATTTATAATAAGTTTACTAGTGTAATCTTATAGAGGAAACAATAAAAATTATCTATTTATATTTTTAAGAACTATGCCCAAAATGCCTTGTCACTACTGCAGAGAATAAAATTGTATCTAGAACCCATAATACTGTCTTTGTCAAGCAAAATTTCTTAGAAAAGGGACATACTTATATAATAAATGTTAAAATAAATGAATTTACTATCTACATGAGTTATTTAGTTTAATGATTTTAAGATTTAACAGTTCCATTAGAAAAATGAAAAATTAAGATTTAGTTTACAATGTACTTGTACAGTTCTGTGTATTTATATTTTGTTTTGTAAATTATTTTATATTTTTGCCAACCACCCAGTATCTAAAAAACAAAAAAAAAAAAAGAAATAGAACACTGTAGCCACAAACTTCAAACGCATGTTGAGATTTAAAAAAAAAAAATTAACATCTTTGCAAACACAACACATGGTAGTTTTTTAAGAAATGGAAAATACGCTTTCGTGATATTGGCATATGGCTGGCGAGGCGACAGTGAGGGATGATAAAATTATAAATATTTACTTAAAATTAAAAATAAAATACCTCTTGTGGGATAGACGGATACGACGGTTGAGGGGGACCAGCGAAATTGCCTTCTTGAAACTGATTGCCGTCCCACAGTTCACTTGGTTCTGGAAGTTTAGATATTTCAATCAGAATATCCGTGATTTCCTTTTCGTTCTTCCTTGGGGAACGGCTGTGTCGCTTATCGGGAATGCGGTCTCGGTTGTTTGGACTTCTAGTTCTTGATCTAGACCGCTTCCTCGGAAGCCGACTCCGGTAATCTGAACGTCCCCAATCACGATCCCGGTCTCTGTAATACTCTTTTCTGGGATCACGGGACATTCTATTATTAAATAATTGTATTTGTCTCTGTGTTCTCACTATCCAGAATAAATAAAACAATAAACTAGATTTATATTTGCAAAATGAAAAAACACAAAAACAAGCAAGAAAAGCAATATTTTTTTAAAGATCAGTGTTGCCCAAAATAATCAAGTAAAATTTAATTTTTGTTTTCTAAAAAGTTACGTTATTGTTAATAACTTCCTAGTCTTATCTTTTTAATTTAATTAAAATGCTTTAATATAAGCTTTAGAATATTAATGGTGAATAAATAATTATAGGGCCTAGAAAGAGACAACGTTAAAGAACCATAACTGAAAAAACCCATTCTTTATATTATTAGAAATAATAGATGGAATAGTAATAATAATAAATACTTCTGACGCAGTGACTAATCGTTTTCACATTACAAATTAATAGCAGTATAATCTTAATTAAAAAACATAAAATAATAAATTAATATATAACTTAATGAATATAGCTGACATCAAGTTCTATCAAGAAGTAACAACATATTTTACTTAAATGTTAATCCGAAGATATAAATATTACAAAAATGTAAAACATATATCAAACTGGCAACACTTTCACAGATAAATTATCAAGAATTTCCTTTTTATCCACAGATTATTAATAAGTAGGTACTATTTTTTTAAATGGATTTAAGAAAGTACTTTCGGTTCCTTTCTATGACTTTTTGTAAAGAAAATGTACACATTATATATTGTGAAAAATAATACTATGTTATACTAAGCCTACAAACAAACAAAAATTACAATGCTCTTAGTTAATATTAGGGATATATTTTTGTTAAATTACACGAAATATTTATTTTAATTATAATTCACAATTTAAGAATATTTTTTAATATCTTATTCAAAAGAAAATCTATAGATGTATCTCAAGCCAATATTTTTAAACAATTTTATTTTTTAACATGTTTCTTAACTAGAATATAATTATTTACTATTGTTGATGCTGCCTCTGCAGAACAATTTAGGAACTAAGTTAACAATTTAAAAATAGTTCTAATTTTTGCCAATAGCCATCACAAGGTCATAAATGGCGCTATTAGTAGAAGAAAAGTGAATTTAAGACAAAATAATTTAGAAGTGATAATTATTAAATATACGATCTTAATAATAAATATTGTAATAATAATTGTAATTAATGCTCCTGGTGTGTTAGTCACAATGGGCCAAGTGATTTGGGCTTATCCTATCGTAAGTCACTGATACCTACTTCGCCAGTGTATTTATACGAATAGGTGGCGTTACCGTACCATTTTTATCACATTAAAAAACAATCAGCCGTTTACTATTACACGATTTCTACAACATAATTTAGCAAACAATCGGTATCCTACTAACTAGTATTATCAATAGAGAGCCAAGACGTCCACACTGGGGGGAAAGGGATTGTTAGTAATGGAAACTGAGAATCCCCTTGCTAGAAATATACCCAACCAGGTCGACCTCCTCGTGGTACCCTCGGAAAACTATCATGGTTAATTCCTGATGAATTCATCATGATGGGCTAACTGGCCTGTTTTCATTCTCATCTATGACCTTTCACTGGTGCCCCGCCAGCGTATCCCGTTAGCGTAGGCGGCGCCACTATTCCATTATCACCCATTAAAAAAAAACCAAGTCGATGTCCACGTGCTTTTCCCTGGAAACCATTGTGCTGAATTTTAGACCTATTCATCATAATGGGCTAACTGATATGTCATTTCATCATCGTTATCATCCCTCACTAATATCCCGCCGGTGTAAATTGTTAGCGCGGGCGGGGTACCATTCCATTTTCACTGATTAAAAAAAATACGTTCATGCTATCTGCCGGGAAATAAAGTCATAATTAATTCCAGATGAATTTGTTAGGATAAAGGAATTGATTTGACTTCGTTATTATTTATTAAAACTATCACGGTGTTAATATTATAAAGAGGAACAGTTTGATTCTTTATATGTTTGCTTGGTTTTTGTTATGTCTATACGTCACGGGAACTCTTGCTACAATGTAAACGAAGTTACATATCGTCACAGTCGTAGAATACTGACGGATCTGACAAATATTACATATATAGATCCGTCAGTATTCTACGACTATCACGATATAATATTTAAAAGAATAGGTAAGTAAATTAGGCTCGAATTATAAATGACCAATTTTACAAATCCAGATCTCCACGCGGTTATTCCTGGAAACCATCTTTGTTAATTTTTTATATGAATTCATCACGATGGACCAACCGAGCGGGCTTTATCCTCACCTATGGTCCTTTACTGGTGCCCTGCAAGCGTATACCGATAGCGCAAGCGCTATGGGTCACCATTCCATTATCAGCCATTAAAAAATCCCTAAAAATCCATTCGATAGATCATGTTTAAATAATGTCGTTCGTAAATATTTAATTACACGTGTATATATAATTACACGTGTAGCTTGATACTTATATAAACCTTTTCGCATATACATGTCAGCTACTTTACGCGAAGGTCGTCGAAGAAACTCCGCAATATTTCCAAAATGTTTGTCATTCCTGTCAACGCATCTTTAAATTTGTTTTCATACAAGACTTATAAAACACTACGAATCTCATACCACAGATAAATAAAAAAAAAAATCTCTAGATTCTATTTTTAAATGAATGTTATACAATATTCTATATTTAAATATTAAAAGTGTTCTATTAGCGAGCTTAGTAATTGACGTAATACCATTCGAAAATAACATATTTATTGTTATTTTTTTTAAAGAGGCGAGGTTACTCGTTCCTTTTCCAGGCTCTTAACACTTTTTTACTCACTCTTTTTTAAATTTCGCTGCTAATAACTATAAATTACAGGAATTTTAAAATGCTTTTTCTAGCGATGGTTTTTATCTCCTCAGGTGTGCGTCCTAAAGAAGATACATCGTTTATGTATGAGTGGGCTACAGCCACACATTCAGTGCTGCAGCATTTCTATCTCATCGTGACAAAATTTGCAAACACTTTTTGGGCATAAGCCTAGTTGTTTCTCGATTGCTTGGGTACCGTGTTTCTACCGTGAAGCAGTTGTGTTTGCATGGCTGTATTTCGGTTTAAAAGGTGGGATATAGCGTGAATTTTCAGGGTACAAGGGAATAACATCTGAGTTCTCAGGAATGCCAACGCATGGGGAGTATCATGGGCGAAATAATATACTCTGTTATGTCCATGGTACTACTTATGTCTATAGGCGACGGTTACCACTTTCCATCAGGTGGGCCGTCAGCTTGTTTGCCATTCTAGGTTGTATAAAAAAAAAGTTGGGCCATATGCTTATTTAGTTTACAGTGTCCAGAAAGAACCTTTGTTAATACACACATATATTATTTTACAATTATTCAAAAGGTAAACTACCGGCAGATTTGTTAATCACTTTTCCAGATACGTAGAACATTAGATTAGATAGAAATACAGATATATCTAAAACGAGGAATGGGTTTTCAATTCTGTCTGTAATTATGTTAGTTTGTTATTTTGTACATTAAAATTTTACAATTGTTACTTTACAATAGTTTATTTAACGCTAATGAATCGCCATGGTTTGTCTAGGCGCTGCACGACCGTAACCGATGAGTGATTAACCTAATTAAAGTTAGTCAAGTTTGAAAAGTTAATAAGATGTCACTTCTTAAATTGAACATTTATTTATTTATTAAATAGAAAAATTCACAGCTCTTAAAAACACAACTTACATTAAGTCTCTTATAAATATAGCCAATAATGTATTTTATTTATATAAACGAAAATTCGAATTCTAAAGCAAGGTAGGCAAGTTAGAGTGGGTGTATGCAAGTAATGTAAGTGTATGCATGAAACAAACTATGTATAATGATACTCATCATTCATCGTCCATAAAGTCAGATGTAATATAAATAAAAATAAAGTCGTCATAGTCGTAGAATACTGACGGATCTGATAAATATTACATATATAGATCCGTCAGTATTCTACGATTATGACGAAGTGTCCATAATCTTCAAGAAAAGAGCATATTCCTTTTTAAAAGGCCGGCAGCACACCTGCAATGCCCCTGGTGTTGTGGGTGATCATGGGCGGCGGTAGTCACTTACCATCAGGTGAGCCGCATGCTCGTTTGCCCCCTGTGTTGTAAAAAAATATATATATACCAAATAAATAAAAACCATGTTACAGTTTAGATATTGACAGCAATGATTAAGTAATACAATTTCATGGTAACTTATTGTAAAGACGTAGAGGTAGGTATAAATTACAAACGTTGATGTTACGTTGTTTTCTATTATAGACAGATAGAATCATAGACATAATGCATACATACTTCACGAAGCACTTTATAAGTGAACGATGTAATTCTAACTTGTTTCAATAAAATCCCTGTAGACCTACGCAGAGCCTACCAGAGGGAGGCTTTGTACAAAAGTCGATTGCTTGGGTACCTCTGTCTCATTCGTGTTTCTACCGTGAAGCAGTTGTGTTTGCATGGCTGTGTTTCACAGAGGAATAATACCTGAGTCCTTAGGAATGGCAACGCATGGGGGGGTATCATGGGCGAAACAGTATACTTTGTTATTTCCATGGTACTGCTCATGTCTATAGGCGACGGTTACCACTTTCCATCAGGTGAGCCGTCAGCTTGTTTGCCATTTTAAGTCGTATAAAAAAAAAGCACCCAATAAGCATATTTTTAAAAGAAGACTTTTCAATTACTTGTCGAGTCAACAAAACTAGCTCTAGCTTTTAAATCATAAAAACTATTTACATTCAGCCAAATATACATTCTCTTTTTAAATAAAGTCACATTTAATAATATAATCAAATCACATTTACTAATATATATATATATATATATATATATATATATATATATATATATATATATATATATATATATATATATATATATATATATATATATAGTTAATGAGTTTAACTGCATAGCCGAATATCTAATATTTACTCAAGTTTCGAGCCCAATGAATGATAAGTTGCTCAAATGCCCAATATCATTGCGAATAGAAACGTGGTATTCGATATGCCTTTAATGCTTTCGTACACGATTCACTGCGTAGGCGTAGTATGTATGACTTGTGAGACGATTACGCGACGATCAACTTCAACGAGTATGTATGGCTTATCGCTGTATTATAGTTTTATTCCCAGGTGTTCGGTTGGTAATATCACGACAACGGAATGAAGTGGCTCATCTTTGCATGAACATTATTAAACCTTCTTTGCATGATTTTTTTTTATTGGTGAAATAAATGAAGCTGATATATTTAATTTTTTTTTACAACGCAGGGGGCAAACGAGCATGCGGCTCACCTGATGGTATGTGACTACCGCTGCCCATGATCACCCACAACACCAGCGGCGTTGCAGGTGTGCTGTCGGCCTTAAAATTAAAGGAAAAATGGTTAAAAAATATATTTAACAGCTATGGTTTTTTTTTTCTGCAATAGGCATTAAAAAGGTATTCAGACACGATCAACTTAAAGTGAAATTGTTCTTTTATATAATTTTTGGCCGTTCAGTGTTATAATGGAAATTTCCACCATTATGCAAAGAAGGGTTAAGCTGTTCATGTAGATTAGTATCTACCGGGGGGGGAAAAGGATTGTTAGTGATGTGGTGTAATAGCCCCATTGCTAGCCATATACCCTCTCAGGTCGACCTCCACGCGGTTCCCCCTGGAAAGCATCATGATTAATTCTTGTCGAATTCATCATGGTGGGCCAACTGACTTGCATTCATTCTAACCTATCATCCTTCACTGGTGCCTCGTCGGAGTATATCGATAGCGCGGGCGATGTTACTATTCCATTTTCAGCCAAAAAAAAAAGTTTAGTATCTACCTTGCCATGCCAGTTGATGTCAGAATAAATATTTTTTTACATATCTAGCAAACAACACATCTAGCAATACATCTGGATTCGAGTTATGAGAACGTTCAAGTATTACGTAATGCAATTTTTGAAGATTTTTTATATTCATTTCCAACTTTTAACGAACCATAATCTCCTCCCTAAACGTTACGATACGTTTACTTAAAACTCATAACACTAACGAATATTGAAAACGAATACAAAAACAAAATAAAAAATAATGAACACCGAGGGATTCCCCATTAAAACATATACAAAAATAGTTGCTAACTCGGTAAATATTAAATCCCTAGTTTTTATTTCAATAAAAAAAAAAAAGTTACGTAAAGCATGTTTCCATTATATTGTGGCCATTATTTATTTATATTTTATTCAACTTTATTGTAGACAAAGGCTATATTGTTATAATTTATTTTAAATAAGGATGGAGAATAGGCAAGCTTAACTCTGTAACTCTTTCAGCAAACCCTGAATGAAAAGGATCATTTATTATTACTGGTGAGCAAAGTGCGTGCAATAAAAAAAAAAATAGTATATTTATGGTTTCTACTAAGAAATTTTGTTTACCTAAATATATACTATTTATATATTTACATTCAAAATACATAAATATTTGTGTAGAATAATAAATATATATGGAATATTACGCCTACATATACAAAATACGTACGTATACATATTTACAAATGTAATAGGTTTATGAGGACAGAAGATGCTCTTTGTTCTGCTTTTGAAGACATTCAACGATATTGTATAGAGAAAACAAATGCTAAAACAATGATCTAGGAAAGCAAACATCCGACTAGCCCGATGACGGTGGTTGTTATGCCTGTAACCTACGCACAAAATACCAGGACAGCTGACTACAATCGTACAAATATTGTATTTGTATGATTATGAGATTTGTTCTTAGATAAAATTCCAGTTTTGTTGATATTGATTTAATTTGATACGTAGGTAGATTTACATAACCTGAATGTAAATAGTAGGCACTTAAATATTGTATGGAATATTCTCTACGAATTAAAATACTTAAAAGTAAATACTTTTTAGTCATTATTGCCGAAATTAATTAATCCGTATCTGAGCAAAAAATTTGCAATATTTGGGTGAAACGACGCATTAAAACATTGCGGCGGCGGTTTCGGCATGCCTCTGTCGCACTACATACAACCTTTGGCTTACCTTCACCTTCGTCATTGCATCGTTAACTGGTTGTTAGATTGGGTCGTTGTTCGCTGGCTCGCTGCATCGACTGGTGTATAAGCAAAACCGGCGCGCTGGCGGCACCCGCAGCCATTGTCGCACAGCCGCAGTTGACGCGTGCGCGGTTACGTACAGTTTGCGCGCGAAATTCGCGAATTGTTATTGACAGTTTATATTTTTTAATTTTTTATCATAACTTTTTTATTTTATAACTATTTTGGACAGTTATTTTCTTTATAAGTGTTTTGTGTTTTGGGAAGAAAGAGAAAGATACAAAAATGAAATATAAGGTAAGTTAGTTACAAATTTCTAATTCGATGTAATATTCAGATTGATATTAATATGTACTAAGGTACATACGTAGTCAAATATTTTTCTCACTACCGTCAAAACATAGACAAAAGTTACTTTATTGAATTGAGTTTCTTGATTAAAAATTACTATACTGTGCTCATGAAATTTAATTCAATGATCTTAGGATTTCTTAGGATTTATATTGTAAATGGACTTATGCTATATTTATTTATTATTATAAAATACGTCCCAAATAGGTAGGTACAAATGAAAATCTTTTATCCGCATATAATTTTAATTACTAGATAACGCTACCGATTTTAAATCTATAATAATATTCAATATTTATCTAGTTTTATTGCAAATGTAAAATCTGGAAAAAATCATTAATTGCCGTTGATCACTAGTTAATTATTTACTTCATAAGTTATTCATAAAAAATGAGTTATTAATTTGAAATACATTTTTTTTTATTATCGGTATAGTCCGTAATAAAAATTGTCGTATTACAATACGGAATCTAAGAAAGCTGTTATAGTTTCCATATTTCATTTATCGCCATAAATTACACTATTGGCGATCAACCAATAGATAATAAATTTAATCGAAAATTGAATAATGCGCTAACTCAATAAAAAATCAATTAAAGCTACCATATTAAGTCGGTCAACGATAGGTCACTATGCCAAGCGTCATTAGACTTCTCTGTCTACGTAGCGATAACAGCGTAGACTCGTAGAGCTTCATATTAGTCGTAACCCTCGGATTTGTTTTCTTTAACTAAATTTATTTAGCTAGATAACTAGATGTATATTTACATAATCATAATGTACAGTAGTTCTCCATTGTATGTGTTGTGATTTGTGAGTCAATATCGATACGTACGTGTAATTGTTTATCTGTAACAATTTTCTATTTTTTCACCGCATAATTACATTTCTGTTTTGTCAAATGTTGTTTGGGAGAGAATGCTATATAGTATTAATTCCGCCTTTTGTACCAAACATTTTTTTTTTGTAATATGGTCAATAAACAATAAATAAATAAATTACAATTTATTCTATACCAAAGATTTATACTCCGTATTTATAAAAACTCAAACCTACACTGTTTTGTTCAATTCACTTTCATTCAAATTGGAAATTTAGCATAAAAGAAAGAGATAATACAGTTCAATAGCTAAAATAGGTTTATGACACGTTTGACATTTTATAAATAAGGTGCTATATATTTACTGATAGTAAAAAATATAGGCTATTTGTTGTAACCAGTCCATTTATAAATCCGGCTTGAAATAAACATCTACGACACTTTCTCATCTAAACAATAGGTATAATTTTTTTTTATACAACTTAGAATGGCAAACAAGCTGACGGCCCACCTGATGGAAAGTGGTAACCGTCGCCTATAGACATGAGCAGTACCATGGACATAACAGAGTATACTGTTTCGCCCATGATACCCCCCATGCGTTGCCATTCCTGAGGACTCAAGTGTTATTCCTCCGTACCCAGTAAATTCACGCCATATCCCACCCTTCAAACCGAAATACAGCCATGCAAACACAACTGTTTCCCGGTTGAAATACGAATGGGACAGAGGTACCTTATCCAGGTTCCATTCGGGATAAGCAGAGAAGATTGACAGCTAAAGTCTGTAGTTTTATATACATCTCTTACCTTGCTTTCCTTAGCATAGATGAGAGCACTATTCTATATTTATCCATAAAAAAATATCATTGCAAGTAGAAAAAGTTTTTTTTGGTATCTTGTAATGTCAACGCAATTGTTTTTTTTTTCAAATAATTGTAAAAATTCGATTAGCCTCTTTACTTTATTATGTATCTTATTAGGTAAATACGTTTATTTTAAGAGCACGCTACTACAATTTTGAACGTAGCTAAAAAAAATGTTATTAGTCGTGTCACTGGTGCGAGATCTCAATTATTTTTTTAATTATACCTATTTAGAGGCAAAGAACACAAATCGCACTTGGCCGGTTTATTTTTAACGGCCCATGAACGTCCAATAAGACTATTTTTATACATTTTCACATAGCATAAGGATGAGATAAAGCTGTTCCCACGGCGGTATCCGTGTGTAGCACGTTGCATTGACGCCATTTGCCTTTGTGAAGATTTTGGATGTACCTACACACTGTGTAAATGTTGTTAATTAATTAAATAGGATATAGTCTCGTTTAGTGTTGCCACTTTATTTAACGTTTATACAATTAAATGGAACTGGCCATTTTCAAAAGGCAAACGTTTTTATTTCGTCCACATTTTTAATGACGTATCGCGTAACGTATCTACACGTTACGCGATACGTCATTAATTATGTACCGATTTGAATAATTCTTTTTGCAAATTATAATCTTCATTCCCGTATTACTTCTATATTAGTTGTGATATGTTTGAAGCGCTCGTTTTTTAGTGAGGTACTAAACTGCCTGCTGCGGAGTAAACTTTAATAATATAAATTTAATAATTTAATATTTAGTCCCACAAAAAAAATACTTCCATCGTGGCCAAATCAATTATACTGAATTAAAACTAAACTACTAGACCGATTTTAATAAAATTTCTGTGGAACCAATCTGAAAGTATACCCTTTTAGGTAAAAAAATATTTTTTCAAATCGGTTTATAAATGACGGAGTTCTGACAAAACAAACATAAAAAAAGAACTATTGAATTGAAAACCTTCTTTTTTTAAGTCGGTTCTAAATATCCAACAAAATATACCGTAACGTCATCTCTTCTAAAAAGAAACGCGCACATAAAAAATATCATAATATTTTCTATGTAAATACGTAGTTAATATTTACATATGTGACATTATTTTATATAAAAAAAAAACTAGTTAATTAATTTATTCATTGTACAAAGTCCTGACGGTGTGGATTCACACAAATAATCAGATACCTGCTCATTAAAACGTCACGAATTCGTCGTCATATGTACCAATAATTATGCGTAATTTAATTAATTCATTACAACACTAATGAATAATTTTTTTTTTGTTATAATTAATTTTATTCATTAGAATAAAAAAAAAAAGAAATTAGAGAAGAAGAAAAAAAAGAATTTTGGACAATTTCATTTTACTGTTTTACAGATACTTGTTTAATACAAACAATTATTTTCAGAAGTATATCTGTTTGTAAATGCCTAGATGTTTTATATACAGACTAGCTTTTAAGCCTGTTAGTTTTAGTCTATTTACAATTTTATTGTAAATAGACTAAAAACAACAGACTATGTTATATATATATATATATATATATATATATATATATATATATATATATATATATATATATATATATATATATATATATATATTGATGACAATGAAATGGTAAGCCTGCCTACGTTCTTGGTATACACTGGCAGGACACTGGGGATGATAGGTGAGAATGAAAGCAAGTCAGTTAGCCCATCGTGATAAGTTCCACGAGCTTTATACCTATCTATATTTATGAAAAATAGTTGCTGACCTGGCAAAGACTGTTTCGTCTCCTACTGCCACCTATTGGATAAAAAATATCTCATCAGTTAAGCTGTTGGCAACAATACACAAAAAAATGCATTAAAATTGATGGAGTGATATCGGAAATCAACATGACGAATATTGCGACATAGGATTTTTCAATATTAAATTGATTATAATATTAATTCTCAACTAAAACCTAGAAATTATATAATTCTAATTTCAAACTATACCTACTTGACTGAAGCCTTGCATGCTGAAGTGGCAGTTACGTTAAATACTTACTATATGTACCTACCTTATAATTGAGATAACCACACTTACAAGATGGACGTGGATTGCTTTAAATGGTCGTGCATGGGAGATTTAAATCGTTATTTTTATATTACGATTTAAATCTTACATATAATAGAATACATTTTGTTTGACATACAATTCAATATAATATTTAAAATAATGAACTTGATTTGTCTAATAATTGAAATAACTCATGAACACCAGAGGGAGACTTTGTACAAAAGTCGATTGCTTGGACCTCTGTCCCATTCGTGTTTAAACCGTGAAGCAGTTGTGTTTGCATGGCTGTGTTTCGGTTTGAAGGGTGGGATATGGCGTGAATTTACTGGGTACGGAGGAATAACACCTGAGTCCTCAGGAATGGCAACGCATGGGGGGTATCATGGGTGAAACAGTATACTCTGTTATGTCCACGGTACTGCTCATGTCTCTAGGCGACGGTTACCACTTCCCATCAGGTGGGCCGTCAGCTTGTTTGCCATTTTAAGTTGTATAAAAAAAAAAAAAGTCTGTATTGAATCAAATTTATAATTGTGAAAACAATTTCGGTTGAAAAAAGCAGTTGTTTAGTGTAATATTTTATCCTGTAATGAAAATAATGTAAAAATAAAATAAAAAAAAATCAAACCGTAAGAGTTAAAACATAGTTGTTCATAAATATTTTCAATTAACACTTAAGTAAGTGGGTTTTATACCATTAATGAATATTTCGCTAAAAAAACAAATGCACTTCACAACCTACACTAGAGATACCATTGATGCTTCTGTAGTACCATTGATGATACACTAATTAATATCACAGTTTGTTAAAATATTTTATTAATTTCGACAACTATTGTACAGGCTTTTATTTTCCGTTTACTGTAATAAATAATAATAATATATTGTATGACTAAGGAAAGGAAATATAATGTAGAATATATATATATATATATATATATATATATATATATATATATATATATATATATATATATTGATAAAATTTGCACGCCGACATAGAGGTAGAATGTACATGGGAAATATAAACCTCTATTATTTAAAATTACCTGCATTCTAGCAAAATAAATTCATTTCATTTAAAAAAAAAAGTTATTTATCAACCTATGTTTTTGCAAAATAAATTATATGATTTGATTTGATTCTCGCCCGTTCTCAACTAAAACTGTATTCCAAATGGGCGGTAGAATTATAAAGAAATTACTA